TTTCTCTCGTCGCGAACGTCACGGTCATCCTGGAGATAGGTGCCGTGGAACTTGGTCAGCTGGGAGTTGGCCGCCGAGATGGCGCCAGTCGATGTATCCCTCAGCTCCTCGGCGATGGTGCCGCGGAGGAAGTTTGACTCGAGCTTGATGTCCTCGTTGGTGATTGGCGGCGGCTCGTCGGGGAGGCCCTCTACCTTGTCCACGCCAAGCGCTTGCCACAGCTTGGGCTCCCACTCCGCGTAGCCTGTCTGGAAGCCATCCGGGTCCTGGTCATCTCCAAGGCCGATGTCAACGAACCTCTTGCCGCCAAGGTTGCCGAGAACTCGGTCAAGATCCTTGGCTGGCTTGTTGTAGAAGATCTTGTCCTCCTTTCGCGGCCAATAGTGGCTGTCGCCCAAGCCAAAGACGGAGTAGTTGACCGTGGCGAGATCGAGATCGGTGTTGTCCTTGATAGCATCCCAGAAAGCCAAACCGTTCTGGGGGAACTCTCCCTGACCGGCGGTGGATGTGATGAAGACAATGTTCTCCTCGGTGGGCAGGTCCTCGATAGGATAATCCTCCATGGCCATCGCCGCCGTCTTCAAGCCACGGGCTCTGCCCCGGTTGGCCAATCGCTTGGCCAACGTGCTGCCGTTACCGTTGTCAGAAGCATACAGAATGGTCAGAGGAGCGCCCAGGAGACCTTCGAGAAGCTGGTTGTAGGCATCCTTGGCCTTCCTCTTCTGCGCAGCCCGGACTTCGGTTCCAAAGTCCTGGCCAAGGCTGGCGGCAAAGCTGGGCTCCTTCTTCATGATCTGAGTCAGCTGGTTGTCTCGGGCCAGGAAAGCCTTCAGCTCTTGCTTGACAAGCTCCGAGTCCAGGGAAAAGGTCGGCTCGCCCTTGGCCTCGTTGTCGGGGTTCCACCGGTAGAGAGGCCAGTATCCAGCATCGACGGCCTTCTTGGTCTCCTGCAGGACGGTAAGCGGAGAGTCGGTCTCGCCAAAGTAGGGCAGGTAGGCCAAAACGACGGATGGGCCGTTGAACTTGTCTGCCTCCAGCAGAGCCTGCAGAACCTGAGTGTATGAGCTGTATACCGCGGTGGAAGCGACGTAGACGTTGCCAAAGTTCATGGCGTACAGTCCGATATCCTTCTTCCTGCGGTTGTGGTCGGCCGCGGCCTTTTCAGAGTAGGGGGTCGAATCAATGATGAGCATGTTCACGTTCTCGCCAGACGCCAGGACGTGGTGAACACCAGAGTTGCCGAGATCGTACGCCCAAGCATCAGAGCCCATCAGCCAGAGAGACTCCTTCCGGAAGAGGTGACGGTTCGAGAGAAGCTTCTGGGCTTCGGGCGAGCCATCCTGCTCCAGCTTAGCAATGACATCGTCGGAGATGATGTCGGACTTGGCCTGGTCGTCAGCGTTGACGGCCCACCGTGCCAGCCAGCTCTTGAGCGCCTCACTGGCGACACCGGAGCTGCTCGCTGCCTGCTTGACCTCGGCCACAAACTTGGCGCGCAATTCCTTCCGGGCCAACAGAGAGCCAAAGCCAAATTCAGGGCTGGCTGCCACTGTAGCGGAAATACCAGCGTTCTGGGATTGGAGAGCGTTGGCAATGTAGGTTCTGCTGCCAAAGAGCTGGTCGAGAATCTTGGAGTAGGCGACCTCGAGCTTCGGGGCCTCCACGCCCGCCGCAACCGGCTCACTGGGCCCTTCCTTGACGCCAACCTCGAGGTTCTGGATGGGCTGCGCAGCTGTGAGGTTCTGGACAATTCCGCGGAGAGCCTGGGTGGTGGCCTCGGGGGCAATGTAGCCCAGCTGGTGGCCGACGATGGTCTCAACGCCGCCGGGGCCGCTCTTGACAGACGACAAGACATCGATCAACAGGGGTCCCCATTTCGTGGTCTTGCGGTGAATCTGCTCCAGAACGGCGATCCTCTTGATCGTCCTGGGGATGGTCGACACAAGCTTGGAGCCGATCCAGGGCCGGTACAGGCGAGAAGTAAGGATCCCAATCTTGGCGTAGACGTCATCGGGCTTCGCGCTGTTAATGGCTTCGGCAAAGGAGCGAGTGTCGGAGCCGAAGATGAAGAGACAGTTCTCCGCGTTGGCTGGTCCGGTGTACTCGAAGGCGTTGTATTGCCGTCCCAGAGCCGTGTTCAGCTGCGCCCAGATGCGAGTGGCGCACACATAGACGTCCTCGGAGGTCACTTGGGGAGCAGCCATCTCAACCGTCGTGGCGACGGACGAGGAGCCAGTGGGCGTGGTGGCGCTGCTCGCCTGGCTGGTCTTGGCTGACAGCTCAGATACCGCCTTCGAGGCAAGGCTGACCGTCGAGCTCTGGAGGGCCGCAGGCTTGTCGGCGCTGGCAGAAGTCTCGGCCTCTTGGTGGTCCGAGGAAACGGCAACGTGTCCATCATCGGCGTACAGTCCGGAGGCCTTGATAATGCCAGCCTGGAGTCTCCTGACAGTGTCGATGTCGAGGACAGCTCGTACTACTGAGAAGTCTTCGAGGCCGATGGGCTCATCGCGGGCCGAAGTGTCTGGGGAGAAGAAGTGGATGACGGCCTTGCCGGTGCGCACAGCCAGGGCATGTGCGGTGATGGCCATGTCCTGAGCCTCCTGGAGGGTTTCAGACTGCAGGAAGGTCCAGCCTGAGTTTCGAATGGACGTGATGACGGAGTAGTCGGCAAAGCCGCGCGGCTGGAGGGCCACATGGAGGACGACGGGGTAGTTGGCGAGCTTGTAGAGGTGAGAGATGGAGGGGAGGAGGATGGAAGAAGGCGTCGTGACAGAGACGAGCTTGCCCGACCGAGCAGGGGAGAAGACGGACAGCAACGGGTCATTGTTGTAGCGGACATATTGAATCTGAATTGTAGTTGAGGTTAGTTGAGATGTTGCTGTTTGATTTGACCTTTGACCTTTGACCCTAGTTGTTCGGCCTGTCGGCGGACCAGGATCGGGTCGTCGTCACTTTTGGTGGGACGACATGTAAGTGCGGCAAAGGCGCAAAGGACAGGAGAAAAAAACACCAACGAGCGCCTATCGTCAGATAACTCACCTCGGGGACGGTGTCTTCAGTGGCCGCCACAATGCCACGGTCCTTGCGGCCAGCGAACCGCTTCAGGTGAGAGGAAAACTCCGAGTCGGCAGCCAATGAAGGCTGGACGGAAATGACGACATCGCTAGAGAGGTAGGCGATTCTCGCAGCTACTCAGAGGGAAGGGCGATGAGAGAAGCAGCACGTTAGTCGAAGCTCAAGACGCAGGAGCGGGTAGATGATCATCGAGGAGAGAGGACATGAAGAAGAAGAGAAATTCATAGAAAGCTTGACTCACCAGCCTCTTCAGGCGTGCGAATGTGGGATGAAGTCGCCATGCCTCTGTTTCGTCGCCGGGTCCTCTAGGATCAGTCCAAGGCTGTCGAGAGCACCAATGATCCCGACAAGGTCCAACGAAGAGCAGCAAGCAGCGGAGGGCAAAAAGGAGGGATGGAAGAATGAAAAGAAGAGAGGAAGCAAAAAGGGAAAAAAGAGAAAAAAAAGAAGATCAGCCCTTGGGGGAAGAGGCTCCAGTCAACAGACGATGCGCCGAGGAATGGTATTATAGATAGGGGACCAACTAGCCCGCCATTCAACCGCCACGCCTCAGCCAATGTCACGTCGCTGTTTCCCATCAACAATGACGGCCTTCCGTCCTCTTTTTGCTCTGTTTCCCTCTCTCTCTTGTTTCCCAATGTTCACCGTCTCCACCAACTGGCCTCAGCCAAATTTCCATTCCCCGCAGAAGCCCGAGGGTTGGAGGATTGCGTGATCGCTTAGCGCTTGGGAGGTTCTGCACGAGTCTTGCGTGGGCGCCACCCGCCGCAGGAGCAGCCCATTACAGGACGGCGGCGATGGCGAAATCGCTCGCCCTGACAAATCCCGGGCGTCAGATTCGCTGCGGATGCGACATGGGGGTTGTACGTGTTTGTGTGAGTTGGGTGAGGTTTGATGTATGTATTTGCTGGGAGATGGACAATGATAGGTAGTACGACGTATCAAGGTATCGATAACAGCCTCTACCACTTACACCCTCAAACTACACCGCCATCATCAAGACAAGAAGTCAAGTAAAACAAGCAGACCAAGTCCGTGTCCATATCAACCTCTTGCAGCCAAAGTGCCCTACATACAAGTTGCAGATCCCGTCGTCAAACAATGATACAACAAGACCAATTCCATTCCTCCAGCAAAACCCGTTTGCCTGTTGACGCCATCAACACTAAACCCACTTCAGCAACCTTCGTGCAACCCGCCGCTGTTCGCCGCAAATCATGCCGCAGCCTCTCGAGTTCCCCAAGTCTCACAGACTTCCAACAAGAGCAATTGCTCAGCCAATTCATCGTCCACTCCAGGTACCTTGACTTGCCATTCTTGAGATGCAACCCGGATCTTTGTTAGACTTGAGCCGGCCCCCTGGCTCAATAGCCTATACCCAGTCCTGCCAACGCCCATACTAAACTACTACTACTACTTCGTACATTCAAGGGCACAAGGATCCATCAAAATCTCCCTCCGACTTCCGTCTCCCTCCAAGAGGACACCGACGAGCCGAGCCCACACCTCACCATCCCATTCGCTCATTCACCCACATCCCACAGAACTCATCGGCCGGTAGCGGCAGGGGCCCAATCGCTAGCACCTCCGAATGCCGAGTCAAGGCCACTGCCCGGCCCTCGGTGCCCTTCCGCCTCCCCCAAAGACCCTTAAATAAGCATATCGAATAGTATTACTTGTATGTATTAAATAAAAGGCCACGCTCGTGACCACTCAAAGCAGTGAAATCCAAAACCTTGCCGAGAATTTTTCTCTCGATGATGAATCGCGGGGCTCCGATCGCGTCATTTCAAACCCCAGTCTTCCTATTACGAGTACAGTCCGTGATTATTTCCTCCCTGCTCTCGTCTCATTCCCTCGACCTCTGCCCGTCTAGCCAAGTTGACTCTCTCTCTCGCCTCTCTCCTCTCATATAACATTACATCTCATACCTCACCAGCCAGTGTTGCCGAGCTGGGCTTGCGGCTGCTACCGCCCCCAACCCACTCTCTCGCCTCAGAGTATTCCATCCAGTAACCGCGTCCGAAAGACACCATCAGTCGGCCGAGCTGACCTCTTCGGCCCTCGCCGTCAGGCAGGTCCGCGGCAAACGGCCCCACCTGGTCATCGACGCCCGGTCCCTCGAGGATCATCAGCTGCATGTACTTCTGCAGCGTCTGTCGAGCAAAGTTCATGACAACCAGACTGAAGTAAACCCTGATGAGGGTCAATCCGGTGATGAGGACCATGCTGGCCGCCGTCTCTTGGGGCACAACACCGCCATGCACGGCAGTTTCGCGTCGGAGGCCCTCCATGCCTTCAGCAACAATGCCGGGCAGGCTGGAAGGTCGAATCTCGGTTGCGTTTGGCGTAGCAGTGGCAAAGTACCAGTCCATGCCAAAAGCCACCGTAGCGAGGACGTTGATGACGGTATCAATGGCGTACAGCCAGGCCAAGGCCAAGCATTCGAAGGGAGTCTGCTTTCGGATGTGTGGGATCAGGTAGATGAGGGTGCCGAGAACGCCGATGCAGTATACGTAGGTCGTAAGCTGGAAGAGGGAGAGCTGGAAGCCGGTAAGGATGGCAAGGAGACCGTAAACGCCCGTGACCTTGTTGAAGACGAGTGCCAAGGAAATCAACTCTGTGCCTGTCTGGAGGCTGATGAGGCCAAAGAGAGTCTGGTTGCGAGTCTGTCAGCGTCAAGACTCTCTACCTTTGCAGCTTGATCGGTCTCTCCTCGACCAGAGAGAGGGAGCTGCGAGTGACCTACCTTGGGCCGCGGTATCCGCAGATACAGCCTCGTAAACTTGGACATGATGAACAGAGGTGTCTTCCTCGTAACCGTCGTTGCTTGACACTGAAAAGACAGCAAACAGCCGTAATCGCCCGACAATCCAAGCGAAAAAGAGGCAAAAGGGAAAAGAGCAAAGCGACGACACGAGCAAAGCCAAACGGCGGAAAATGCGGTTTGGGGATCTCAAAAGGTTTCGGCGGCAGCGGAGATGGAACTGCGCCCAGGAGAGAGACACGAGCGAGAAAGTCGCAAGCGCGCTTGGCCGCATCTGGCCAATCACAGATGGCATGCGGTGCGGGTGTCACATGACATGTCACATGGGTCATGCTTCAGCTCGGGACGCCCGAACTCGGGCATGATCCAATCCAAAGGAGCGAAACAATTGCCGAGGCCGTGCATGAGCTCTTGAGCAGGGCAACTTGTGTGAATCCACTCGTCACGTCACCGGGCGATGTCGAAGTGGCTTCATGTTGTTTGAAGTAGCTGCTCAGTGTACTTTGGCTGATTATTGCTGGCTTTGGGAGTTGATAGTGATGATACTCAATGCCACCTATTAGCTTAAGCATCCAATAGCGGCACATTCAACGCTGTGTGAAGCTCAAATCGATCCACTAAATCTGCCGTTTCCCTGCAGCTTAGCCAACCTACAATAATACACCAGTGGCACGACCTCTGATCCATCCATCGTGCTCTGTGCGCTATATTATAAAGCACACATACATACTACATACGGTAGCAGCTAGTATTAACACCGGGCACTTCCGGATGAAGAGCTCTATCCTGTCCAGAACACAACATCTCTGGACATTGAATCCATCTGCCACCCTTCGGCTCCCGATTTTGCATACAATCAGAGCCCAGGCCATCACTCCCAGGGTCCAGCCAGCCAAAGCCTTTCATTCCGGTCAACGAGCCCATTCGACTCACACCTCACAAAAGCTACCCTGCAACAGCAACAACCCTCACTTCTCAACCCTCACTCTCACAGCACCGCCATCACCAACACTCTCATTCTCATTCTCAGCCTCACACTCACAAACCCACCACACAATGGCAACCCCAACCCCCACCACCTCGGCCGCAGCCCTCATCGAGTCCGCCAAGAAAGCCGCCGCCTACCAGGCCGTCGCCGACCACCTGCCCCCAACGGCCACCTTCGTCGGCATCGGCTCCGGCAGCACCGTCGTCTACGTCGTCGAGGCCATCGCCGCCAAGGGCCCGGCCTTCTCCGCCGACATGACCTTCGTCCCCACGGGCAGCCAGTCCAAGGGCCTGATCCGGGCGGCGGGCCTGCGGCTGTGCAACCTCGACGAGAGGCCCCTCGTGGACGGCGTGCCGGTTGCGCTGGACGTTGCGTTTGACGGGGCGGACGAGGTGGACGAGGATCTGAATCTCATCAAGGGGGGCGGTGCTTGTCTGTTTCAGGAGAAGCTTGTTGCTGTGGCGGCGAGGAAGTTTATTGCCGTTGCCGGTATGTCTTAACCGCCCTGCCTGATATATATATACACATATACATATCTTTCATCATGAGTTGACGCGATTATTTTGACATCACGAGTTTGACTGACACAACTCTGTATAGATTCCCGCAAGCGATCAGCCAGGCTGTGCACAAAATGGAAAACCATCCCCATCGAGGTCCTCCCCCTCGCCGCCCCAGACGTCCTGAGCCGCCTCAAGGCCATGGGCTCCCCCAACCCCGTCGTGCGCTCCGGCCTGCCCAGCAAGGCCGGCGAGTGCGTCACCGACAACGGCATGTGGATCATCGACGCGCCCTTCCCGCCGCTGCTCCTCCCCAAGGACCTGACCCCGCAGGTCCAGGGCAACGGCGAGGACGGCGTGTGGGAGATTGGGAAGCTGGCCGAGGAGCTGGTCAGGCTGCCCGGCGTCGTGGAAATCGGCCTCTTCCACGGCTTCAACGGCGTGCAGGCCGTGAGCCGGGGCAAGGAGTTCCAGGCGCAGAAGCCGGTGGCCGCCTACTTTGGTACACCCACCGGCGAGGTCCAGGTGCAAACGGCGGCATAATGGCACTTCTATAAAGAAAAAAAAGAAAGAAAAAAAAGAAAGAAAAAAAAGAGTAGGGAGCCAAATACCGTAAAAAACATGCATGGACGGGACAAACAAGGTCACACTGACAATGACGAGCGGCAAAGAAAACAAAAACGCCGGAGAGCTTCATTAAGCACGTTTAAATTCATTATTAGTATGTGTATAAACGATCGTGGGCACGTTATCCTCGTTGCAGTTGGCAGGTATTATACAAGTCCCATGCACGCGCCAAGCTTCGAACTGATATCCTTTGTTTGGGGCATTCAATGCATTGTGACCGCAGAGCGACGCTGAAAGGGGGATACTGCTAGTCGGTTTGTCTTTTTTGTTTGGTCTTGTCGGGGGCGTTTCGAACCTCTATCATCACGGACTCCAAGAGCATCTTTGCTTAACACGAGCAGCCTTCCTGAGGGGCCTGTGTTGTGTTTGTCCGCACATCAATCACTGCAAAGGGGGAACAAGAGTTAGTCGGATTGACATCAAGAGTACCCGCCCCCGGACAGACCGGCATGACCTCTGGTAACACATGCATATGTTGAAGAGAAGATGAGGGAGAGACTTACTTTGGTTGGTCGCCTGGGCAGCGGCATCGGACCCCTCCATGCCAGGCAGCGCCTGTGCTATCCTCTTGAAGAGGTTCTGTACGTTGTGGCCGAGCTTGGCGCTGGTCTCGACAAATCTCAGCCCCTGTCGCTTGGCCTCCTCCTCTCCCTGCTGGGTCGTGACCTCTCGCTTATCGTTCAGATCGGTCTTGTTGCCCACCAGCACGATGATGACGTCGTTTCCTCGCTCTGCCCGGACGTCGTCAATCCACTTTTTGGTGTTTTGGAATGATTTCGCATCTAAGTCGGGAGTAAAAGATGTGGTTAGTCCCATGATATGCACCTGGTGGGGCCTCACCGCGAGTTTGGGGGAGTTCTGGCGGTGGGGGGGGGGAAGAAAGCGAAGAGTGAGGGCTTCCATACTAGAGATATCGTAGACGACAACGGCAACGCTCGAGTCACGGATGTATGAGGGGATCAAGCTTCGGAATCGTTCCTGTCCCGCAGTGTCCCACAGCTGTAGTCGTACCGTCCGGTCCTCGAGGTACATGGTCTGCCCACCCCCCGGGTTGTTAGCTGAGGTTCGCCCGCTGCCGGCAGCTGGTGTGGAAGAGACGGCCGTACCTTGGAGAGGAAATCGATGCCAATGGTTGCCTGGTACATGTTGTCGAACGAGTCGTACATGAACCGGGTGATGAGAGACGTCTTGCCGACTGCGTCGTCGTAGACTCGGTCAGTTCGCCAATGCCAGCAAGATGCAGGGTGGAGCCGGGACGAAGAATCACATACCGCTTTGTTCCCCCAAGAAGACCAGCCTGGAGAGCAGAATCACCGTTAATGACTGAGGGGACACCGGGCCAATGAAGCAGCAGCAGGCAGAGTCACATACTTGAACTTCTTCAAGGGGTTGTTGTAGGATCCTCCGGTCTGCGCCATGGCTGCGTGTCGTGTCCGTGTCGTGTATTATCGTGTAGTCAAGTGGCGTGCGATGCTGGGAGACAAAGGTCAAGTCTGCCGAGTTGTGCTGCTGGTCTGGTACTGGTAGAAAGAGGGCAGCAGCGGGCGTCGTCCAATTGTGCGCAAGCTGTGAATCGCCGTTCGTATCGTCGTCTCTCGTGACCCAAGGTGTGAGTGAAAGCAGCAAGCCGTCGAAAGGAGGTGACAGTTGGACAATGACCGCCACCAGCGTCTCTCCAGCTCAATAAATACTGGCCAACAAGAGCCACTTTGGGCTGGCCAGCAGTGCAGTGAACAGTTCATTCGGCCTCCGCAGAAGCCCCGCTAAGGCATTTGATCCCACCAGACCGTTTCTTTACACCGTCTGATTGGGGACTTGGCGGGGGAAGGTATGCGCAACCTCAGGCACGCATGCTGCACGCACCAGGGACGAGGTACCGTCTACTCCGCCGCTCGCGGGACACACAAGGGACCATTGAAAACGGCCACCAACTCCAGGGCCCCACTAAAAAATCTCGAAAAGCTGCTGATAAGATCTTTTGCGACTTGGGACAAGACAGCAGAAACAACAAGCCGGTACTATTGATCTCGGATTTTACGCCTCAATTCGATCGCTCATCGACTCGCTTGGTTTGCGGCAGGACAGAGAGAGAGAAGAAGAAGGATTACACAGAAAAAAATGCCTGTTCTTCGGTCGGCCACCGCCGGCTCAGGCGAGGCCCCCAAGCAGTTCACCCAGCCCTCCAGAAAAGGCAAAAAGGCATGGAGGAAGAACGTCGACGTGACAGAGGTCGAGGAGGGCCTGCGAGAGCTCAACAATGAAATCATTCGAGGGTACGAATGACTCTCGTCTACGTCGCAATCTGTGCTAACGTCTCCCTCTCTCTCACAGCGGCGTCATCCGAGAAAAGGCTTCCGAGGATATCTTCACCATCGACACGGCAGGCGACTCCAAGATCCCCCAAAAGTTCCCCAAGCACGTCAAGAAGGGCCTCAAGGCCGACGAGATCATCAACAAGCGCTCCGCCGTGCCCGCCGTCTCCATGCGCAAGCGCCCCGGCGACAAGACGACCGACGGGCTCGTGTCCGCCAAGCGCCAGAAGACCGACTGGGTTTCGCACAAGGACCTCGCCCGGCTGAAGAAGGTGGCCGACGGACACCACGAGGACACAATCGCCGTCAAGGACGCCTCGTTCGACCTCTGGGACGCCCCCGCCGAGCAGCCGGCGGCGGTCAAGGCCCCGACGGATTTCCTGCCCGAGAAGACGGAGCCCAAGGTCCCCAAGACCATGAAGCAGCAGCCGCTATCCCTTCTCGCCAACGGAAAACAAATCCCTGCCGTCCCCAAACCCACCGGAGGATACAGCTACAACCCTTCCTTCCCTGAGTACGAGTCCCGACTGGCTGAGGAGAGCGCCAAGGCCATCGAGGCCGAGCAGAAGCGCCTCGCGGCCGAAGCCGCCGAGGCCGCCAAGCTCGAGGCCGCCGCGCGATCAGCAGCCGAGGCAGAGGCTGCCGAGCAGCGCGCCAACATGTCCGAGTGGGAAGAGGACTCGGAGTGGGAGGGCTTCCAGTCGGGCGTCGAGGACGAGCGGCCGAGCGCCAAGCAGCCCAAGCGCAAGACGCAGGCCCAGCGGAACCGCATCAAGCGCCGCAAGGAGGAGGAGCAGCTCGCGCGGCACAAGGCCGAGATGAAGGCCCGCCGCGCGCAGGAGCAGCGCATCAAGGAGATTGCCGCCGAGGTGGCCGAGAAGGAGAAGCAAAAGGCGCTCATGCTGGCGCAGCAGGCCGCCGAGCAGCAGGAGGAGGACGACGACGGCGAGATCAAGGAGGAGAAGCTGCGCAGGAGGCAGCTGGGCAAGTATAAGCTGCCCGAGAAGGATCTCGAGCTGGTCCTGCCCGACGAGCTGCAGGAGTCGCTGCGGCTGCTCAAGCCCGAGGGCAACCTGCTCAAGGACCGGTACAGGAGCATGCTGCTTAGGGGCAAGGTCGAGATCCGGAGACACATTCCCTTCAAGAAGCAGGCCAAGACAAAGGTTACCGAGAAGTGGACGCACAAGGATTTTGTTCTGTAGACAGACTGATATTTTCTTTGTTTTACTTGTTCACCTGCTGCATATTTGTCTTGGGGGTTTTTATCTTGTTGTTATTCTATTTGTTGCTTGCTTCTTTCTCGGTTTACAAAACAGGCATTATGAGATCATGGCGCCATAATACTGCTCAGAGCACAAAAGGAGGGCTGCTGCATGAAGACGCTTTCTTCCAGCTATTTATTACACAATAAATGATATCAAAACGCATCGAAAATGCAAACAAATGTGCCTAATTCCCTCCCCCTTGTCCAGGTGCCAGCCCCCCCTCCCTAACAAAACACCTTGCTCCCTGCTGGGAATCTAAGATGTGCCTCCGTCTGACAAATCTTTTTGCTCGTTCTAACGCTCATAAACACATTGTCCAAGTCTTCTACTCATGGCCCTCCAGCGCCCATACAGCCAAGCATAATCTTCGATTTAGAAAGCGACGAGATCTGGAAACAGTCAGTATTTGGGGGCAATGAGAAAGACGAGAATCAAAACATACCTCTACCAAACAGCCCTCGCTTCGCCCAGTCCATGGCCATCAAGCTCCTCGTCCTGAAGCTCACGCTCTGCGCAAAGTAGACGGACCTCCAGGCATACACGGCCCAGAGCCCGCCGGCCATGCTCCAGCCCTCTCCCAAGTCGAACACGGCCGAGTTTCCAATGTACGCCAAGCTGCCCAGGTGACGGTACTCGAAAGCCTTGTACACGGCGGCATCCAAGTCACCATCTCGAATGTCGTTCGCCAGCATGGCCTCTGAGATCTTGGCCAGCTTGTTGAACTTGTGGGCGAGGTACTGTCCCTGCTGGTGGGCACGCTGTGCCGTGGCCGGGAGCGACGTCAGCTTGCTGTCGATCTGCTTCAGGAGCTCCCTAAGCTCGCCGAAATCGAGCGTCCCCGACTGGTCCTTGTCAAATTCATAAAAGAGTTTATCAAGGCGCTTGAGATGGTTGATCGCCTGCGGAAACCGCTTCTTCACATCGGCAGCAACGTTTCGCCAGTCCGAGAAATGCAGCTGAAGTGACTCCGGCTCGATCCCACGCGACCAAGCCAGCTTGCGGAGAAAGCTGACGATGCTGTCGGCAACGTTGTTCTGCACAGTGGCGCAGTCACCAATGGCATAGACATCGCCGAGGGGAGCACCGTTGAGGCGGAGGTGAGTGTCCGTTTCCAGCGCGTGTCGGTTCGTCTGGCTGGGACCCAGCTTCTTGGCCAGTTTCTGCGACAAGGCCGTAGGAGACACGCCGGTAGACCACAGACAAAAGCCTATAGGCAGCTCCTTGGTGACCACGGTGCCATCCTCTTGCTTCTGGCTGAAAATGATCTTGTCCGCCTGGACCTCCTTGACTCGCGAGTTGGTAAGCACCTCGACCTGGTCGCGGGCAAATCGCTCCTCGGCGTACTTGGAAACCGTCTCGTCGTAGGTGTTTAGGATATGGCTTCGGCTCTGGATGATGTGGACGGAAATCTCGTTTCGCAGCAGACGAGGAAAGTGTCGGGTAAGATCCTCATTCAGGAGATCGAACAGCTCAGCGGCGAACTCAACGCCAGTCGGACCACCACCGCTGACGACAAAGGACAGAAGCCGCTTGCGTTCCTCGTCCGTGGTTGTAGGCAGACAGGCGCACTCGAGGTTCTGAATGACCTTGTTTCGAATCATCCGGGCATCATTAATGTCCTTGAGGAAAAAGGCATTCTCCAGCCCCTTGACGCCATGAGGGTTTGTTGCTGAACCGACGGCAATGACCAGCTTATCATAAGGGACGTAGAAACGGACCTCCTGTCCCCTGTGATCGAGCTGGGATACCTCGACAAGCTTGTAAGAGAACTCGACGTCTTCCGCCTTGGCACGTATGAAGTGGCCGTGGACGCGGCTCAGTATCCTTCGAATCGGCTCGACCAGAGAGCGCAGCTCCAGTGTTCCCACAGTAGCCGACGGCAGCATGGGCGTGAAGAGGAAGTAGTTTGTCGGAGAGATGACGGTGACGTGGTAGTCGTCCGGGTTCAGGTCCTTGAGAAGCGCCACGCCGCCCCAGCCTCCGCCGAGAACCACAAGCCGGGGCTTCGACTTGCCGCTGCTCACGTCGTCGTCGATGAAGACCTCGGCGATGGGCAAGTTCTTGGGCCCGCCGCGGCGAGGCTGGAGCGCGAGCTGCGAGACGTCAATGTCGCTCTGCGTGCCGTGTTCCTTGTAAGTGCTGGCGTCGTAGAGAAAGAAGCCAAAGATGCCGGTCCCCACGACGACACATGAGATTCCAAGCCACGCCGCCATCCGGTAGAGGAAGTTGAGCACCCATGACCTGGGCTGGGGCAGCGGCTTTCCGGACAGCGCGCGGGAGAAGACGAGGCTTGGGGAGCGAGGCTGTGGCTGAAGTCGTTCGGTCGATTCCGCTGCCGGAGTGCTTCGCGTACTAGTTCGGGAGTAGAGCTTGGAGAAGGCGCGCAGCTGCGCACATCTCGTCGAGCGGATGGCCGTTCGGGAGCTGAGGGAGAGACGCTGCCTGCAGGCGCCGCTCGCTGCCAGGCGGAGGGACCCCAATTGCGCTGAGGCCAGTGGCATCGTCAACAGCAAGTCAATGGAGTCGACGCAGTTCCTTCATGGGAGGCCTCGAAGGTGTGCCCTGCTGCCAATTGGCGGATTGCAGGGAGTCGGACACGAATCGGCTAGCACAGGTAAGGTAGTAACAGCTTGTGTCTGTCACCCTGCTGGCCGAGTGATGCTCTCGTGAAGCTGCTCGTGGTCGTACCTGGTAGCTATGAGCTGATTGTCGCACGGGGCAGCCGAGTTGTGCTTCCTCGAGACGACGCCTGATTGACCTTGTGGGAGTGAGAGATTTAGACGGAATGGCCTGCCTTTGCAATTGACATACGAAGCTTAGTCCAGGTACTCGTACTACTAAGGTATATAAGGTATGTGCGCTATTATACTGAGGTGGTGATATGCCGGGCAAAGCCCATGGCGTCATAGGCTCGAGCAAAGCACACTAGCCGGCGTCCAGGCCCCCACTGAGTCTGCGGTTAGGCCTCGAGAGCGGACCAGGAACGCCGCCCGTTCCAGCGTCAAGGAGCTGCAATTATCTAATGGTGATGTTAAGCAGAAGGAAGACGGCTGAGATGCAATTGAACATCACTGCTAAAAGGCCACTAGACGACTGACTACATTACGTGCCTGTGTTCCGCAAAACTGGACTAGATACTCCGTGAGGGCTGATGCAAGGCTGATCATGAGAGATGAGGCTATGATGCTCGTGAGACAAGCAGGCACTAATGAGAATGCCCGGGACACAAACTGAAAAGGCTAATACTAGTAGAACTGGAAAGCAAGAACAGAGAAGAAAAAATTGAAAGTAGCCGACTTGTGCTTCACACGCTTGACAGAGATTGGCCGAACCTGAGGCCCAACGCAGGCGAGTCATCGGAGGCCGGAACTCGGCTCTTGAGCGTCCGCCTCGCGGATATGTCGCGGATGCCGACGTCGGTTTCCCTTCGGGAGCTCCGCCGACAGGGCGGACGTGACCAGGGCCCTAATACATGGCTCGGGGATGCTACCGCTTCAGTATATCTCATGCAAACAAACGGCTTTGCATGTAAAAGCACCCATCAAACACCGTTGCTTCACAGCGCCCTGCCTGGAAATTGCAGGCCATCATGCACACAACTCGTCCACGCAGTAAACATGCACGCATGTCGTTGTCATCGGCGTCAACGTTCGAGTAGCAAGCACTTGCGATGCGAGCTGGCCGTCAAGAGTGTGATTCACCCAGTCGCATGTCATGTGAATAGGGTGGTATAGTCATTAGAATGGCAAGCCGCTCGCTGCTCAACAACGGAAATATCTCTTTTCCACCCAGCGCTGCTCCGCGTGGGGCAGCAGATTGCACACCACGGCCGTGATCTCTGGGAACACCGTCATCAACCTGTGCAAGCCAACTTTTCCGGCGGAATAAGTGGCCAAGACGATACGTTCCAGGGCGACGCCGTGGTCGACGAGGACTTGAACAGCCATAAGAGCTGCTCCTCCGCTGGCCATTTGTGTGTCTAACAAGAGCACGCTCTCATGCTCGTGGATATCTTCTGGCAGGCGCAGGTAATGAAGCTCTGGTTCGCCGGTTGAATAGCTGGATTGGATCAGAAGCCGTCCCGTCCTGCAGTCCGGAATCGTCTTTCTGAGAGCTGGCTCAAAGGCCGATCCTCCCCGGAGCACAATCACGGCGCTGACCTCTCCCTTGGGGCATAAACCGTTGTACTTGTAACCCGGTGGCGTCTCAATCGTTGCTTCTTCAAAGTGGACGTTGTTCAGGGCCCTGTCATCAAGTCAGCATGCATCGCCCTTGATGTCGCAAACATGCCCTGGTTCGACCTACTGTTCAATGATCAAGGCGGCAAGGCGATCAAAGTAAAAGATAAAGTCTTCGGCTGACGTGTCGATGTCCTGGAGGATGGTGTTCATGAATTTGATCTGAGGCCCTTCGCTCATGACTACGACACGGTCGGAGAGAGGCTCCTCCTTGCCCTTGGCCTCCAGTCTGGCCAAAGCCTCGCGGTGGTGAGTTGACTTTTCAAACAGCTTCTTCTCGATGAACTGAGTCATCATGTCTTTTCGTCATTGCTCAACATTAGCCGAAATGTTCCTCAGTCTGAATTTGCCTTATCTTCGTGGTGAACATGAACTCACCAAGCGCTACCTGATTCTCGATGCCTCTCGGAATGATAATGTCTGCCACTTTGCGCTGTGGCTCGACGTACTAGTTCACACGAAACGAGCTTCAGTAAGCGAAGAGTCCCATACTGAGACAAGTTGCAGCCCGAATGGAATATCTCACCTTTTCAAAGTTGGGCTTCACAAAGGCGAACCACTGCTTTATGCAGCCCTCGACGTCTCGCCCTCGTTCCCGGACATCTCGAACAACTGATATAGATGATGAGTACTTGCATCTTCGTCGGCATCTCTACGGACAAGGGAAATGGCCTACTTCTCCTCGACAAACAAGTGTCTGCATCAGCCTCACAATAGATCTAAGAAAACAAGTCAGATCCAATACTGTGGCATCGTCGGCGAGGCTGGCATACTCCCATATCGCATAGCTCACGGACCCGCGGGTCGTAGAGGGCAAAGATGCCTTCCAAAACGAGGACGTGCGGGGAATAGATGGATGTGGTCCTCTCCAGTCGTGCGTGATGAGCGAAAGAGTACACCGGAATCTCTGCTCGCTTTCTAGAAGGGTAGGGTCAATGAGCATGTCCGGAACAGGTGCATCGGCGGCAGGTCATCGTTACCCAGCTTTCAAATCCCGTAGAGAGCTGATGAGGGCATCGAAATCAATGGCGTCTGGTGAGTCGAAGTCGTATTCGTTGGCAAAAGCCAATTTGGACTGGGCAGGGGTCAATGTCTTATAGAACGAGTCCTGGACTGGTCGTTAGCCACGACAATCCGAGTCCCGTTGCTTCTCCAAGGGGAGTTCATGCCATGGAAAGAATGACAACCCAGGGCAGGTTGAGCTTCTTCACAATAGTCTGAGACAGCGTCGACTTGCCGGAGCCCGAGCTGCCAGCGATGGCAATGATGCTCACGTCTGCCCATGGCGGAGAGTAGTAAGCTCGCTTCTGAACCGTGACATGGCTCTCGAGCTGCGACATTGCTACCGCCAGGACAAACGCTGGCCCAGACTGTGACTTGGGCTTTGGACCGACAGGCCGTCGTTACGGGTGAAGAGCAAGCAGAGGTTACGCTTTTGCTTTTATCCTAGAATAGGGTACAAGAGTTGATCAAGTGGGAAGTGGCTCGCGTGATCCACCCCGTCGGTAGTGGCCAAGGCGAGTTTTTCTGTCGGCGCCAGTGATACCGTAAGGGCTGCTGCTGAAAGCCAAGAGCTGAAGGCGGTTTGCGAGAACAGAGGCGCCAGGACCGTGGAGAGCACGAATAAGGGGAGCAGAGCAGAGGACAGCTGCGGTGAAGCGGACGACGATCGATAGATAGTGGTGAACTGACGGTCAGCGCGCAGGACAAAATCTTATCGGGCTGCACTGCTGTCTTTGTGTGGCTTTATGGCCCGGCAACCCACCTGAATTGAGGCTTCGAGGGCGTGGCACGGAGATGCCCGCTCGACAGCTTGGCCCGCTAAGATAATGGCCGGATCGACCCCATCCAGGCGACGTGTGAGGCGCCTGATAGGTCTGATAGGGCTTTGGTGAGGCACAGGCACCGCACCGCGCTGCAGCTAGTAATAAGCAATTGAAGCATGTGCCGGCCGGGCTAACGCTCACATGGTCGGCAGCGTCTAAACAGGGATGGATTGGGCAGAGATCGAGGAGGCCTTGATGTGAGGCTGATGGCGGACCGACATCTTTAGTTAGACTGTGGTGGTTGCTGAGCTTTGATCAGGCAGCCTTGTCTCGTGCTCCCTGAGAGGCTGCCAGTGCCTGCTCAGTCAATGGCTTCAGGGCTCCTTCCCGTCCCTCTGGCTGGCCAAGACCCGAAGCTGTGGCTGCCAAACTGGGGGAGAGGAACCTGCCCCAAGAGCCTTGAGGTATCCAAGTACCTATCGATACCCAAACGCCACGACCTGCGGAATCCAATGATCTTGGGCGTTTTGCGTCTTAGATCCAATCCAATTTTATTCGAGGTCCTGCTGCTCCATTGACATCTGACGGAGTGCTCCGACACGAACGCTGTGCTAATACAAACCTTGCTGCAGCAGACCTGGTCTTGGAGACTCCAACCCCCTGAACATGCTTGACTGATATCAAGGGCCCGATATACTTGTACCATCTACAGCGTATCCGTCCCAGCCACGAAGCCTCTTACCGTGGATGTCTGAACTCTTTTCCTCGTTGAAAATTTTTCCTCTGCTTTTTCTTCCCGTCTTCCACTCATTCACCTTCCATCACAGAGCCCTCGGGATAACGCGTTCCATTACGTTACAGATGGGGTCCTTTGACCGTCGCGTTATGTAAGCTGCCTCCCCCACCAGAGCCCTGAGGGCAAATGCAGCCGCAAAAGCTACTGTGGAGCGTCTTTAAGCCATCTGCGCCCCCTCATTGGCCCGTCCGTCCGCCTGTGAACGGGGCCACCCACCCTCCAAAAAGGGCATCTGCTGCTCCTCCGCCGCCGCTGAAAATCGCTTCCTTTTCCTCATACATACCAAACTTTTCCCTCGTCTCTATCTCACCTCCCGCCACATCCAGCCCAGCGTCAGCCTCTTCGCGAGCCAGCGGTTTCCACGACTCCGGCCTGCCAATGCGCTGAAACGGTGGCATCTCCGGCTTCCTCCTTGGCTGCCCGCGCACGCCATGAGCCTCCCATTGCCCGCATTTGTCGCATCTGCCGCACTTCCGCTGCTGCCTGACTGTAACTAGAGCTGCTGCCGACTGTCTGCGGGACAGCCGTTGACCTCCATAGTACGGTCTTTCTCTTTGCGCCTTGCACCCCGCGCCATGTCCTGACTCTCTGCGCAGATGTCGTCGGCTTCTACAGCTACTCCGGCTAAGCATGCCTTTGAGAGGCGTGTTGAAGGGGTCAAGTCTCCCAAAAAGTACGTATAATTCATCATAGTACTCTTCTCCCCTCCCTAGACACGATGCTTCCTATATGATGAACACGATATCAATGGGAATCTCTCCGAGAAAACTCCTGCGGAAAACCGATACAATCTTCTTCTTTGCCTGAACCCTACCGAAGCATCCGTCTTTCTTCCGCCATCTTCCTGCTATTCTGGCTGGTACAGGTTTACTGACTGGTATCCAGTGATATTAATGCTTTGATTTTGGACTATTTGACCATGGAGGGCTACCCAAATGCGGCCGCAAGGTTCTCGAAAGAGGCAAACTTGCCGCCGCTGCAGGACACCTCGGACATTGAAACGAGGCAGGAGATTCAGAACTGCATCCATAGTGGCAACATCCAAGCTGCCATTGAGACTCTGAACGAGTATGATCCTGAGGTAGGTTCTGATCACTGTTGCCGCGGCTCCTTCCTTCACCCCTTCATGATTAAAACAAGAGTTTATACATGCACCACGCATATGGTCGGTTTACCGGCCCGTGATGAGAAACACCACTTTTTTATGATACATTACCTGGTCCTGCCTCTGCATCCTGCTCTCTTCTGGCTTCGACATCAGTACATCGTTTCTAACATGCGATTCAGATTCTGGACGAAGACAATGCTTTGCATTTCTCTCTGCTGCGCCTTCAACTCGTCGAGTTAATCCGAGCATGCAATGCATCAGGAGGAGATATCAGCCCTGCGCTGAAATTTGCTACGGAGCAACTCGGTCCGCGGGCTTCCACAAATCGCCTCTTTCTGGATGATCTGGAAACAACCATGGCCCTGCTTTTGTTCAGCCCTGACAAGCTGGAGCCGCAATTGGCAGCCCTCCTTGACCCTGGCCTGCGTCGTGAAGCCGCAGACAAGGTGAACAAAGCCATGCTGGAAAAGCAGTCGATCCGACGTGATGCTGCCATTCGTCAGCTCGTTAAGATGCGAGCCTGGGCAGAAAATGCGGCGCGTGAGAAGGGAACCAGCCTTCCGGACCGTCTCGATATCGGATTGAAAGGTGAAGAGCCCTCAAACCAGCCCTGGCGAACCTACAACTCCGAGAACGGACATGAACCCATGATGACGACCTGAACCATTGAATGATGCTTATGAATACTACGCTCCCCGCCAAACCCTCCTACCTTACAAGGCTTCTACTATAATGATAATTGATGCGCATGATGACACGTATTGTTTGTTACAATATGCCACATGGAGCAGTACACGCAGGCGCACCCATGACGCCGAATGTTCCGCTCAACAATCATCATGCAGCTGAGAAGGAAACTACAGAATGCGTGAAGCAATGGACTACTTGCACTAGTAGTAGCGATGGAAAGAATGTTCTCTAGCTACTCTTTCTCCCATGATTCTAGCTTGGTAGAGCTGAACAGCTTGCCTAGTAGCGTACAGACCGAGTCAAATAAAGATGAGCAACATCGTCACAAGTCCTCCAAGTCCTCTTGACAGACCACTTCGTGAATCAAAAATCTTCGATAACAATTTCTCTTCTAATAATCAGACAAGGACAGGCATATCCAATGCCTTACTTTGTCCGGACGTGCTTCAGCTTGTTGGGCGTGTAGAGGAAGTTGTTTGCGTAGGCCTTTGGTGTGAACTTTCGCGAGTTGGGCTCCTGGACAAAGTACTCGTAGCCCTGCTTCTCGGCGAAATGGATGGCGTCCTCCTTGGACTTGAAGTTGATGTGTGTTCCCTGCATGAAATCTCCCGAAGACTGCCATCCGATCAGCGGGTTCTCCCATCGGTGTCCCTTGGGCAGGATGTCCCAATCCATTCGCCAGCGCTCGCCCCTGAAGTCGCCAGATTGTGTAGCGGGCTTGGTCTCCTTGTAGATGCTAATGTCTGTGTCAGAAAAGACGTGGATCGTGTGAGACGAGGTGGCCGAAGGTCAAACTAACCGAACTGTCCGGGCCTGAAGTTCGATAGGAGCACCCGAGATGGTGGCGGCCGCGAGGACGTCTTCAGTGCCGTCCTGCACACGCTTGGGGACCGGAGTATATGTTCTGCATCCCGGTCAGCCTCTCATCCTCATCTCCAACCCAAGGATCGCTTCTCGTACGAGGTGGCCTTGTCGTTGGGGGCGTCGTAGTCGGGCTGGTTGGCGGCGCCGGGCATCGCAGGAACAACGTCGGCGGGCGAGTTCACAGAGCTTCCAAAGCGGCGGGGCACCGAGGCCAGCGCGATCCGCGGGCGCACGGCATTGCGCAGCAGGCGGGCGGCCGACTGAGTTCTGAGAGACGCCATGGCTGGAAGCAATTCCCGTGGTTTCTCTCGAATTGAAATTGGGAGGCCTTTTTCTTTGTCCGTGACGGTCGCTTGCGATGGTGGTTTGCGGCGAATATGTTTCGGGGCGACGGCAGAGAGCGCTGATTGGGCGGTGCGGAGCGATGTTTTGCCGAGAACGAGTGCTTTTCGGCAAAGAACCTCTTGCGCTGCTGCGGATCGTGTGAACGTTCAAATCCAGCGATTCCTCAACATTCCGCCCATCTCTGTCGAGCGTCTATTCCTCGTTATCCGACACCATGAGCTTCGTCACTCGCCGAGCGCTTTCGACGCTCATTCCTCCCAAGGTGAGATCTGTGGCGGCTTGTGGGGGTGCCTGACGTTTTGCTAACGGAGAATATGTAGATTGCCTCCCCCAAGGTATGATGCCATCCCAGATGATTCGAGAAACGACGCCGGATTACGCATGTCCAACTTGCTCGAAAAAGCGCAATCACGATGGAGGAGAATGGATTGTTGTGCGAGGAAGACGGACTGCGAGGCTCTGATCGGACGACGTGCGGGACAATGGACAACTGGCTAACGAAGGATCCTCGATGCTAGGCAATTGGTGCTGCTCCTGATGCTCTGCGCATGCAGCGTGTCGTGAGCTTCTACGAGAAGCTGCCCCGGGGTGCCGCCCCTGAGGTCAAGGCCAAGGGTCTTCTCGGACGCTACCAGGCCAAGTACTTTGGCAAGAACGCTTCTGCTACTCGTACGATATACCTTTGCCAGGTCCAAAGCCTCAGATGCGGGATTCAAGCTGACATGCCTCGATTTTGTATAGCCATCGTCCACGCCCTGCTCTTCCTCATCGGCATTGGTTACGCTCAAAACTACTACTTCCACCTGCGTATGTACTTGGAGCTGTCTGTTCCGGTTGGGTAATCGGTAGCTAATGTCTGGAATAGGTCACCACAAGAACAATGCGCACTAAAGTACTATGGATGGTTTGTTGACGCCGCTCTTCTCGAGACAACGAGTGGCCATGTAAATAGACTTAGAACGGTGCTGTGTATGCCCACGCCCGGACTTCCTTATGTACTATCAGACACGCATTGAATACTTGTTCTCTCTCCTATTCGATGATGTGAGTGGTGGACAACGCTGAGCCCTGGCCGGCCTGCAGTTTCATCCGACGCTGGCCTTGTTCTTCTGCCTCTGGTCTCGGTGCTAGAAGGTACAAGCATTGCGGACAGAGGATCCCGAGAACCTCGAAGGCAATAAAGCATAAGTGTGCAGCCATGCTTCTTCCACTGAGAAGTATAAAGTGTTATTCACTTCCTAAGTTCATATTGCCATGGTTATCAAGTTCCGTCTTGGTCGTGTGACTGGTCTTCACAAACACGGGCAGCAAGTGAAATGGAAACTGATCGACCGTGCCATGAGTCACTCGGTAGAGGATCTGCTGATGCTGACAGCCTGGCTGGCAGGAGGAACAAAACGCCTATTGGGGGATGCTCATATCGAGCTTGATTTCATCGCAATAGAGCCCAGCAGTAGCAATTGTGTTTGCCCGTTACCATTCTTAGTCTCAAGCTCCCGGGTCAGCATTCAATCGTCATCCTCTCCCGGCACATGCGGTGCAAAATTCGCAGACACTGTGCAGAAGTTCGTGCTACACCCAGCCGCCCTCCTCAATAGCACCACGGCGCCTGAACAATAGGCCCTATACTGGTTGCGGGCTGGTCAGCTTGCGGCTGTCCTCAGCGCTCTCACAACGGGGGCTACAGTGGCTTCAGTGGCCGTTTGGCCGCGCACGGGCCCCCCGATCAGGCGGAACTTTCCCACTCAGCGCTAGGCCATAACCAACGGCCTGCAGCTTCGAAAATCAGGTCGCTTCCACCTCACCATCACGATTGCAAGCAAATTGCAGCCGAAGCCTCACGAGCACGGCGACCCATCCCGACGACCCCTTCCGCCGACACCGACCCTCGCTGCGAGGCCCTGGAAGAGAGGACTCACCCCCCGAAGTCTCCGCTGCACCGCCCGCCGCCGTCGCCTGTATTATCTCGAGAGCCATCGGGTCGTTCCACTCGCGATTCCAGCTCCCCCTCCTCTGCGTCTCCTCCTCTGCCCTCGTCGATCCCACGCTGCGGCCTTTCTCTCGGGTGCTGCTCAGGGCAAACGAGCACACCGCCAGGCCCTGTTCCTAGTCGAAACCCTCGAGAGGCGATTTGGTTTCCGCTCCCGTGTCTGGCTAGAGTTCGCATCTTACGATTCCCACCGGCGCACACCTGCCACCACGACGGATGATGGCCACGGAGCCCTCCACCGACAACTCAGCTGATGTGTTTGCCTCGACTGAACCGCAATCTGTGAGGCGCCTCGATCTCTTCCGCTGCGGAGCTTGCGGGACGCCTCTGTAGTTGGCGTCGACGCAGTTCTGCTTTTCGGCCCCCTCCTCTCATGGGTGTAACGGGAGCTTTGTGTGCTATGAGCTGTGCTAACCTGATGTTGCTCCATCCGCAGGCGTCCGACTCTCGACATGGCGAATTGGAAGCCCCAGCTGTAAACGGAGGCTCTCCGCTGCCAGAAGATATCGCAAACAAGCGCATCACGAATGTCGAGGACCAGATCAACTCTGCAGACGTCAGCGTGAGTGGGGGATCGGACACCGAGGCGTCGCGCGCAAAGGATGGCGAGAAAGGCATAAGCCGCGCTGGCTCCTCGGCGAAGAAGCCGACCACGTTCAAGGCCGTCTCGGTCAACAAGACGTTTCTCGCCTCCAAGGCGAACCCCAGCGTCTCGTCCAAGACCAGCGACAAGCCAGCTGCGGGCTCGAGTACCCCGCCGACCGGCTCCGCCACCTTGTCGATATCACGACCACGGTTGGTTGCAAAGTCTGGTAGCGGTACCGGCACCTCGTCTCCGCGGTTCTCATCACTGGCGAATGGCGGGAAGCCGGCTGCTGCACCTGATCCCAATGCTGTGTGGAACAAGAATAGGCGTATGTGACCCGACCCCAGGTTTTGGCGAGCCCAAGCTAACCCGATCTCCAACTTTTGTGCTAGCGACTCCAGCCCCCGAGCCAAAGAAGTTCACCGATGAAGAGCTCAAAAAGTATGGAATTCACATGGCTAGTCGCCTGAATGAAGAAGATACCCAAGGGCAGAACAAGTGGGCGGACATTGATGACGACGATGACGACTGGGCCCCCGAGGTCATCACTTGGGGAGATGGCACGAAAACCACTCTCCCACATCCCGACGAGACGGCAAAGGCAGCAGAGCGTGCTGCCTCGGAATCAGCCAAGGAGGCTTCACCAGAGAAGCCCTCCTCTCCCGCGCCCCCGGCCACCACGAGCACTCCAGTGCCCAAATCTGGGGGCCTTCCGTCTGGAAAGGGGTTGGTGCTTAAGAGCGCTGCTCAAGAAAAGCCGGTCCTCGTTGCCAAACCTCCAGCACCGCCGGCGCCTGCCAAGTCACCGTGGGCTACCTTGCCGCCTGTCAAGAAAGCATCACCTGGAGTCATAGAGTCGGCGCATCCGCCGCGCGGTTCTCTGCGAGATTCATCCTTCGCCAGTAACATGACTCCTCTACCACATCGAGATATGGGGGCAGACGATTATTCTCGCTCAACTTGGAGAGACAGGTCGTCGTATGGAAATAAAGAGCTCTTCAACTCTCGGTCTGGACGATATGAACCTGTTCCCGATCGCCGCCCGTCGATGCGTTCCGACTCCCAGACCAGGTATCCCGCCTTGCTACAGCGTGGTGGACCTCTACCAGACCACCCAGCCGAGCCCTCTGCCGCGTTCCAGACTAGTCGTACTGCCCCGGATGCGCCATTTGGACGACGCCGCGGATCCTCCAATGTCAGCGGTGGCAGCGGATCGTATTTACAGCGTCTGAGCAAGGGACATGATGGCCATATACCGCCCGGCCCCGAGTTTCTCGGTGTCCGGAGAGGCTCTGCGGCAGGCTCAGTCCTGGAGAGTCCTGTATCTCCTGTGGCGGTATCAGTGATGAGTCAGGGACAATCAAGACACCAGCCATTACCCGATGCAACTTCACGACCCTCTCCTGGAACAAGCTACGCCGCTCCTCATCATGGGAACTCTCACCCCGAGCAGCCTGTAGCACCTCCCTCTCATCGGCTGGAAGATGACATCGAGTTTCAGAAGAAACTGATGCGTGAGGGCATCGAGCAGGCTAGGAAACGCCGGCAAGAGGAAGAGGCCCGCGAGGAGGCTGCACGCCGAGAGCGTATACAAAAGAAACTAGAAGCCATGGGGCCGCCCCCTGAAAAGAAGACTGAGGCGAAAGAGGCACCCAAGGAACAAGGAGCGAAACCGGCGCCGAGCCAGCAACCGGCGCCCAGCGATCAAACCTCAGCACCGCCCACCGCGAAGGCAAACCATCCGCACCAGACAGATTCTGGTAGGAATGACGCAGCCGGGGTACCCCATATCGAAAAGCCCGGGTTCGGCCACAAAGATGCCCCATCAACAAGCACCGTCCCGCCGGCGGGACCGGCGAACAGGCGGCTATCTCATAGCCAGGATGCGGAGCCTACCAGTGTCTGGGGCAGCCGACCCGATCGATTCTCTTCGTGGGCTGCCGGAACGCCACGGAATGTTTGGAGCTCCCCGGACAACGACAACGGACTTGGAAACGGCACCTTCAACCCTCAACTCAGCCGCGTAGCTGGCGCATCTGCCCAGCCGGCTTCAGCCGGTAACGCCCCTGCACCTATTGCTCCTCCCACCACCATTCAGTCTTCGCACAACCGCAACCAGGTCCCAGCTCCTATTGGCTCGCGTGCTGCGCGATATGGAAACATGGGCGCTGAGCTCGCGAATAAATGGGTGTCGGCCGTCGTTGAAAACGACAAGAGGATGAACGCGGAGAAGCTGGCTGAGCGGACAGGCCGTGAGCGTCAGCTGGCCGAGCGTGGAATCTCGGTAGAGGATGCCCAGCCCACGATCAAGGACACATGGCGCCCCGTTCACATTCCGGGCGATGGAACCAGGCGCGCGGTGAGTTCTAGCGAGCCTCAGTTAAAGAACACGGAGGATCCCATCATGGGTGGCCAGCCCGGCGTCCTTGGAAATGGGGCCGGCAGCTCTGTCTTGCCGCCGAACGGCCCAACCACAACTCCTCAGTCGCGGCCCTCTCGGTTCTTCCCCACGAGAGATGTACGCGCCGAGGTCGGTACTATTGAACCGCTTCGTCCCTCTACGCCGTCTCCTCCTCCGCCCACGATGGAAGGCCACCCGGTGTATGAAGGAGACCACACGCGTCCTCATGTCTCATTACCCAAGCCGCAACCAGTCGTCAAGCTGCCTCCCGCCATGCAAGCTGCCCAAGCACTGCAAGCCAAGGCAAGTAACCCGTGGACCAATAGGGCGCCCTCGAGAGAGATATCTCGCGCTCCCATCCCTCATGCTTACCCTGCGCGACGTGTCTCCGAGACGTCACAAGGGAACTGGCAAGACAAGATTAACAACCTATTGAATGGTGGAAAGGCGTCTCCGCCGAAACATATGGGGATCGATCCCTCCAGTCGGAATGCGCTGGATCACACGAGCCACCAGCAGCCTACAACTGTGTCTTTGCCTGCTGCTGTAACAGTACAGCACACGACGACGGAAAGCCCGCAGACGCTTACCTCAAAGCCCATGGCTGAGGAGTGCTTTGAAGAGCAGGAGATGGGCTCTCTGCCGCGGATTAGACTTCCGCACAATGCACCCGAAGCAGCTTGGCAGCCTGCCGCAAGCATCAAGCCGATGCCAAAGAGATTCTATGTACAGCCGTCTGTTGTCGAACCATACTATTTCCACCCCGAGGTTGCTGGCGGCGGAAATGCTGTGAGAATCTACTTTCCTGGGATGAGTGAGCCTAGGACGGCCACGATCCCATTCTCTGCAGCGAGAGGCGGCGGACGAGGAAGCCATAGACCGTCCTCACGACACCGGGGCGGCGGTCACGGTCCTCGTGGTGGTGGTGGAGCAGGAGGAGGCGGTAACGGCAGCGGCAACGGCAATGGGAACAGCAAGCGGGAGTTTTCCAATAGCTACGGAGATGCTGCGAATCCAAGCAGCGGCAGCCGTGGCAGCCGTGGCGGATATCGGAGTCGTGGATCGGATAACTGGAACCGGTTCTCACAGCCTCGTGAGCAGGGTTCATCGTCTAATTAGATGAACCCGTCCTATATAAACAATCTTTTGACCGACCTTCCTGGGATATGCTGGGAAGGGAAAGGGTCACGGCTGGTTCCTCATGGGACTGGCAGAGCAAATGAACACACAACCCGTTTTGCTTTTTCTCCTCTTCCCTTTTCGCACTTTGGCTTTTTTTTTCTCATTTGACCTCTTTCACGCTGTGAGGCCCATTGATACGATAGCTTCCCGGCCTTGTGTGTTTATTTGAGGATAGATGGGGGAAAATCGGGCTGACCTTTGACCTACTTTGTTCAACTGCAGAGTCCGTATTTGCGTACAATGAAAATCCTGATACGTCTCTGGATCTGCTACCCAGAGGCATTAGTGTATGTATGTACACAAATTTTATCATCTTATCCTCTATTTTTTCTTTATTTCTCTCAAAACGCGGTTGTTATGGAACGTACCTGATAGCACATGGTTCACTGGTACCGGAAAGTGTGTGTCTTCAATGACAACTTGTGAAAAAGGGGCCAAGGGAAAGGGCGGGGGCGGCGGCTTTGGAGGGGGTTGAGTTGATACGAGAGAAAGGGTTTAGGGGGGGAGAAGAAGAAGAACAGAACGATTGCTATCTTGTTCTGAAATGGCATGGTCTGCGTTCGGGATGAAAAGGACGAGCGGAGTTGTGTGGCTAGATGTTGATTATTGATGTGTCTGACTGACTACCTTGCCGTGCCTTACCTTGAGCTTTAAGCTTAACCTAACAGTTCCGCTGTTCTTTGTGAGGGATTAGGGGATTGATTGATTGATTGATTGACCGGTTTGTGAAGGATGATGTGGGGAGATGCTGAAAAGCTAAAAATAGAGTAAAGCAAAGCAAAGCAAAGCAAAATCGTACTTCTATCTCTTTCACTTGGATGTTTGTGATGGATGCTTCTCCCTCTGCTTCTATGCATTACCGTTGCAAGGCGACGACGAGAAGGGGTACGATGCTTTCCATGGTTTTATTCCCAAATAATATGTCTGCTCACCCTTTCTATCTTTTGCTAAGTTAATGCACACGCACACACCCCTAACATCTAACATGTCGTTTGTTGTTCGTTTTTATATATCCGTTCAACTCCAAACTCCTCCAAGTTCATGATATCATGGCAGCACTATTTCCATTCCCCTCCCCCTCCTCGCCTTGTACCTCTTCTTCGTAAACCCCCATATAGTGAAAATGTCGAATACTCATTGCAGGGCACATGTGCGGGACAAAGAAACGCAAATCCGTTCTCTTAAATGTCCTCAACAGCACAGTTGGGGTGCAGAACGTAGACGACGTTCATAGGCGTGGATGGGCCTGCGCCCTCGGTCAGACCTTCGCCCCTGAGAGCCATGAAGATGTTGTCCTGTAAAATAGAAACCGTTAGATCGTATGCTCTACGTCTTAATGTATTGACAGCTTTGAAGAAAGATGTGAGAAAAGCTTACCTTGACCATCTTCTTCAGGACCATGTTGGCGAGAGTCTTCTCCCTGTGGTAGTCCTCCTCGCTCTCCATCTCGGGCTCCTTCTGCTCCAGATACCAGTTGATCAGGACGCTGCCCTCGACGCCGTCTCCGGTGCCAGCCTCGTCCTCCGTCACCCGCTGGACAAACATGTTGACCATGTGGATGTACGTGTCATAGGAGATGGTGTACTTCTTCTTGGTGGCAGCGGTTTGTGATACGCCGTCTTGGCCCTCTTCGCCCATGGCAGCGTCGCCTTCATGGTCCTCTGCAGGAGTGGTTCCAGAAGCGGCATCCGCCGCGCGGCGAAGCGTTTCGCTGTCTTCCGGAACGTCCTCCGTCTCCTCAATCTCGATGTCGTCGTGCTCAACGGAAATGATACTTTGGCGCAGGAGGTTATAGGCCTCAATGACCATGTCGGGGGAGACTTCCTCAACGCAGTTGACCTTGGCAATGGCTTCGGACAGACGAATCATACTTTCGAGCTGACGGACAGTGATCCTGTACGAGTTCTTGCCGGCACCGCCCTGGGCATCATCGGCCCGGAGCTCCTTGTACTTCTCGACAAGGCACTCTCTCGCCTCATCCGTGAACTCGGGGCGGAACGTCCTTGCAAAGCGAATGTACCGCTGGAGCTGTTCCGTGCTGAACTCCGACTGGATGGCCTCGTCGCGGAACTGGTGAACCCTGACGATGTGCTCGGAAAGGTGGCGGTCGAACTGCTCTGAGCACTCATCCAGAACGACGAAGAACAAGTCGAAACGCGACATGATGGGGGCCGACATGTTAATATTGGCGCGGAGAGTCGTCTTGCGGTTGTAGCGGCCTCCAACAGGATTGGCCGCAGCCAGGATACTCGTACGCGCGTTGAGCGTGGCCTGAATGCCGGCCTTTGCAATCGAGATGGTCTGCTGTTCCATGGCTTCGTGAATGGCAACCTGATCGGCAATATCCATCTTGTCAAACTCGTCAATGGCGCAGATGCCATTGTCAGCAAGCATGAGAGCACCGGCCTCGATGGTAAACTCTCCCGTTTCCTCATCCTTGACAACGGCAGCCGTCAAACCGGCAGCCGACGAGGCTTTGCCGCTGGTGTACACGGCGCGTGGAGCAAAGGAGCACACGTACTTTAGAAACTGGGACTTGGACGTCGAAGGGTCTCCAACGATGCAGATGTTGATGTCGCCTCTCAACTGCATGCCCTCGGCCGTGGTCTTGCTAACACCAGACATGAGCTGCAGCAGAATGCCCTTCTTGACTACTTCGTGGCCGTACACGGCCGGCGCAATAGAGTTGACCAGTCGGGAGTAGATGTGGTCTCCGTGGACCATGGATCGCAAGTCGTCAATCTCAGCCCTGTTCATGGACGCTAGGACGGCAGCCTGAGCTTCCTCGACCGATTCAGTGCCCTCAGAGGGGTTGCCCGCATTCTGAGTGAGAGCGTTGACAACGTCGATGGCGCCACTATGTGCAGATTGGCCGGTGGAAGTGGTATCAGGAGCAACCATGCACGCAAGGAACGCCAGGCGGTACGTCAAATCTCGGACTCCAAGGGCCTTGAGGCCGGTGATGCCGTTGCCTCCAACGTCAGCACCCCGAGGGGCGCCCCGATCGTCGCGAACGGCCGTGGGCCGCAAGCCAGGAAGGCCGAGCTGGCTGACGTCTGGCACCACAATCAAAGCGCCTGTGAAGATGCACTTTTCACCCGCCTTGGCACGATCGACAATCTCGCCTCTGAGGATGACATCCATGGTGCGAGGCATGCTGCCTGTGGGAATCTCGGAGCTGTTCTCCTGAATGCGGACCTTTTGCCAGTCGACAAACGTGCTGTGCCGAATGTCCAGCTGCCATGAGACTCTGTTCTGACAAGTCTGGTTGGGGCATTGGGTTGGTTCGGTGTATCGGAATGTTTGCTCGACGTTGGGGACGACGGCGCGACAAGCTTCACAGACGAAAGTGGCCAAAGACAACTCAGGCCGCACTTCTGATGTCCTCGTAACAGTACCGGAAATGGAGAGCAGCTGGCCGATATTGGCGGCTCTCAGGGCTCGAATGCGCGAGACAAGAGGGAGGTTGTAAAAGGCGATGGAAAACAGCTTGTCCGTCTGCTGGTGCTCGTTCTTCCTCTGGTTCAAGTCGCTCTGCGTTCCTGAGCCATATTGGCTGGCGCCGGAAGTGCTCAGCTTGCTGGATGTGGTGGCTTGTCGATGCTCGCGGAAGTATTGCGGTTCGTATTTTGCAATCATGTTGTGCAGCGCAGCGGTGAGGAAGGGGAGGAATCGGTAGTACTGGCGGATGACACCGTCTGCCAGACTTCCATTCTCCCAGGAGGCGAGGTGTTTGTAGTCGACGTAGAAGGTCGAGAGCTGGTATGTGCGCATGCCCCTGATCTGGGCAATGTAGTACTTGTTGGTGGTGACGGCGCTCGACGGGGGTGCGCCTGAAGAGAGGGGATCTTCAATGAAGCTATCGCGAAGAAAGACGTAGATTGGTTAGTCAAGGACCAAGAGTTAGGCAAAGCCAGAGAAGCCCTCAGCTCACTCACTTCTCAATGAAGCCCTCAAAGTGGTCCTGGACCAGCAAGCCGATGCGGTCCTCGACCTTGGGAATGCTCGCAGCATCCGGGATACGCGAGCTCCGCGGCAGCTGGTCGTCGGCAAATCCGTCGCCATCGCCATAGTCGTCCCGCGGCGTCCCCATGTTCTCCGAGGGCGGCCCGCGCGGACGAGCTGATGAGGACGAGGGGAAGCCTCCAGGGCGTCGCGGGGCCAGGCCGTCCGACATCATCAAGCTGGGTTCGCCGGGGGTAGCCATTGGGGGCTTATGGAGGGAAGAACGGCCTATAAGATGTGCAGTGAGGCCGTCGGGATGTGCATCAGCTCAGAGGCGCCGAGGGTGTGCCGATGCAAAGTGCAGATGCAGAAGGCGAGGCTGTGGAGAATATCTGTTGCCGTACCCAATTTTGGAGGTTTGCAGGTGGGTTGGGTTGTAAAGAGCCTTAGAGGGGAGCAACGCGTGGGACCGCGTCGAGGTGGCCGGCTTGGGCCTAGCGCGACGCGAAATTTAATTGATTGCATCTGGTGGTGCTGCTGCTCTTAAGGTACCTATACAAGTATGTATGTACCTTACGGTATGAAGCTTGACGGCTCAACGCTACCTTAAGAACATGTCACGATAACTACCATTTGCAGTCTCAATTCACATACAATGCTTCTTTTGCTAAAAGCAGACTTTCACGCCATTCTATATCATTTTGCTTTATATTATATATCCAACCGCTGGCTGTTGACTGTGTAGAATTGGGTATCATCAAAATCGTCAGCAGGAGCCAACAGCCATCCCTTACCATCTCACATCGCTCTCATTTGGCGTCTCCCTTGTCCTCCACTCCGTAAGAATGTATCTGTAGAGGAAATCATCTCATCAGCCTATCAGTGGTTCTTTGCATAGGTAGGTAGGCGTGCACAACTTACACTATCCGCCACCTTGAACCACTCCACGCTTCTCAGGTACGGATCAGACGAAGCATCAGCAACGGCATCATGCGACCATACAACCAACTTGTCGAATTCCGTCACGACGTGCATCGTTCCCAGCCTGGGAGCCGATCCTTCATCTCCATCTTCTCCAATCATGACGACGTCTGGCTGTTCAGCGGGTTCCGGCGCATCGTCTTTTCGCTGAAGAACAACGCCTCGGTAGTCTGCGGGTAGTGATACCGTCTTCCCCTGAAGCCTCCTGCCCCGAAGATAGGCAGTCCTGATGTCGTCTAAGAGATGAATTGAGAATATTCAGCGACAAACTCATAGATATTGCTCCTAGGATCACCAGACTCACTCTCATCTACAGTGGGATTCCAGTAAGCTGAAGATGGCCCGGTTGGGCCGGTGTGCTGGACACGGCAGGGAAGCAGGTTGACGATGCCTCTGCCCGTCGCCGCCTCGTCTGTTCGGATCTCGAGCATTGCTTGTTCAGACATCTTGCATCAATTGAAAACCGGTAAGAATAGGGGAATATGAAGTGAGGCTCCCTTCTGCCAGCGGCACTCGTTTGTTCAGTAAAACCTGGTTCGCGTCGTATGTACATGTATGAGCACAAGACGCGCTGCAGCTTAATGGATTCGTTATCTAATCAGAGATCTGGAGTTGCGATCTTACATAGCGTGTTCTGACGCGCTAACCCTGAAATGGCACTGTGTAAAGCTTCTGCCGGCTCTCCAGTCTGACCTGGGTCGCCATTTGCCATTCCCATCACAAATGTCAATCGTATGAATGTCTTATTGTTTGAATTTGATGAAGCTCTTCTTTTTAAATATATAAGTATTGTATCAGAGCGCTGGTCAAGAGATAAGCACTACGTTAGGTGATGAAAGTGCTGCTGAGACATTGGTGGTCCCTTTCATCCATTATCCAAATTGTACTGGCAGTCAATTTCCGTCACCGTTTTTGCTAAGAGCAAATCAAATTAACTGCTTTCGCTCGAGGCACTTCGTGATTCATCACCACAGTGAAACCTGAGTGGAAATGAATTAAGCCAACGGGTATCATTCGATCAGAAGTGTAGAGAGGCATGTGGTTCCATCACTTCTTCGTCTTCTTCTTTGTGCGAGTTGTGCCGTTGTGTGCCGGCTGCTTGGGAGCAAACCGATTGGCGTGGTCCATATCAAATCCAGACTTGTGCTTCCGAAAGAGCAGCATTGTAGCTCTTGCGTCTTCGGTGCTCGAATGCGGTCCGCTTTGAATGTCGATGCCGAGAATCTCTCTGGCCAATATCTTGAGCGCCGGTTTCCTCCCGTGTCCATACTTTTTAAAGGCCGGGTACTTGGCGGTGTCGCGAATATTCCTTGGAGAGTGAGAGAGCTTGAGAGCCTCCAGATCGTGCTTGATGTCGTGCCCAATGAGGATTCTGTCTTTGATGATGGCGTCGACTTCTTTCTGCACCTCGTCGAAATCTCTTGCGAACCTCATCTCCTTCTGTGAGATTCCGCTCACGGCTGTTCTCCAATTGGTGACGCGCTCCTTTGGCTTCACATACGAATCGTAGACTTGCCGCCCGTGGAAGTCGACAATACTGATGCGTGCCAGCGCTGATTCATGGCCACCAGGGCCGACCCCTACCATCTCGCAATCGATGGCGACGTACTTTCCAATCTCGAGTCCTTTCGTGAGGCCGTGGTTCACTTTGTCTTTCTCAGATGCCAGCATCAGAGAGTTACCCTTCACGCCTAGACCGTACGCCTCTGCCAAATCCTCCGCCGAGACGCCATGATCCTCTGCCCATATTGCCAGCGACGGCGACGGAGTGTGCTTTGGCTTTTCGATTGCAGTTGAGCTCTGGACACCGCCCATTCTCTGCTTGCGGTTTGGTGGTCCAGGGTTCTTGCCTTTGGGCGTTTGCAGAGACTTTCTTTTCGCAGGGGTTTGCAGCTGCTCTTCAGCTTTTCGTTTAGTTGAAGGCTTGGAGGCGGCCTCAGCCTGGAGTTGAGCTTGAAGTTTTTTCCAGTTGGAAGAAAGCCCGGCCATCCTTTTATATAGGGGCCTGAAAGAACCTATTCAATAAAAGAGTCTCAAGAAAGCGCATCATGCGTCGGGTTATAGAGAGTGGAAGAAACCTCGAATTTGTGTAGCCGATATGCAGTGAGAGATGGGTGTTGATCTTGAGCCTTGTCCTTGTAAATTCCGTGTTAAGTGATGCACCCTGCACGAGGCCCCACCACCTTTTCGATGTTCTTATTCTTCAAAACGGCGCATATGCTTGTATCGGATGGGCGAGCATTCACCGCCTGCTCAGAAAAGCTAGGACCGAGCCAGCACCATGTGACGCAGCCGCTAAAATCGCAATATTCTGCCAGGCCCCTCTGGATCGCATTCTTGATTTCTTGATTCTTTTCCCATCTTCCGATCGTCTATTTTCCAACTCATCCCGACTTTTCCATCATGGCTGGCGGCACGCCCCACGGCGAGCCATCGGTGGGCTCCGATACGCCGCGCCAAAAAGGCAAGGCGACGCCGGAGACGCTCAAGACGGGCTGCATTGCTTGGGTCGAGAAGGACGGGCAGCCGCGACGAGCCGAAATCCTCAGCATAAAAGAAACCAAGTCAGGGAAGCACTATTACTGCAACTTTGACAATTTCAACAAGCGTCTGGACGAGTGGGTGCCGGTCGCGCGAATCGATTTTACCCAGGACGTCGAATGGCCGAACCCCGAGAAGGACAAGCCGAAGGACTCGAAGACGAAAAAGGCGCCGTCAAGCCAGCCGAAGAAGCAAGTGTCGAAGAAGTCGCAGAAGCGGCCCGGGAAGCGCGAACAATCTGTAGCCAGCGAGGCGACGACGCCGCATCCATGGACGGGTAAGTGTCTGAATCGTCCCGTTGCCCAGGCGTCCTCCGATTCGCTCCTCCGACGAGCTTCGTACACTCTCGATTGACGAAAGCCGCTGACCATCTGAACCTGATTAATAGACTCTGTCGATTCGCAAGGCCAGCGGAAGTCTGTATCGGTCGGACCAGATGCCGAATCGCAAGTAAACGGCAGTTTCGAAACGAGCGCGACACCAGGCGCAGGGGACGACTTGGCTGCCGATGAAAAAGAAGAAGAGCAGAAGAAGGAGGACCATGGCTTCAGCCGAGAGGAGGAAATTGAGAAGCTGAGGACGTCGGGATCGATGACACAGAACCCGGCCGAAATATCGCGAATACGAAACATTTCAAAGGTCCAGTTTGGGAAGCACGACCTCTTTCCGTGGTACTTTTCGCCGTATCCGGAGTGCTTCGCGCTCGAGGACGTGATATACATTTGCGAATTCTGCCTTAGCTACTACGGGGACGAGTTTGCCTTTATGCGCCACCGAAAGAAGTGTACGCTGCAACACCCACCGGGCAACGAGATTTATCGAGATGATTACGTCTCCTTCTTCGAGATTGATGGGAGGCGACAGCGGACCTGGTGCCGCAACCTGTGTCTTTTGTCCAAGATGTTCCTGGACCACAAGACGCTCTACTACGACGTGGACCCCTTTCTGTTCTATGTCATGACGATGCGGACGGACAAGGGATGCCACATTGTGGGATACTTCTCCAAGGAAAAGGAGAGCGCAGATGCATACAACGTGGCCTGTATCTTGACCCTTCCGCAATACCAGCGGAAAGGCTATGGCCGTCTGCTGATTCAGTTCTCGTATGAGCTGTCCAAGATCGAAGGCAAGCTGGGCTCTCCAGAGAAGCCCTTGTCCGATCTTGGTCTTCTGAGTTACCGGCAGTATTGGTCTGAGAACATTCTCGACTTGCTGCTGGGATATAATGAGCGGGATGAGAAGGTGACGATCGAGGCCATCTCGTCGGCGCTGGCGATGACGACGCAGGACGTTGAGCACACGCTACAGGCGATGAAGATGCAGGTGTACCATAAGAGCGACCACAAGATTGTGATACCGGAGAGGTTGATTCAGCAGCGGGAGAAGCAAAAGCAAAAAGCCAAGAGGGTTCTGGATCCGTCCAAGATTCAATGGAAGCCACCAGTGTTTACAGCGTCCAGCCGTACGTGGGGTTGGTGAGGTTGTTGATTCTCTGCGGTCGGATTGGAGTTTGGAGCACCGTCTTGCTGTTGTTGGTTTACTTGATGAATCGGGGCCGATGACTTTGCTGGCCTGAAGCGCAGTTGTCCCTTGTCTCTTCTTCTTTGGCTTCATTTGACCAAATTGATGATGGTTATCAGATGGACGAATACCCCTGTACATACGGATGCATAATGATTGAACATCTCGAGTCTTCAAATCCTCTGTGAAGTAAGGTGACAATTCGAAGCCCGACAATGACGTACTGCTCCGGATTTGAGGGCCGGATTCCATTGTCTCAATTGTAGCTCCAGGCCCAGCTTATTAGCAGCTCCACAGCGGCCTGTATGTACTAACAGCTCTGGGGTGCTGCAGTGGGGGATCTGTAGCGCATGCAGGGCCTGAAGTGCCACATGAGGTAGTTGGGATGAAGCAAACCTAAGATGAAAGTTCCATCAGTGCATCACAACTGAACCACCAAAACCCAGTCCCCATGAATTGACCATACCTATAGACCCCACCACTCGGCGATACAGAAGACCGTCGAATTGGCTTCCATCCCTCTCAGCCAACATGCCTCTCCCGCTGCTGGCAGCCGCACTGCTCGGCTTCGGCGCAGTGACGCCCGTCCACGCCCAAGGCCGAGGCGACTGGCAGGTTCCGCTGCCAGACTACGCCGACATCTGTCCCGACTATGCGCTCTACGCATCCTATCCGCAGTTTGTCGGGCCCTTCCCCCGTGGTAAATGAGCTTCATAAGCATCTGACAGACAGGCCGCAGTCGTCCCTACAGCTCGGGCCCGCTCGCCCTGCCCTATCAGCGGCCGAACCCGCGATGTCGCACGTTCCAGTCGGACGAGATCGAGAGGGTCATTGACGAGGTGACGTCGAGGATCAAGGACCCCGACCTGGCGCGGCTGTTTGAGAATGCGTTTCCCTCCACGACAGACACGACGGTCAAGTTCCACACAAAGGGCGGCAAGGACGCGGGCTTTGTCCCCGTGCAAGGGCCTCCGCTGGAGGACGGCGCATGGGAAGGGCCGCAGTCGTTCATCATCACGGGGGACATCGTTGCGGAGTGGCTGCGGGACTCGACCAACCAGCTGCGCCCGTACCAGGCCCTGGCCAAGAAGGACCGTGCCATCTTCGACCTGATCGTGGGGGCCATCAACACGCAGTCCGAGTATGTGATCCAGTCGCCGTACTGCAACGCCTTCCAGCCGCCCCCCATCAGCGACCTGTCCGCCTCGGCCAACGGCCAGGACGACGCGGTGCACCCGGCGTATGAGCCGAGTGTCGTGTTCGAATGCAAGTACGAGCTGGACTCGCTGGCGCACTTTCTGGCTCTGGGCAACGACTTTTACGACCACACGGGGGCGACGGACTTTGTGACCAAGCGGTGGCTTCGCGCCGTGGAGACGCTCTTGGTGGTGCTCAAGCAGCAGTCGGAGCCGACGTTCCACCCGGAGACGGGCCAGTATGACCGCAACGCGTATACCTTCCAGCGATGGACCAACACCGGCACGGAGACGCTCAACCTCCAGGGCGTTGGGAATCCCCTGAATGGCGGGACGGGACTGGTTCGGTCGGCGTTTCGACCGAGTGACGATGCCACCATTCTGGGCTTCTTCATCCCGGCAAATGCCATGATGTCCGTGGAGCTTGGTCGGGCTGCCAAGATGCTTCAGGCGGCGGGGAGTAATAAGGCTCTGGCCGCCAAGCTGAGTCAATGGAGCGAGAAATTGCGTGCGGGAGTGTTGGAGCATGGCATCGTCAAGCACAAGAAGTACGGCGACGTGTTTGCCTATGAGGTGGACGGGTATGGCTCTTCCATCTTGATGGACGATGCGAATTATCCTTCGCTCCTTGCTCTCCCCGTCATGGGCTTCTGCGACGTGGACGACCCGGTGTACCAGAACACGAGAAAGATGATACTGGACAAGCAGGGGAACCCGTATTACTTGAAGGGCAGAGACTTTCAAGGAATCGGCGGTATGTTGTTCTCGAACGGTCAAGCAAGAAGAACAGTTGGACTAATTGGTGTTATCACAGGACCGCACATTGGCTTGAAGAATGCCTGGCCCATGAGCCTACTGCTCCAGGCACAGACGTCCAACGACGACGCCGAGATCAAGGAGTGCCTCGACCTGGTATTGAAAGCGTCCCCGCGCGGCCTCATCCATGAGAGCGTGGACGTCAACTACGTGAGCCAGTACACGCGGAGCTGGTTTGCCTGGGCGAACGGCGTGTTTGCGGTGACGATATTGGATCTGGCCAAGAGGAAGCCGCACTTGGTGTTTGGGCCGGGGGCGGCGCCGTATGAGATGTGAGATGCTTGAAAGGGATGATTTTCTGTAGTTGACTGGATGAATCCATTGTACATGTTCGAAATACAAACCAAAATCCTTGTACTTTTTGTATGAGCTGAAAGGACAGCTTCTTGTCCATTGCCGTGAGGGTGACAAATGAGGCGTGTGAATCGCAAGCCTCTCACCCCCACACTTGAGAATGAGCTTCAACTCGTACATAAGACTCCACACTTGACACTTCAAATGCTCTTATACAACTCATCCTTGCCAGCTCACAAAAGCAAGAGGCGCTCACTTAAAGAGAGTCTGTCCTCCGCCGAGTTGCCATCATCATATCGACAGTCTCCCAAAAGCCACCCAGCCGAGCGATGCGACTCTTCTCGCACCAGCCACGACTCAGACTCTCTCCACCAACTCGATTCCACCACCCGCATCCTCACAGCTTCAACCCCCTCTCACCCAAGCCCTCACCACCAAGCCATCCACCCTCCCATCGTCTCCTCACCACATCAGCCACCGCCGAAATGTCTTCTCCCCCAGCACCAAGCAAGAAGCAACAGAAACAAATCAACCTCCTCCGCGGCTGGCCCTCCCCCGACCTCCTCCCCGCACACCTCCTCTCCTCCGCCGCCCAGCGCATCCTGTCTTCGCCCGTCACCAGCGTGCCCCTCCTGCAGTACGCGCCCGACGAGGGCTACCAGCCGCTGCGCGAGCGCCTGGCGCAATGGCTGGGCCGGCACTACGGCGTCGAGCCTGACGCGAACCGGATCTGCGTCACGGGCGGCGCGAGCCAGAATTTGGCTTGTATCCTGCAGAGCTTTACGGATCCCAAGTACACGAGGGCCGTGTGGATGGTTGCGCCGTGCTACCATTTGGCCGGTGCCATCTTTGAGGATGCCGGGTTCCGGGGGAGGTTGAGGGCTGTGCCGGAGGATGAGGAGGGGGTTGATCTGGGGCAGCTGGAGAGGAGGATGGAGGAGTGGGAGAAGGAGGAGGAGGAGGAGAAGGGGTTTCGTCCGGAGGTGAGGCTGAACCAAACTCTCCCCCTTTTTTACCTTGCCAATTCATATCAGCAATATGAAGCTGCTGTGCCAATGGCAAAAAGCTAACTAGTCCTGCCCTCGAAGCCCTTCAAAGACCCAGGCCCCTTTCGAAAGCTCTACCGCCACATCATCTACGCCGTGCCAACCTGCTCCAACCCCTCCGGCAAGACAATGTCGCTGCACCACCGCCAGGCCCTCGTCCGCCTCGCCCGCAAGCACGACGCCCTCGTCATCAGCGACGACGTCTACGACTTCTTGCAGTGGCCCCTCTCCTCCTCCTCCTCCTCTTCCAGCGGCGGCCGGCCTCTCACGCCGGAACGCCCGCCAGAGATGAGGCTGCCGCGGCTGTGCGACGTGGACAGGGCCATGGGCCGCGCGGACAACGACCCGCGCGGCTTCGGGCACGCGGTGAGCAACGGCTCGTTCAGCAAGATTGCCGGCCCGGGCGTGAGGACGGGGTGGGCGGAGGGGTCGGCCGCGTTCGCGCTGGGCTTGTCCAAGACGGGGTCGAGCATGTCTGGCGGTGCGCCGAGCGGGCTCTGCGCGGGGATAATGGCTGATTTGCTGGAGACGGGGGAGCTGGTTGAGTTCATCGAGGAGAGGACGAGGCCTGCGCTGCAGAGGAGGCATAGGATCATGATGGAGGCGGTGAGGGAGTATCTGGGGCCTCTGGGGGTGGTGGCGCGGGAGTCGAGTGTGAAGGGGGTTGAGGGTGGTGGTGGTGTTTACGGGGGGTACTTTGTTTGGCTTACGTTGACGAGGGGCCCGTTGGCGGTCATGGTTTCGGATGCGGCGCTGAAGGAGGAGAATATCATTGTTGGGAGGGGGGATATGTTTGCTGTCAAGGGGGATGAGGCGGCGGCGAGGTTTGATGAGAATATCAGGCTGTGTTTTTCTTGGGAGCCGGAGGAGGATCTGGTGGATGGCGTCAAGAGGCTGGGGGAGCTGATTCGGAGGATGCAGGGCAACTTGGAGCATTATGAGAGGCTGGCGGCTGCGGTCAAGGACAGTGATCGTCCAGTGAGCAGTTGGGTATGAGTTTGAGCTTCAGTGGAAGAATAGTAACCAAAGAAGAGGCAATCATTGTGCGTCGAGATGAGTTATATTATAGAGGGCTTGTGAGAGGGGCGTGCTGACGAGCAACTACTTTTTGGAAAAGAACGACATGATGCTGCCTTGGCTTCCGCCCTTCCCAGCCGCCGCCTTCTTGGCCTTCTGAGTCGACGAAGCGGGCGTTGGTGTAGGCGTTGCTTTCGCGGCTGCGGGTGCAGGAGCCTCGTCTTCGGAGAACGACTCCCACGCAGCCTCCTGGATAGTCACTACGAAGAATGAGTCAGTAAACATTGACCTTGCCAAGTATTGAGACGAAAGGAGAATTTACCCATGTATCCTTGGTCGTCCAATATGCGCTTCTTCTTCATAACCCGTCGCTTGCCCCTCCGGCGGCCGTTGCTGGAATTCGACACCACCTCCGTAGGTTCCTTTTCTTCCTTCGGCTGCTGCTCGGGCTCCGGTTCGGGCTCGGGCTCTGGTTCGGGCTCAGATGCCTCTTCCATCTCCTCGTCTGACTGCTCGTCTTGCTTCTTGGCCTCCTCCTTGACATCGTCGTCTTCCGGATCCTGCATCATGCGCATAAGCGCTTCTTCCCGCTCTTTCCTCGTCCTTTTCAGAGCTTCTAGATCGACAGTCTTGAGAGGAGGGAGCACGTCTTCCTCGTCGGCCTCGCCATCGTCAGATAGAGCCATGCTGGTGTCCTCTTCCTTGGCTTTGGGCTCAGGCTTCGGCTGCTTCGGCTTGGGAGGCTTCGCGGCCGCCTTGGCAAAGGACTGCATGATGCCCCCGGAGGCGCCGCGCTTCAGCGTCGCGGGAGGCTTCTTGCCGGCGCTGGACGCCGGAGTAGCGTCAGCAGAGGCGGACGTCGGGGTCTCCTTGGTCTTTTCCGGCTGGCTGGGCTTGGGCGTGGCCACCGCGGGAGGAGCCTTGTCCTGCTTGGCGACGGGCTTGGGCGCGCTTGTTGGGGCCAGGATTTGGGGACGTCCTTTCCGGTCTCTTTTGCGTGCCTGGGGATTGGTGATGATGCCGTATGTGTCGAGCGCCTTTGCTGTGTCTTCGGTATTCCTGTATTCAGAGAGCGACTTGGCCACATCGGAGAGCAGTGCTAGATCTCTTTGGGGGAACGGAGCCAGGCTGTAGATGTGGAACGAGGAGACTTGCTCGTATTCAGCCAGCACCTCTACGCGGACTGTTAGCAAAGATTGATACGAAGCAATGTCATTGTGCAAGTCCCAAGACCTTTCAGCTTCTCTTCGGCCACTATCGTAACCGTCCTGGTAGGCACATAGTCGGAAAGGGGCTCATGCTCCGGTGCTGAGCCGTCCATGTCGGTGTCTGGCTGTCTGTCTTCCGTCTTGGAGCCGTAGATCAGGTAGGTGGCATGGACTGAGCCCGCCTTGGAAGCATTCTGGGCCCGATAGAATTCATAGAGCTTCCTAATTTGACAAAAATTAGACAAGAATGCAAATATCAGAAAAAGGCAGGCTTCTCAATTACTGCTTGGCGTCGTTGACTCGAATGTTGAGTGCCCTGCTTAAGAGACGATATGTCACCTACACCAAACGCGGGCTCTCAGGTCAGCTGTTCCACGACACGGAAGTTGCAACTACACATACCGGCACCTCCTCGCTCAGGAGCCGGTCCGAGAGGTACTTTGTGGCCTCGTCCATGATGCGTTGCGTTTCCTCTTTGACTGTATGAGCAACAGAAGACGAAGGCAATATGCCAGCTCGTTTCCCTGCTTATATGGACTGATACTGGTAATATTAGCTCGCCCTCCGATTTGGGCGGCACGCGTTTGGCACTTAACACGAACTCACGTGCCCGCCAATTTGATCTGTACGGTTTGATGCATGTGCACCGTTTTAACGCGGCCAGACCAGCGTGAGAGGACTCCGTCGACGGCCGGTCCATTATGCATCTAATCGGACAATCACTCTAACCAGCGGATTGCCTCCCATTCAGCGCGTCAGTCGCGACGGCGCATTCTGGACAAAATCTCCACAAGGCAGTCGGCCGTCTCTCGTTCATGTTGTTATAAGCCACTCGTCGGCTCGTCCATGTTGAGCGTTACTGCTGGGAACTAATTGTTGTCGCTCCATTATAGAATTGCGCTCTGCTCAGCCCTCACCAGCAGACAAAAGACAACATCGTCTCTCCCCTCTTTTGGATATCAATCCCATTCCTCGTGCCAAGGAGAACCGCCAGCCGTCTGAATGGCCTCCTCCGACGACAATGTTCCCGACTCGACCGACTGGCTCTCGACGCCGCTCTCCGGCTTCGCAGCCGTCGAAGCCGCCCTGCGCTGCCAAGTCTGCAAGGACCTCTACAAGACGCCCATGATCACCTCCTGCTCGCACACCTTCTGCTCCATCTGCATCCGGCGGGCGCTCTCCAACGACGGCAAATGCCCCATGTGCCGCGCCTCCGAGCAGGAGCTCAAGCTGCGCAGCAACTGGTCCATGGAGGAGACGGTCGAGGCCTTCTCCAAGGCGCGGGCGGCGGCGCTGAGCCTTGCGCGGAGTCATGGTCTTGACGGGTCGAGCAGGAGTCGGTCGCCGAAGAGGAAGGCGTCCGAGGCGCATGTGTCGCATGAACCGAAGCGGTTGCGGACGTCGGCTCGGTTGAGCAGAACCCGGGGGGAGACGGGTGTGCCGGTTGATGTGACGCCGTCTGAGGAGGTGGAGGAGCAGGTTGTGCCTGATTCGAACAACGACGACGAGGACGACGACTATGTTCCGGATGCTCGTATGTCGCACACCTGTCACACACATATATAACGACCCTTTTACTCCCAGCAAGTCGCTAACAACTCCCTCTTTCACACAGCAAACGGCCTTGTTCCCTGTCCCCTCTGTAACAAAAAGATGAAAGAGTGGCAGGTATTCGGCCACTTGGAATCCTGTCCCGGCCCTTCAGCAGCAGCAGCAGCAGCAAGCAATCCAAATAACACCGTCGCCTCCGATAACGCAGCAGCACCCTCCTTTGCGCAATCCCGCCGAAAGCAGCAAAGGACACTCGAACGACTGCCCCCCCTCAACTACTCCATGCTCAAGGAACAAGCCTTGCGGAAGAAAATGTCCGACCTCGGCATCTCCAGCCAGGGGCCCCGCGTGCTCCTGGAAAAGCGCCACAAGGAGTGGCTCACCCTCTGGAACGCAAACTGCGACGCGGCGATACCGAAGAAGCGCTCCGAGCTGCTGCACGACCTGGATGCGTGGGAGCGCACGCAGGGGGGCCGGGCGCCGACCATGGGACGGGTCGCGCAGACTGCGGCGGCGATCAAGGACAAGGATTTCGATGGCGCGGCGTGGGCGGCGAGGCATGATTCTTCGTTTAGGGACCTGATTGCGAGTGCGAGAAGGAGCAGGCAAGAGGCGGCGACGAAGAAGACGGAAGAGGCGGATCAAGTGGTGGACGAGTCGTCCTCTCAACCACCCGATAGGGTGCCGCCGACGATGGACGGCTCGTTGCCTCAACAGGGAGAATCAAAGTCAGAAGCAGCTCCGGGGTTGGAATCGGTGTTGCCTCCTTCTCATGCTGAGCCAATGTCCTGGGAGCTCTCACAACGACCGATAGGCTCGACACCTTCCGCGGAGGGAAGGATAGGAGAAGCAGACAAATACTAAGCGGGTGCATAATCCAGACCTAGGCACATATGTATACACATCTCTCGCCAGTGCAAGCCCACGCACCTGATGAAGATAACGAGCCATGACAACGTAGCCTTTGAAAGGGGGACTATCGCCACAGCGCTCGTGCCTTTTCCTCTGACTGCAAAGTAAACATTGATTTGATTACGCTGCGATCCGATTAAAAAAAGTGCAGAACGTCTCATTACATACGCCGGATTCCCGTAGCCTACAGCCCTTGTAGTGTTCTGATTCTTGAAAAGATGACATCGCCAGCTCATAATCACATCCCAAATATCAAATTCCATTCCGCGCCGCTTCCCCATCCCCCCTCAACTCTTACGTCCCCAGCGACAAGTTCGCAATGCCTGTCTCCGAAGTCGGCGACCGCGAACCTATCCGCTCAGGCTCATCTCCCGTAGGAACGTCTGGAAGCTCGTTCAGCGCCTTCAGCGCCTTCTTGGCCTTGGCAGCCTCCTGCTCCTCTTCACTGCTGCGCTGCTTCTCCTCCTCCTCCTTCTTCTGCTCCTTCTCCAGGGCCTCCAGCTCCTCATCAATCTCCTCTTCGTCCACGACCATGCCCGTCGGCTCAGCCAAGATGGCGGATAGCTCGTCCGTCGCGCTCATCTCGTCCCTCAGACGAGCCATTGTGCCTTCGACCTTTTCCACGCCGCCGAGCTGGGCATTGAGGCTCTTGAGCGCGCTGGCGGACGACTCCATGACCTTGACCAGCTGCACCTGGTCGGAGGCCTGCTGCAGCTTCGTGGCCACTTCTTCCAGCTGGTTGAGCGTGGCGTAGCGCGTCGACAAGTACGACTCGGCTCGCTTCTTCGCTTTGAGGGCGGCCAGGGCGGCGACGCGGTTCTTGCGCAGGACGGCGTTCCTTGCTTCTTGGTCTTGCTCGTCGATTCTCTTGTTAAGAAGATCGATCTGGTGCTCCAAGCTGCCCATCAGCTCCTTTATAGACGCCATGGATGAGTCCTCTTGCGTGATCCCTCTTGCCTCGCCGCTCGCTCGGATCTTGACGGTCTGGCCGTCGTACTCAATCATGTCTTTGTCTCGAGACAGGAACTTGAGCAACACGTCGGTATCCGTGTCGGACAGCCGCTGATCCTGGCCCAGCACCGCCGTGAAGAGTGCCTGGAACTGGCCTCTCGTGAAAACCCGATCATATCTCGGTGCCGTCTCACCAATAACCTCCCCCAGCTCGCGACTAGCCGCCTCTACGTTCTTCATGACAACATAGTTGCCCTTGGGTATCCTGTCCTCCCCCCGCGCCGGATCAATCACGCCCAACTGCCGCAGCGTCCAGCCCACCACATCCCACGGAATCTGCGACCAGCTCTGCTGGTATATGTTGTGGTTCGAGTGAAGAAAGGTCTGCAGCGGGATCAGGTCCTTTTGCGCCAGCGCCTCGCTGATCACGGCCCCGAGCGCCAGCGGCTGGCCAAACTGCTTGCTGGCGAGCGACTTGCGGAGCGACTCGTCGAGGTCGAAGACGAGGGCGCTGGACTGGGAGCCCTGGCGGGAGAGGAGGCCCTCGGAGGCGAGCCGCGCGAGGGCGAGCAGCCAGGCGGAGATGTTGGCTTGGTAGCCGTCCGGGTTCAGCGTCTTTTGGGAGCGGAAGTCGGAGTACAGCGCGGGGAGGCGGGATCTGGGCCAGCGTCAGCTTCGGTTGGTGGTCTGTATGATTCCAAGTTGATGACGATGGAATGGCGAATGGGCGAATGATTGCTTACTTGCGGAAGTTGGCATCGTGCTGGACGAGATAGTCGGCGAGCTCGCCCATGTCGAATCCCGCCGCAAGGCGATGGCTAGTGATTTTCCTCTGGGTATGAAGAAGAAGAAGAAGAAGAAGAAAAAGAAGCAGCAACGAAGAAGTTTCGGAGTATGTCGCTGCGACTATTCTAGCGACACGGGTAACAAGAGGAGCTGCGCATTGAAGGCGGTCGTTGTTTGTTTTGTTTTGTTTTCGGATGATGACAGTCGAGCCCTTGAGATGCCGGGCTGTTAGTGGATGAAGTGCCGCTAAGGCACTGGCTGTGTTAGTGCCTGACTGTTTGGACTTGAGTGCATGTGATTCGAGACTCCATGGAGCTGGTCAATCAACTTCATGACTGCAATCGTCGAGCTTCTGTTTGATGCTGCAGTATGGTTCTGTCTTATCGTGCATTATGTGATGATGAAGACATTCAATAGCTTCTCATTTTCAACGTAAATGATAAAGAGGTCAACGCTGTGTCAAGTACACCAGTCACAGCCCGAGCTTAGATCGTGAACCACTGGGCAGTAATTCTTCATATTTCACAGTGTCCAATCCCTCTATCAAAGAAAGGCCTGCCTTCCATCCACCTGCCTTTGAACCGATAATACAGAATCGCTAAAGCCAAAGCCCATCATCATCAGCGGTCCATTAACACTTCAGCCAGTTGGTGCAAGGCCCGACAAAGATGAGACAACTCCAGCCGTTCAAGTTCGCGGCTTTGCCAACCCCCGTGAGTTACCCCTTATATCGACCCCCCCGTCATACCCAATCCCCATTTGCCATTTGTCCTATGCAAAACCCTCTTTATCTATATCTTCGTTGGTATCTTTGCTCATTTCCTCATTGTGCAGTGGTGCCGTCTCCGTCCCGCCTCGTGCTAGGTTGCTCGCTCTCCTCGAGCGTGTGTCCACCAACGCCTCGCTCTCCTCATCTATGCCGCCATCGACCACATCCTCCGGCATACCCCTGTCATGCCCAAGAGGAAACTCCAGCTTCTCCGTTAGTTCTCGCTGCAGAGAGTCCATGGTCTCTCGCGCAATGGCGAACCGGGATATGCCCTGGCCATGTGGCAGCGTTTCGTACATCCTTTTGGCTTCGTTGAGGCATCGCTGCGCGGGGATGTACTTGGACTGTTGGGCCCAAGCCCTCGCCGCAAAGACGCTCCAGGCTGCTGATTTCCGCCGTCGGCTGCCCCAGCTCCAGCTACCGACGCCCGACTTGGAGCCATAGCAGATGGCCAGTCGCTCCTTGAGCAGCGCATCTCCGATGCTGCCCAGGATCTTGGATTCCAGAAGTCGGGTACACCATCGTGCAGCGTCATCGATGCTGGATCCTCCCCTGAGCCTCAGAAGCTCTTGCGCCAGGATCAGCGTCCTTGTCGCTCCATACGGGGAGCTGCACCGTGTGTTATAAGAATAGAATGCCGACTCCAGCATTTGGTCGACAGTCTCCGCGCGGCTTTTGGACGTCAGCTGCTGTGGCATAAGAAGAAGGCTGATGGCTGCCATCTCATTCGCTGCGGCGTGGTATTTCCAGGCCTTTGCTTCGCTGAAATCGGACCGCAGCAGATCATATGTAGAATGAGCCAATCTCCAGTCGCGCAGCATAAAGGCAAAATCGGCCAGCTTCCGCATGATGGCCTCTGACGTATCGGCCTGGTAGAAGCCTGAGGGATCGTAGCCGTCTTTGCTTGTGCTGGCGCCGCTTGAAGAACTCCGTGAGTTACTACCAAACACGGAGAACCTCTTTGACAGATTCATGAACCTTCCCGTCAGTCCTCTGCGCCTCGACGCAACTTGGTCGTTCCAGATGGTGGCGTGCCGCTCCATGGTAGGGATAATCGACTGCGTCACCATCTCGCGGACAAAAGTGCGGATGGCTGTCGCGTCAGACTCAAAAATGTACCGTGACGGATCCTCAAAGTCTTCATCGTTCTCGCTTCGGCGAATCTCTGCCAACTCTTCAGCAGCCGACATCCAGTCGCTTCGGGGAAGAGGTATGTTGTCATCATCCGTCTCCACGCTCTGACTGCATCGTAGCCTCAACAGATGGCAATGAAGCCCTAGATGTCGCTTCATCTGCTCAAACAATCCCATGGATCGTGCAATGTCGTCGTTCTCCTCGTCGTGGACCAAAACGTAGTACCTCAGATAATCTCCATCGACCCATGAGGGCAGCCTCCTCTCGCCCTGACTGGTTTCGCTGTAGAGGCGCCGAAGCTCTTCAATCGGGGCTGGATTGCGGGAGCTGATCGCTATGATGCAGGCAACAGGGTGAGCAAACGTCTCGTGGGGCGAGATGGGTAAACCCGACAAAAGACGCCGCAGATACAAAGCATAGTATGGAGAAGCTGCCTCGGAATCAGAGCCGTTCTTCGTCATGATGCTCTGATGTGGCATTCCAAGGAATGATTCCTCCGCGTAAGAGAGGTGGCGTTCGACAACAGATTCAATGTCGTTGATAGCTGACCGTTTTCCGGCATCTCTTTCCGGAGCTCCATTTTGACTCCGCGGCGCCTGGGCTTGCTGGGATCCAGATGTCAGAGCATCGGGGCGCTCAATGTTCTCGCCGAATCGTGTGAAACGTATGGAAAAGTCCTCCACTATTCGTCCAATGCCGTTGCTGTCCCTAATGTTGACCTTGCCCTGGATGTTCTCGCCAAACGGTCGTAACAGCTCCCACAACCCATGCTGAAAGCCCTTTTCGCGAATCAAAGCCTCCGTATCCCGCGAGGCATAGACGGACACATGAGGCACGAAGGCCTTTAAGATGAGATTCAGTGGCTCGCTCGGGTCGTCCCCGACATTCTCCGGCAGTGCCCGGTTCTGACCAAGATCAAACACTGTGCCCGACAGAATCCGTGACGGAGATCCTCGGCCTGCAGGTGACATGGACCTGGAGCCGGGCGGCGACAGCGTCGAGGCGTAGAGAGAAGCAGCAGAAGGGTTCGATCTGCGAAAGACGAGCGAGGAGTCGGAGGGAGAAGTCGGGAACGGCTCGATGGTCGAGGTCGAGTGCCTCATGTACGAGAACTTGGCGGCCGAGGCCGCAGCGGGCAACGCCTGAATTGGTTCCGTCGACGATTCATCTTGAGGCCGCGGCATCGAAGGCGACGTTGGGTGCGGTGATTCCGCTGACACACAGTTCAGGTTGCGAGCGGTGACTTCATGCGGAACCGGGGGCCAGAGGACAGTCGCGAGCGTCGGACGTCGAGATACGGCTCTGCATGTTCCTCCTGCGAAGCGTGGCGGCGCAAGATGCGGGCGGGAAGATGTCACTTGCGTCTTTGATGCCACGGTCAGCTTCCCATGATGTCGAAAGCCCCGACCTGAGTACATGGCATTGCCCCATCATATTTCTGTATCGGGGCGGCGGATGTCCGCCCATGCTTCGATAGGGGCATGATATCTGCGGAGTACATATCTACGCTACAGCGGTGCACGGCAGTCGTTATTATAGTAGCTGAAGCACTACATCATCCCAACCATTCACAGACGCGCCCGTTTTACTGTTGCTCTTTTTCACATTTCTTCTCCTCCGTTATATTCACAATCAAATACCTCGCCATGCCGTCAGATCTCTCAAATTACATTGCATCAAGATACCTCGTCGCCGATCCCAAACCCTCCAAGAAGCGCAAGCGCAAGGACAAGCAAGCACCCTCCGGCCTCTTAATCACCGACGACGACGACGACTCAGCCTGGAGAAAAGGCGCCACGCAAGACGACGCAGACGAAGACGGGCCCCTGACCGTTGCAGGAGTCACAGCCGAGCTGCGGAAGCTGAAAAAGAGCAATTGGAAAACGGTGTCGGAAGGCGGAAAGGCGTCTCAGCGTCAAGACGACAGCGCCGCCGCGGCTGCTGCGGATGCCATCATCGCGTCGGCTGCTGCTGAAAATGAAGCCGCGAGGGCTGCGGACGATGAGTTGCCGGTCGTTGAAGCGGGAGGCGAGGGCGTGGTGAAGATGAGTGACGGGACGCATGCCGGGTTGCAGAGCGCTGCGGCCGTCTCTGCACAGCTGAGGCGGCGGCAGCAGGAAGAACGCGAAGAGTTTGAGCGCCACAGAAAGAATGCCAAAGAAGAAGAGACGGTGTACCGAGACGCCACGGGTCGACGAATCGACATATCTATGAAGAGAGCTGAAGCAAGACGCCTAGCCGCCGAGGCCGAGGAAAAGGAGAGGCTCGCCAAGGAGTCGCTCAAGGGCGAGGTCCAGCAGGAGAACGCGAGGCGGCGCAGGGAAGACCTGGAGAACGCCAAGCTCATGCCTTTGGCGCGCAAGGCCGACGATGAAGAGATGAACAGAGAGCTCAAGGACCAGCAGAGGTGGAACGACCCCATGATGCAGTTCCTCGCTGACAAGGACACGGGTCGTGGAAGCAAGGGCTCGAAGCGCCGGCCCGTCTACGCGGGGAGTGCGCCTCCTAATCGCTATGGCATCAAGCCTGGGTACCGATGGGACGGTGTGGACAGAGGCAATGGACATGAAGCAGAGCGGTTCAAGGCCATCAATCGGCGAGAGCGCAACAAAGGGCTGGATTATGCATGGCAAATGGATGAATGAGAATAGTAGTATGCATCATATTATGAGATACCCCATCTGAAATACCCAGGAACTGAATAGCCTGGCATCAGAATGTTTGCCGCGTCCGCGCTTTCATTATCTTTTTTTTTTGTTTCTGTAACGAGGCAGAAGAAGTGCCATATTTGTCCATCCTGCCCCCATGACAAAGGGGCTCACTTATAGCTCCCCTCTTGACGACCTGAGATGCAGTACAGCAATCAACAGTTCTATCACCACCCTTAAGGTCGAGATTACTGCCCCTTCCCTTCACTTCCTACGGCGCAGGCGCTTGTCAGGGCCGTAATCGCAGAGCTGCTTAACGAGCCCGATCCACTCTTGTCTGGGCATACGACCCGGTCCGTCTCCGACACGCCCCTGGAATAAGTTGATGAGGTCACCAATCGTGATTCCATCCGCCGGGATCTTCTCCAAAATCTCCCATGGCTCAATCAGCCCACCTGATAAGGGAGAAGAAGCACCTGTTGACGCTGACTGTTAGTTTCAAGTCACAGGGCGGGAGATCTGACAAAAGGTTAGGAAAGCAGCTTACCAGCCGGGGTGGGATTAGGACTGCCAGCCCTAGATGCCGAAGGCGTTCCTCTCGAGCTGCCAACCAGCTTAATCTTCTTCTTCTGCATGGCCCCATCCGACATCTCTCCTGCCGTGGCTTCTCCGTCACTTCCAGAGCCCGCCGTGATCTTAGGACGCCGAACTGTGGTCTGCGACAGCCCGGGAGTGCCGGGGCGGCTGCCAAGAGCCGCTGCCGTAACCTTCTTCTGCTTCTTCCTCGTCGACTCGTTGCCGCTCGACTCGGACAGGGTAGGCGAGCCGGGGCGCTTGAGAGATTTGCCCTTCTTGGCCATCTCGGAGAGCTTCTGCTTGCCTTGCGGGGTGGTTGACCCCTTGGCACTCTGCAGCTTGCCCTTGTCCTTGTCACCCTGTGCATCCTTGTTCTCTCCGTCTTTCTTCTCTTCTTCTTTGCCGGCTTCCTCCTCCTCATCCGAGCTATCATCCTCGCTCTATAGTAATTGCGCGTAAGCAACGGGCAAGGTTAGCTGTGACATGGGAAAAAAGACAACTTACCGAGCTGCTCCAGGGGTTGGAATCCGAGTCGTCGCTCTCGTATATCTCTTCTCGATCTCTTTTGATAAGAGCCTTTTTCGTCGTTTTACCATACTTCTGTCTCTCCAACTCCTCCCTAAGCTGCTCTTGCAGTTCCTTGTCCACTTCTTGCTCGTCTGCTTCGCCAAACAGGTTCGCTCCCAATTGTTCGCGGCGGATCCTGGTCTTGGATTCCTTGGTATCTTCATCCTCCTGTGGCTCAAAGTGGGGAGTTTCATCATCATCCTGGAATTCGTCACCAGAAACGTCGAGCTCGTCGTGCTCTATCTTCTCCTCGCGCGAAGCCGCCTTGAAGGTGTCGCTTTCAGCTTTGATCATCTGACCCCGTCCGTACAGCAGCCGACGCGTTGCTTCAAGATCGTTCTGGTTAGCCTTCTTCTCCTCGTCCTTCATGACCCAACGGCCGACATCAACCTTGCGGTTCATGAAAGCCTCGGCCTGATCTATGGTAAACGGTTGAAACGGCGGCTTAGAGTTGAACTTGTAGCATTTCTCCAGTGGAATCATGCGGAAAACCGATCCATCGATCATGAATGCAACGCTAGATTCGGAGAGAGCAGCCACATAACTGCCTACCCAGACGTTCTTCCCATCCGCGTCTTCCAGATGCCAAGGCAGAGCCTCTTCATATCTCAGGTCTGACTCCTTCTTCGCCGCGGACGTTTTCGGGGCCCGATTGAACATTGTTTTCTCCTCCTTTTGCTTCTTCGGGCGCTTGCTGACCACTTCCTTGGCAACAGGCGCAATCTTGGCTTGGTCGATGGCTCTCTGGGCTTCCCTCTCCGCCTTTGCCTGTGCCAGTCTTTCCGCCTCTTGCTCATCCACCGGGGGGCGTTCAGGTTCCTCCACCTTGACGGCTCTTCCGGGGGGAGGTTGGCGGGCATCACGCCGATGCAGAGTAACGGGTCGGGCAAATTCCTCCTGGTCTGTCGGATCAATGGGCTTCTCACCCAGCTTGGTCTGAGAGAACTTCATGAGGTGATAGCGAATTCCATCGAGAAGGGCTTTTTTGGTGGTCATGATCGGGATGTCGTTATAAGGGTAATTGGGCGGCGGCTCGCTCCATCCGCCGTACTGACTCCGTATCTCTTCAGCATTGAGCTTTGCTCCGTTCGCGGCACCCTGCGCTGAAGATGATGGCGCGCCATTCAGAGGCGGTTGACTGGGTTTGGGCGGCGGCTTGCGAGACGATGCGACGAGTGGGTTTGGCTTCTTGCGAAGAGGACGCAGCGGATTCGCCTTTTGGGGCCGCGGAGGGCCATGCGGATGGGGGTGAGGGGGGCCGTTGGGGGTTCCAGCAGATGCGCTCATCTTGATGTCGTGGTGCGGACGAGAGATTGATGGCGGGAGCAGGCGTCAAAAGGCACGCAGCCTCTTTGCACGAGGTTGTCGTGCCTCCGCAGCCGAACGAGGGAGCTGCAGCTGATTGCGGCAGCGTGTGACGTGACGAGATTGACGTATCAGCGGCGTGACCGTTGCGGTTTGAAGCAGCTGCTGTGACGGCGAGCGAAAGACGGTTATGCTGACGTTGCCGCAGAGCTGGCGAGGGAGACGGTGGTTGATGTTGGAGGTGAGTGAAGCACGGAAGAGAAGCACCGAAAGGCTGCTGGTTTAATCAGGTCGGCCTTCCAAAGGCCGGAGAAGTGCCGCTAAGCTGCCTGATGACGCTTGATGACAAAGGCTGCTGGTTGTACCCACTACAGATCCAAGAGCAAACTGAGCTCGAGATAACATGGGAAAGTGACAAACTTTGATGAGGACAATGATTTCAATAGAATGTTTTCAATTGGGGGGATTGAAAGATGGAAGCTTCAGATCATCAGCTTCATCATCAGAAGTACCTAGGTAGGCTGTAGAGGTACTCTTTCTACTTCGTTACCTGTATGCTCTTAACGAAAGGTGTACTGCCTTGCTCGGTGGCCCACTGACGTCGACTGTAGAATCATGGTGTAAACCTGCAAGTGATTCGGCCAAAGTACAAAATAACATAGATGCAGTTTCATTTGATAAGTGTTGTAGCCTTCTTGATTATATGAGAAGTGTCCATCTAGGTACTGAATACCGTGTCCAAGAACAGAGATGCCGTGATGCTTGAAATCAGGCTTTCAAGCTTGTAGCAGATGCTTAGCGCAGGTTCCTCGCGCCTGCTAGTGGCAAGCGGCGACACCCTGCGCTGCACTAACAGCTTCGTCGGCTCCGCTTCTCCAAAGGTGACTTGACTTCGTCGTTGTGCAACATGCCCATCACAGGCCGACGAATCGCCTGCTTCATGCTCTTTCATCATCCTTTCCCACGCATACCCAGCAACGTACAGTCGCCTCCCTTGTCTGAATCTCTGCTGCCTCGGACTCTTTGTCCTCACCATTTCTTTGATTCATACCATATCGCCCGATAGCATCGTGATAGGGTATCAATATCCAGCTTCGAAAAAGCATCACATTACGACCACCGAGGCTGTACGCGATACCACCCTTTGGGCATCTCCCCTCATTAGGTATGTACTACGAGGCAATCCTCCGGCTCACCTGATTCTCCCCTTTTTCCTTCATCAGCTACTTACCCGTGCCGCATGGCAGAATACTTGAAGATGTCGGACTTGTAGAGAGAATCGTGTAAGAGTTTTCAAGGTGCCCAGATATCCGGCCAGCCTGCATCATTGCCACATCGACAGACCCAGGCATCACCTAGATCAAGATGCTGCCCAATCAAAGAGAGCCTCACGGTGCCGCAAACGGCGCATCGGCGTCGGGACTCGAGGGCCATCTGCGGAACCTGATACTTACAAACGCCAACCCAAACGCTCGCCCCGGATCCTTTCCATCAGCAGATCCTCGCTCTCAGGCCTCAGCCCAAGGCCCGCCTGGGTTGCTGGGCACGCAGTCGTCAAATCATCCGTTTGTCCCGGCACAGCACCAGGCCATTGCCGGCTATCCCCGCAATGAGTCCGTCCCTGACGCCGCACCTCAACATGCCCCTCAGTCACCCAAGCCGGCCAGGAGGCGCCCAAACCAAGCTCAAAGACGACAGATGTCGTCTCAACTGACATTCGCCCCTGAGCCGCGGCCACAATTCTCTCAGTATAGCCACCCGAACAGGCCCAATAGTCAATGGGGGCCGCCACAGTCTCATCCGATCCCAGCATCGAGGCCTTCGGAATTTCCTCGTTCGCGTAATTCGTGGAATGGTCCTCAGTCACCCGCAACCGCAAATAGGCAACAGTACCAGCCTTCGCCTTCAACAAGACAATACAATGCGCTGCCGCCTCAGGCTGTACAACAGGGCACAGCATCAGGCCCTCAGCTATATCGTCCTCATATGAGGCAAGATGAAGTCATGAATCAGGCCCGTCTGCTGGACTTGTTGTGCAGTCAAGTCTTGGCTCATTCCGAGATTGACAGATCTGAGATAGCGGAAAAAGAAGCTTTCCGCCAACGCATACAGCACATTTGCCGCGAAGTCATCTGCCAGTTTGAGGAACAGCAGGATGTAAACAATAGGATCCCCCCTATTTCGGTGGAACTCAAGTGCTTCGGTAGCTTGGCTTCTGGGTTTGCCACAAAGGCGTCAGACTTGGACCTCGGCTTGGTCTCACCTCTGTCCAAGATCCCTCCCGATGCTCCTGGGTCACCCATACCTCGTCTGATAGAAAAAGCCTTCCTGCAGGCGGGCCTCGGCGCTAGACTTCTCAGTCGCACAAGGGTCCCAATCATCAAGATCTGCGAGCGCCCTTCTGTAGAGCTTCTCAGAGGCCTCCATGAAGAGCGTGAGAAATGGGAGCGTGGCGTTGACAAAGAGGCCCAGTCTGGTGCCGCTGAAGCAGAGCCTGATAACGACGGCTCTGTTCATGGAGGCGACGACGATGACCACACGCAAAGTGGGACGGCCGATGCCGGACCGGGTTCCTTGGGCGAGTTCGAGATCATCTGCAAGGATTCTGCCGAACCACGGCGCTTTCAACTCCAACAGGGACCCAAAAACTCTTTGGATTCCTACTACGGCCTGGCCAAGCGTATTCTACGAAGGGCCGGTGGATTCGATGTCACTGCCTCGAACTACAGAGACTTCACGGAATCCGACTGGGACATTCTAAACAGGGTCTGCGACGCATTCATTCAGGGGCTAGCGGATGCTTCCTTGCGAGACCATGTTGCCACATTACCCTCCATCGCTGCGGCGGGTGTGCCTTCGAACGCAGCTCACCATCGGTCTCTCTTTGGACTATTCATGCAGGTAGAAGGAGAGCACATATTACGCCGGTGGGAATCATGGCGAGAGGGCCTTCCTCTCAGACAGCTGGAAGATGACAAGTGGATCAGACAATGGGAATCTCTGCAGCATAAGCTGCCGTTCGATATCGACCCCGTTTCGTACAACCGGGAACTTCAACTCGGCCTCGAAAAGATTAAGAAGATTCCTTCTATACAGCTACTGCTGCTTGAGCAGGAGCAACAAGAGACGCCCGCGCAGTATTACACCAGAATGACCAACGTCATCCAGAGCTTAAGGGGCTCAGCATCAGCAGCACCACATGCCATAGTCCGACGATACGTGGACGGAGTGTTCCAGGAAGAAATACGACAGCAACTAAGCGATTATCTCGAACAATTTCCAGAGCAGGCAACGATCCAAGCGGTAGGATGTCGCCATAAGAGCATCCATCTGGCCAACGAGCTGGAAAAGGCTGTTGAAAGCAACTTATACGACGCTGTCAGTGTGCCGTATATCACGAGATACATCGAGCTATTGCGGCAGCCCCTCCAGATGAGAGTGATAGCACCAGGGAAGACTCGCTATGTCGTGCCAATCCCGGCCGAGTTTGCTGCTACTTTTGCCAAGATCAAGACGCTCACTGATCCCCATACACTGGCGCCAAACCAGCCGCGTGAGAGGTATCGAGATCCGCTGGAGTTCCCCAAGACAGACGTCGGCGTGCAATGCGATATCAACTTTTCTGCCCATCTGGCTCTCCAGAACACGCTTCTGCTGCGGTGCTACTCGCATACGGATCCGAGGGTTCGACCCATGATCTTGTTTGTCAAGCACTGGGCCAAAATGCGAGGCATCAACTCTGGATATCGCGGCACTCTGAGCAGCTATGGCTATGTGTTGATGGTGCTGCACTATCTCGTCAATGTTGCGCAACCTTTTGTTTGTCCGAATCTCCAACAACTTGCACCGCCGCCTCCCAGCAACTTGTCTCCGGCCGAGATACAGTCCACGATACATTGTCGAGGTTATAACATACAGTTTTGGAGAAACGAGGAAGAAATCATACGGCTAGCATCCCAAAATCAGCTGAATCGGAATACCGAGAGTGTTGGGCATTTGCTGCGAGGATTCTTTGAGTACTATGCTCAAACCGGCCTCATGAGCAATGGCCTCAACAGGGGGTTCGACTGGGGCCGCAACGTCATAAGCTTGCGAACTCATGGAGGCATACTGACAAAGCAAGAAAAGGGCTGGACAGGGGCAAAGACTGTCTATGAGGTCCAGAACGCAGCTGGTGATTCAACGACCCAGTCTGCTCCCGCACAGCCGAATTCCCAACCGCAGGCCACCCCGCCAGCCACTAAGAGTGGCGATGTCAAGGAGATTCGGCTTCGATACCTCTTCGCCATTGAGGATCCATTCGAGATAGACCACAACGTGGCTCGAACGGTTACGCACAACGGAATCGTCTCGATCCGCAATGAGTTCCGTCGGGCTTGGAGGATACTTCGCGCGGCTGGCAATGGGGACGTTCAAGAGAACCTGTTGCAGGACATTGAAGAGGAGGAGGGGAATGTCCCGGCTACGTTTCAGCAATTGCTGTCAGACATACACGACATCACTCCTGTATGATTTGCTGATTTGCGACCGGCTTCTTCCCAAATTCTCAGGGTGGGGAGGCTATATGCCTGACGGATGATATTGTTGGTAAATCTGGTCGTTGCTCCTGCTGAACTTTTCAACCTCCTTTGTACCCCCTTTACTGCTATTATGGGAGAATGAATATATCAATTACCTGGTATTTGGTAGCTATATATCTATAGAGAGAGCACTGAACATGTTGCCTCCATTGCCAGTTGTATTGTTTGGCTTCTTGCTGGGCATTTTATTGCTGCCACTTGACTCCCCTGCCCGCTTGCTGGACTTTTTCCCCTCGCGTTTTGTGTGTGACTGTTCAAGACCTAGAGAAGGCGCCTCCTCAAAGTCAATGAACTGAGCCAGAATGCGCAATATATGAAGCTCCTCGGACGCGGCCAAGAAGTCGGAGAGCACACAAACATCCGGAAACTCGGTGAGAGGAGGCAGCTCCGACAAAGCCTTGCGGATCTGAAGCAGATTAAGTGCCAACTCGTCCGTGCTGGTGTTCTGTGCCATTGTGGCAGCGAGGACTTGGCTCAGGATGCGAAGCGAATACATTCCCGCTTGAATGTGCGCGCTGAAGTGAACCGTATCCCATGGGATCTTGTCCCCGGCGGCGGTCAGAGGGCGGCTGCTTTTTTGTTGGAGTGTGGCCAAGGCGTGTGAGCTTTTGCCTTGCTGGCTGCATTCTGTGATGTCCAGGATAATGCACAGCAGCGTCCATTGATGGTGCTGCGGCACTCCAGTTTCTCTGACTCGCTTTATGAGGTCTAATAGCTCGAGGGCGGCTTCATTCGCCTCAGCGCTGGATAGTAGGGGGATGTCTCGCCCTTTTTGGTTGATATTCTGCACCCTTCTATACTCTTCGACTGATGAGGCGCGGTGGCCGGCAAGATACCGGCTTGCTACTGTGTAGGCCAACCTTCGGACGTGCGCGCTGGCGTCCCAAGAGGTTCCCTTGTTGGGATTCTCAATCAACAAAGGAAGAAACATCTTGGCTCTTTCTGAAACGCCTTTCGTTGTGGTTGCCTCTCTGATCTGAAGGAGGAGCTCTGAAACTCTCGGATCGAGAGCACTCAATGGGAGCAAGCCGCCGCCCACCAGTCGAGGGATCGATGCCTCTTCGTGGGAAACGTATTGCTGGCGGAACTGATCATAGCCCACAGCGTCTGATATAGGCTTTGAGCAAGCCTTCAACAGCATGGGGAGCGTTGCATGAGGGGAGTGCAATCGCTCGTACCCCAGCCGACATGCCTCGACAGACTTTGGCAGTCCTAGCTTTGTGTAGATGGCCCGGGGGGCATAGATGGTGCATGCCAACTTCGAGCTGGCATTCTCGTGGATGTCTCGGAAGAAGACTACTTTGCCGTTGCCAAGTTCATGGGCTAGCAAGTCGGAGTCGCCTGTCAGTATAGTGCCGCCATGCTTGGCGACGTCTGAAGCACAGTAGGCGTCAGCTTCTCCCGGTACCATGAAGCATTTCTCCCGGTATCGAGGATTGCCGCGGAGGGCATCGATGATTGCCGGTACGACAAAGCTCGGGTCCTGGGAGATCTTGTCTGCCGATAGCCCAAGACGAGGCGGGTCGTCACTAAGGTCGTCTATGGGAACGACGTGCCTGCGAGGACAGCCCGTGGTATAGGAGGAGTATAATAAGCTGAGCCGGGAGGTTGTTCTCATTACCCGCTCCATGCGGACTGGGTACTTGTCCGTTGGCAGGTAGCCATCAAAGTATATGGCTCGACTGCTTGGACATTAGCCATCATCTTCGCCTACGTATCAATTACTAGCTGCGACTGGGGGGGCGCAAAAGCTTACATGGTGACTTGCTGATCCTCTAGACGATCCAGCCACTCAATGACCACTTGACTGAGGAGGCTGTACGACGGCTGCCTCGCCCCCTGAAGCCTGCAGAGGTGGAGGACATGGTAGGCTAGCGCTGGGCCATCGATGACCACGGCCTGGCGCTGGAGGATCTCGTGTGAGGCATAGCTCTCCAGGGTGGTGATGAGGTGAGGAATGCCCATTGCCGGCCGAGGTTCAGTGGACAGCTTGGTGGGATGCTAGAGTTTATGCATGAAGATGAGAGTCATTGGGGGGGTTTTCATTCATGTATGTATGTACATCTGATGGGGATTCATATCTTCGAGTCGAATTGATCGAGCCTTGTCGAGCTTCTTTGCCGGCCTCAGCATCAATCACCACGCCTGTATGCGCGTATTCACTGATAACGGCTCGCGATAACATTGACATTGAACTGCCCCGCCATTGAGTGAATCCGCACTGTGTATTCTGCGGGAAGCTGAAAGGTCTCGGCAGTCTCCGACCAATCAAAGCAGCCGCTTATGCCGCCCACAGCACCCAACGCACCGTAGCCTCACGTGCAGCGCGCACAGTATCACCGCGCAAGGGCCCCACGCCGAGAGAAAGGGAAAAAAGCTTCTCGTCTCACTCCAACTTTTCTTCTTCCAAACCTCTTTTCTCTTCTTCCCCCCTTCTTCCCCCAAGGGTTGGCCACAATGCGCAACACGCTCATTTTCGCTGGCAACTCGTGCCCAGCTCTCACCGGCCAGATATGTGAGAACCTGGGCATGACGCCTGCCAAGGCGGAGCTGACCCAATTCTCCAATGTGAGCTTCCTGTGGTTGTGATAGAGAGCTCTGGGTTGCTGTCTTTTGCTCTCGAGCGTTTCCTTGGCTGTCGGCGGCGACAGGTACTGACTCTCTCAACTCCCAAGGGCGAGACAAGTGTCAGGATCCTCACCAGCGTCCGAGAGAAGGATGTCTTCGTCGTCCAGTCGGGGAGCCCCCGGATCAACGACTCCATCATGGAGCTGCTCATCATGATCTCGGCGTGCAAGGGCGGCTCCGCCAACAAGGTCACAGGTTCGCTTCGCCCAGAACTGCTCTGCTGCGAGAGTCTACTGACGTCGTTGCGCCAGCCGTGCTCCCGTACTTTCCCTACAGCCGGCAGTCCAAGAAGAAGTCTCCGCGAGGGGCCATCACAGCCCGGATGCTTGCTAACCTGCTCGGTGTTGCTGGCGTTAAGCACGTCGTCACCGTCGACCTGCACGCGTCCCAGATGCAGGGCTTCTTCAGATGCCCCGTCGACAATCTGCACGCTGAGCCCATCATCGCTAAGTGGATCAAGCGAAACGTGCCGAATTGGCGAGAGGCCGTCGTGGTGTCCAAAAACCCCGGTGGAACCAAGAGAGTCACGTCGCTGGCTGATGCGCTCAAGCTCAACTTTGGCTTGGTCACCACCGATAGAAGACGCGGGACCAACATGTCGGGAAGCATGATCATGAACCATCTGGATGGATTCGATCGTCGACCCGTCTTAGAGGATGCGGCCAAGAGCGACGCTCAGCAGCAGACCGATGCAGTCCCAGCGCGCGACGGGGCAAGGACGCCGGTCAGGACCACGCGAGTTGTCCCCGAGCCGCAAGATTCGCCTGTCCGACCTGGCGATTCGTCGACAAGTGCGACGAATCTTGCTGAACCTGTCCCAGAAGGTCAACCCGCCACTCGGCGGAAGAGCGCTGTCCAGCTCGACTCCGACTATGACGATCGTCGTGCCCAGGAAGTCATCCATGGCCGACTGATTCAAGGCCACATCGTCGAAGACGACTTCCCGTCTCCGGGAAGGTCCACGGCAGGGAACAGCGTGCAAGGCGACGATCCCATGACCATGTCGCATGCTTCGTCCTTCTTCGCCCCCGATCGTCAGTCACTGGCTGGTGGTGGCAACAACGACAGCAGCTCCGATGAGGAAGACAAGGCTTTCGAGGACCCCAAGGCAGAGCACATGATCACACTGGTGGGAGACGTGCGAAATCGCACAGTCTTCATCGTCGACGACATGATTGACAAGCCGGGATCGTGGATTGCCGCGGCCGAAACGGTGGTGAAGAAGGGCATGGCGAAGAAGGTGTACTGCATTGCCACCCACGGTGTCTTTGGCGGAGACTGCTTGGCGCAGCTGCAGGCCTGCGAGTGCATCGACACCATTGTTGTTACTAACAGCTTCCCCATCAGCGACGAGCAAGTCAAGAACACCCCCAAGCTGGTTATACTGGACCTCTCGTTCCTCCTTGCCGAAGCCATCCGCCGCAACCACTATGGCGAGTCCATCTCCCCCTTGTTCCAGCACATAGGAGATTGAAACATGGGAGGAGATTGGTGCATTTAACGTGTAAGCTGATGGCAACTCGCCGCCTCTGTGGAGGGTCTGGCCGGGTGGGTGTTTTCAGTGTGTTTCATTTAGCGTGGCGTCACTGGGTTTTGAGGGCAAGGAGAAAGAAACAAAACATCATCTGTGTTTATGTAACGAACAAGGTCAGTCAATTGATGAGTTCTCATGTGGAGGTCCCCCCCTGTCCATCCCGTGTGAGTGTCTCGCCTCTAATTCCTCTGTCTCGTGTGTTTTCCGAGACGGGAAACCCTCCCCAGCGGTGCTGTCCTTGTGGCAGCCAGAGTCCGATTCATCCCAGAATGGATTCTGAACGGAACGTTGGTAGATCAATCTTTTTCGATCTTAGAAGGCCCCTCATTTCTATCGCCGGCTTCGGCTGGCCGTGGGTTAGGGGCAAGAGAAATTTTCGAACATGCCTTGCAAGATGTGTAGTTTTAGGAATATTGCAATTGATATACCTGATTTAAGCATTTGATATAAACCCGACTATATGCCAGAATAACTGGTTATCTGCTTTGTCTATTGGATGTGGATGTTTTACCTAGATTGGTGTGTCTATATGCTTTATATACTCTCCCCTTTTCATCTAAGTCGGTCTGCGGTGCATGATGAGAGCAGATGCCTTTTGTCACGTCAGTCAGCCACTTGACATCAACAATTGCAATCATTTTGGGAGACACTTTACCTGGTGGTTGGGGTAGAGAAGGGTGTCAGCAACGACGACATTCTCCGGCCTGGTAGCAGCAAAGACGATGACCTCGGCAACATCGTCCGGTGTAAGGGGGTCGCAGCCACTGATGGATCACCAAGAATTAGTCGGCGCCCATACAATAACCAGGATAAAATCAGGTGATGGGATAATCCAAGCCTCGGACGAAGGAGAAGAAGCGGGATTGGGGAAAGGGGGGTGTCTTACGCATAGACGGCATCGGCCTTGGCCTTGTCGCCGTAGAAACGAACGACGGAAAACTCCTATATGCCCGGCGGTAAGTATCAGGCCAAAGATACAAAGACATTTGGTTCCCTTTTTGGGTGATTGATGAGTTATTTGGGAAGCTTACCGTCTGGACCTGGCCGGGGTCAACTTCGATGACCCGGATGCGAGTGGCGATGAGCTCCTTTCTCAAGCTCTCTGTGAAGCTTCGGACGGCAGCCTTGGTGGCGCAGTAGATTGAGCCTCCGGGGTATGGCTCACGACCTGTATTGAACAGGGGTCAATATCATGCCAGGCAGAGAGGAGATGAGAAGTATAGCGTGATGGGACCAAGAGTAATCCAACACGAAAGTACATGCAGTGGTCATGAGAAGGAGAGAGGAGAGAGGCAGCTTGACATACCGGCAATAGATCCAATGTTGATAATGTCTCCCTGGCCGCCGTTAGGTCGTTTCTGAAAGATGGGGAGGATGGCCTGCGTCATGTTGATGAGGCCGGTGACGTTTGTCGTGAACATGATGTTCAAGTCCTCCTCGGCGATTTCAGGCGCCTTGGCCACGCCCTTGACCAATCCGCTGAACGAACACAAAGAACAAAATTAGCAACAGGTTTCTTCACATACAGCTGAACGGCCATTTCAGTTCACTTCAGGCCCTTTCATGAAAGAACGTACGCATTGTTCACCAAAACGTGAATATCCCTCCACTCCTCCGGCAACCCGCCCACGAAGCCCCGAATCTCCTCCGCCTTGCTCACGTCGAGCTTCACGGGCAGCACCTGCACGCCGCCCTTGGTCTCCTCGTGGATCTGCGCCGCCAGCTCCTCCAGGGACTCCTTCCGGCGGGCCGTGATGATGAGGCGCAGGTCGCCGCTGGGGTTGGTCCGCGCGAACTCGAGCGCCGTGGACCGGCCGATGCCCGAGGAGGCGCCGGTGATGAGGATGGTCTTGCCCTGGAGGCGCTTTGCTGCTGCCGAGGACATTTTGCGGGTGAAGAGGGTGAAAGTGGTGGTGTTGTTTCGTTGACGGCAAGGGGTAGTGAGAGGAAGAGGACGATGAGTCAAGGAGGCGAGAGTCCGTCTCTGGGCGCTATTATATCGATACGAACAAGAAGTATAGCCGCCTTGGAGGACAGAGGGGCGGGTCACAGCGAAGCGGAAGAAATTGGCGGTGGCTCTGCTTTGGACGGAAGGCATCAAAGATACGCTTCTTTCAATTGGCTTCGTTCCTGCACGCCAGCCAATTGGTTTTGTAAAGGAAAGGGGAGAGAAGAGAGATAGAGAGAGAGGATTGGAGTTGTAGGATAAGAGAAAAGTGGGTTTGCGTGTGGAAAGAGGAATTGCGAATTTTGGAGACAGTTGGAGATGCTACAGTACAGTAGCAGGGCGTATTACAGATTCAGGTACTGAACAAGTACTCGATAGCAAGGCCCTGATAGCAGCTACGGGCGAGACCAAGCATTGCTCCGAGAGGGGAATTAGTATCATTCATCATGCTCTACCGAAATGACGACAAATCCATCGTCCGGTTCTTTCAATTGCGATGCCGACACCCCGCATCGTCTGGGTGGTGATAACCGATAATGCGACGAATAACCCCGCGTTGCTCGACGTGGGGCAGAACCACATGGGAAAATGCATCACGAGTGGCGGCATCACTTTTTGCCGTCTTCAACCAGGGACGATCCTGCGCTTGGCGTCTCGGCGGATTCTAATCCTCGTTATCCGTCAAGAGGGAGGCTTCTATTGAGAAATGGTATTGGCGAAGCTTTCACCTCTGCTAATGTTGCATTCGTATGATAAAGAAGAAAAGAATCATATGCAAGAGCAGAGAGCGACTGCGGTTGTTGCAGTCGTCTTCTCCCATAATGGCAACTCAGAACATGCCAAACCCTCCGTTATTTATATTTCCATCCACATGAGTAACAAAGTCATGGTGCGGGCATGAGACTTACATCCAACCAGATGTCATACCCAATTATTTGCCTGATGCTCCTTCAGCAACTCCCCCTTCGGCGACTCCCTCACCAGCAACAGTTTGTAGGGGAATCAGGGGCTCCGCGACTCTCTGCTCTCCTTCTTCTGGTGCCACTTCCTCGCGCTGCTGCTCGACGTCCCTTCGACCCATATGACAATTGATAAAGGCCGTTGAAAGCACCCCCAAACAAGCCGCGACTGCTGCCGTCGTGATGCCCTTGTGAAAGGCGGACACATAGGCTCTCTTGACCGCTTCCAGGCTAGCTCCCGTGAGGTTTTGCATATCCCCCCTAATGGAAGCCAACTCTTCAGGGGTAACGAGCTCCGGAAGCCGATTGATGACTTCGGTGTGCAGGAACAGAGTAGAAATCGATACGCCAAGGCTCCCCCCTAATATTCTCGCCTGGGCAGTGATACCATGGGCAGATGCTAACAAAAACCAGGGTATTAGCCAGCTGTGCAAATAGGACAATACAACAGGAACGTTACCCTTTTGCCGTGTCGGAACATCAACACTGATCACGTTGGTCGCTGCCGCGGTGAAAAGACCGAACCCGAACCCTGCGAAAGCTAGAAACCCCAGTGCTTTTGCGTCGTCTTCAGATCCCTTGATCGTCGGGAGAAGTACAAATCCAAAGGCCATCATCCATGTGCCGCAGCGCAAAGTCCCTGAAAGATAGTCTTTAGTAGCATTGATCTTTCCGCTCACCATACTGCCGATGGCAACCGTTCCTAGCATTGGAAGCAGCATCAGCCCAGCAATGAGCGGGCTTTTACCACTCACGATTTGCATCCAGATGGGCAACGAAAATATCAAGAGCAGATGCGGGTAGCCGACGAAGAAAGTCGTCAGCGCGCTTCTTGAGTACCGTCGAATCCGGAAGAGTTGGATGGGAAAGACGGGGACGATGGATCGAGCAAACCACTTTTCGATGGCATATCCCCAAGCGACAACTCCCACCCAGCAAGCCAGGCCGATAATCACCGGTGCAAGGAATACTGCACGCCCCCAGGTCACTGGGTCGGATTCACCTGCATTCTGGAATGCAAATACAACGAGGACGGAAGCTGCGATGCCTAGTATGGTGCCGACGAAGTCAAACTGTTTCCAGGGTCGGGTCTGCGTTCGCGGCATCTCCTGTCTGGTGGGCCAACTCAATAAGAATATCAGCAAGGAGATGAAGCCTATCGGCCCACTGTCTCTCTTGTTAGCTGTCTTCTATGATCAGAAGGGCATTCGGGGCTGCAGACTTGACCCAGAAAATCCACCGCCAGCTTGTGTACTGGGTGAAGATGCCCCCCAAAACAGGCCCGAGGATGCCTGCACTTGCAATGACCACTCCGATAATGCTGCCTATATATTGACGAAGTTGAGGTGGACACTGCTGGGTCAATATGATCATTGACAGAGCATATAGTCCTATAGTTGTTGTTGTAAGTGCTTGGGCCATATTGTCCACGGGGAAGGGGCTTCAAATCACATACCGGAACCGCCAACCCCCTGAAATGCCCGGCAGATGATGAGATGTTTTATCTGTCGAGTAAACCCACAAGCAATAGAGAATGCCACAAAGAGGATGTAGGAACCCGTGAAAGCGTTACGCTGTCCTATAATATCTGACAGAGTGCTGCATGAGACGGCGAAGCCAGTGTAGCCTAGTGTATAGGCCAGGACAACCCAGTTAATCAGGCTATGCTCTTGGAACTCGACTCCGATGGTATATAGACTGGTCGCAAGGATGGACGAGTCGATTATAGATAATAGCAGGCCTGTGCATACACTATAAATCGGATCAGTTTCAAGTCAGAATTTACAGCCGTTCATGCAGGCTCCCTTCCCCGACTGGTAGTGACACTCACCCGATACACAGTACCCAAAACCGCCATGGTGGTAGTGTGTTCACGAAGGTTCCAGGGCCCTGGAAATCATCCACTTCCAATGCCTCGATGGCCCGCTCGGTGACTGTCGTTTCTGCAGCATCTCTGGGCTCGACAGGGCGGGTGCCGTCCGGGGGTGTCGAAGAAACCGCCATTATCGGACATGAGGAATCCTCAAGACTCTCAGATTGTGGCCCTAGACTCAAGTGACAAGAAACGGTGAATCCCAAATTCTTGTAATGGTTGGTAGGCAACTGAAAAGGACCGACTCGGGTATCTCAATGTAGGTTCTAGCCACTGGCTCTGGGTTCTGGTCCTCGTCGAAGAATTTCTAGATAGTCTCAGCACGAGGCTCGCTATCTCTTGAAGAACCAAGGACAAGGAGCTTTAGGAGGAGGAAGGAAAGCACGTGAGCAGTAAAGTGTAATGAGGAGAGAAAGTGAGAGAAAGTGAGAGCGAGCGAGTGAATAATCGGGAGGGGGCTGAAGTGAAGCAGGAACGCAAGAAGCCTACCAGATACAGCAGGCGCAACGACAGCTGTCTCCTACCTTGGCACGCCAGGCCACCAACCAGACATTTCCAACTGCAAGAAGAATTCCATTGATGCCACAGAAACAGCAGTTCATTTGCAAACAATGACAAGTTTCGGTAGCTTTCGAACGTCAGTAAATCACGCCCATCTACCATCAGCGGCTGCTGGGCAAAGGCGAAATCTGTGTGCCATGGCCACAGCATATGGAAGCACGAGATCCGAGCATGATGGAACGTCTGCTGGCCTATTATTGGAAAGGTGAGAACAAAGGAACTTCCAAGGCACTGAATGGCAGAACTTCTAGCATTTGCACGCAAGGGGCCTGATTGGTTTCATTCAGATGCAGAGAGCCGTGGGTGGTTGTTGAAGCTCAAAGAAGAGGCCGCAAGCTGTGTCTACCTCACTACCTTACCGTACCTAATCCAGCTGCACTCGGGTCTAGATTGTACAATTGGCATAATGACTGGGTTGTCCCGATTTCCTAGGAGTATTCGGCCATGGACAGAACGTTGGGACAGACTTTCTCCTTTCAGTAGAGGGCAAAGTAGGTATGGCATCGCCTGTGCAAAGCCCCTCCATCGATCCTCTCCTGAAGCCGTCAGTGCCATGCAAGATCTTCCCGAAATGCACATGGCAGATGGTCGTCGCACGAGGTTCCCTAACACGCGCCACGAATAGTAGAACAATTATTGACTGGAGCTCCCATCACTGCCTAATCCAGCCTAACAGCACATTAGCATTGTTCGACTAGCCTATAATGGGCAGCAGTGCTGTAAGAGCTGCCACCAGCGCCCCTCGATAGCTCCAGTCGGTACCTTAGTACCTTACCCAATCCCCCGGTATGATGATAAGCATCCAACAACTGCATCAACCATCGCCAGCTCGTGCCTTCAGAAGCTCTTCTTGGCTGGATTCGGTCATTATCATCACCACTCCGACATCCGCATCATCCTCACTCTCTCAGCAGCACTCACCCATCTGCACCACAGTCACATACGCAGCGTGCCTCCTCCAACTACCCCGCAACAGAGCAAAGAGCCCAAGCAAGACACCTGGTCAACCTCAACCAAGGACGGGCAGCTCGGGCAGCGCTAAGCACAGTATGACAGACATCCTGGCACAGCAAACACCTCTCACACTCCTCGGTCCCTCAGACAAGGAAAAGAAGTATGACCGCCAACTCAGGCTGTGGGCGGCCGAGGGCCAGGCTGCCTTGGAATCGGCAAATATTCTGCTCATAAACTCGGGACCAGGCACAGCTGGCATCGAGACTCTGAAGAACCTTGTTCTACCCGGTCCGCCAGTCCCTTATCCAACCTTTGGGTTCGAGTGTGAGCGCTGACCTCTCTCATTCACTCAGGGATTGGCAAGTTTACTATTGCCGACAATGCAACTGTCCAAGATGAAGACTTGGGCGTCAACTTTTTCCTGGACGATTCATGCCTCGGTCAATCGAGAGCTCAGTGCTGCACGGAACTTCTCCTTGAGCTCAACCCGGAGGTGGAGGGAGTCTGGACCTCTAAAGTGACAGTACGTCTCTCACTCGATCTCAACCTCATATTGCCTCGCATGGCCTACTGGGAGACCTGGCACTAATGTGACACAGGATCCCGCCAGCCTCCAGGAGCTGCTTGGTTCACCAGAAGTATTTACTATGATCATGTATAGCTTTCCTCTACAGCCATGGATGCTTGAAGCCATTGAGGCATACGGCCGCCAGCATCGAACGCCGCTCGTCGCTATTCACTCAGTGGGCTTCTACTCTTACTTCCGCATCACACTGCCCGGTACCTTTCCCATCGTTGACACTCATCCCGACGAAACTGCAACGACAGACCTCAGGCTTCTCGCCCCTTGGCCGGAGCTCTCTCAATTTGCAAAGGAAATGACCAAAGACATTGACAACCTAGACCACCATGACCATGGCCATATCCCGATGGTTGTGATTTTGCTTCACTATCTGGATAACTGGAAACAGCAGCACAATGGTGCTTACCCACTCTCCTATAGTGAAAAGACGGCATTTCGACAAATGGTATCAGACGCCATGAGGCGAGACAACCCGGAAGGAGGAGAGGAAAACTTTGAGGAGGCTGTTGCTGCTGTTATGAAGCATGTCAATCCGCCGCCCGTCCCATCATCGCTCAAACAGGTCTTTGACTACGAGCACAAAGATGAACAACAAGCCAAGTCCAGTTTCTGGATCATTGCGGAAGCCATGAAGCAGTTTTATGCTGAGCACCAACGCCTGCCCGTCGCTGGTGGCCTGCCGGACATGAAGGCGGAGTCTAATGTCTACATCAAGCTGCAGAATATCTACAAAGACAAAGCTCGGCAAGATGCAAACGACGTCTTGGCCAGAGTCCGCAAAATCCCAGGGGGTGAAAACATTGACCTGGTAGAGGTGGAGCTTTTCTGCAAAAATGCACGCTTCATCAAACTCGTCAATATCGCGGAGGAGAAACCCCTGAGTCTGGAGCAAATCATTGGTAGGCAGACCAGCTGGATACAACCATGTGTACTAATGGCTAATGCGGACCTTTAGAACGCGAGCTCAGCAATGACGAAATCGCTGCTATCGCGGGGCCAGAAATGCCATCCTCCCTGATTTATATCTACCTGGCTTTGAGCGTGCTATCGCATGATTCGATAGCCTCAGCTGATGAAATCACAGCTGCGGTCTGTGCCATGGCGCCGGCTCTCAAGGGCAACAAGCGCTTGACTAAAGTGGCCCAGGAACTGTCGCGAGCAGCTGGCGGGGAGTTGCACAATATCTCGGCCGTAACTGGGGGGATGGTGGCACAGGAGGTCATCAAGATCATTACGAAGCAATACGTCCCCATTGACAACACGTGCATATTTGACGGAATAGAAAGCCGATGCCAAGTCCTGCGGTTATAGTCTTGAAACGTATCGACGCAAGAGGAGAGAGACGGAGTTGATGGTTGCGAGGGCGATGGGAGGCAAGTCGACATGGAATGGCATATTCGTGGTATGGGGAATCACTTCAGCACATTAACAGCAATTCAATGATACATGTGACTAGATATTTACACAAATGGGGAGTCTTTATTTTCCTAATTCGGCGGCTCTGGAGATAGATACTTATCACGTTGACAGCTGAACAACCCCTGAAATTGACGGGAAGAAAATCGCCAGCATGAACTTGGGTACCAAAATGAAAGAGCGGAATCATTAATTTTGAGTTGGATGAGAATAAGGCAATAAGGTAAGAGAAGCCAAATGGATGGAGTTTGACCATGGAAGAGGAAAGAAGAGGCTTCGTGTGGATGCCAGGCAGGTGCGAGCTGTACAACAAATTTTGTATCAGAGGGCAACTGCCTTGAAGAAGCTTGGCAGGACAAAAGGAAGGTGCGTACCGAGAACATTTGATAAAGCAGGCTGTCTCGACTTCAGGGAAAGGGACGTCCATCCATCTATTGCCGAGCCGCAATGTCTGCTGGCTCAAGCGGTCCGCGTGACATTTACATTCGGATTCGGCCAGCTTTTCAACCTTCACGTCGATTGGAAACTTCATTGTCGTTGCGGACCTACCGAAGAAAGCTGGTACTATTCTCCCTAACTTGAGACCCAGATACACCGTTGATTGCAACGGAAGAGAGACATTAGACATCAGCACATATGGAGAACACGCTCACTTGCAACAACCTCAAGTGCAGAAAGGAGCTGACCGATCGGGCGCTCGTGACGACTTGCAGGTTAGCCCTGACGAGCCATTCGTGATGAGGAAACGGCGTTAACGACTGCCCTCAAACCAGTCACATATTCTGCATTGAATGCGTTCAGCGACTCGGCCTCATAGGGCAAGATAACCAGAGACGCAACACTTGCCCTGTATGCAACGCCCAGCTGGCCAAGGCAGAGGATATCGCCTTCAACAATCTCAACCCCACTGAAGAGTTCAAAACATGCGTGCTCAGCGGCTTGAGCCCCAACATCGTCATGGAATGCGCAGGACGGGCCATTAGTTTCTGGGCGTATCAAACAACCCAGAACCTGCATTACCAGCAGTACTTGTACAAGACACTCTCGGAAAAGTACTCGGCCTTGTGGGCTCGATGTGATCAGATCAGCAGGGACTCGGATGCCAAACTGAACAGTCTGTGCGAAAAGCTAGAGAGTGAGCCATCTGAGAAATCCTTTCCCCTACTGTGAGCTAGCTAATCCAGACAGGTGTGACCGCCTCACGAGATGTTTTGCAGCGGAAGAACGAGGAGCTCGCAGAAGCATTCAAAGACAAGAGTCGGAAGCTGTTCCAAACGCAAGAGCTTTATACTAAAGTCAAGAGGAAGGCCGAATTGGGCCGGATTGAGCGAGCGGCGTCGGATGCTGTGGACAGCTCCATTCGTTCAGTGCACCCTCCCGTCATGAACACTCAGGAGACACACACCTTTCTTCCTCCGCAATTTCATGAACCTAATGAACGAAGCTATCCTCGCAGTAGTGGGTTGCGATTTGATCCTACGGGACTCATGTCGGGCCTAACAGGGCCAAACCCTCAGCAGCATACCCCCGATGGTCAATGGCCGAGGAAGAGAACGCCATCTCACGGTAAAAAAGCCCTCTTCGCAGCTGAAGTAGCCCTATACTGACCCAGAATTATTCTAGGCTTCACGCCAGAGGCTCAACCATACCGCCAACCTCCCCACGATCGAGGACGGGTAGAAATTCTCCATCCTCACATCCCCAGCAACACGGGGTTGGCTAGGGGGGATAGTCTGAGAGCATCGGGAGTCAACTCGCCGAGTTTCCCCCCTCGGCGCGATGCCTGGGCTGGCGTCGGCCTCTCATCTGGTCTAAAGGTTGGCCAACCAACAGGCCAAACAGGGCTGAATGGACCACTGCGAACTCTGTGATTCGAGGTGCATGGCTACCCGATAATTGGCGAGATATTCGCAGGCATTTATGGAGAGGGGAAATTGTATGTACGGGTCGCGGCTTGACATTTCTTGGAGTGAATTGGAACGAAATGTGAACAGCCGTCCAACCAACTCAGAAGCCGATGTTTCAAAATGGGCGATTCTCTTTCAGGTCAAAGCATCACCGAGCTTTCGCAATTGAACAAGTTCAACAGCAAGATTACCACGACAACGGCGGACGTATATTTAAATACAAGATACGATGCAAATGTCGATTCCATTTGGGTACTGGACGTACCATAAATCACAGGCCAGGAATTCTCTGTACATGATCCCCATGGTAGCATGCAGGCAAACACAGCACAAGCTCCGCACGCTCCAGACGAGGCAACCTTTGTTACGGCCACCAAATCCAGGTTACGGCGACTCATGAGAAGTAGGGCGTGCAGCCTCAGATTCCGCAGACGTCGAGCGGAGGACACGGTCGATATGGAGGCAGCAGAGAAGGCCTCGAAGGAGGAGGTTAATGCGAGGATAGCACAGAGCGCCATGGAGGATGCGATGGAGGAGATGAATAGGACGCTCGCCATGTGGGACTGGGACAAGATCAAGCGGGAGATGGACCGGGAGAAGCTGGGGACGCTGGAGGAGGCGCTAAACTCGCATCCGCTGCCCTGGACATGAGAGCTGCGGTACGATAACGCGAGAGAGTTGATGTCACAGGATGCTTCTGCTTCTGATCAATTAGTATCGGCGGGGTTTATACGAGTGGGAGTTGTATCACAGGCAAACAAGGAAACGAACAGCTTGAAAGATGCAGAAGTGATGGGATGGGACGAGATGAAGCTACTGCAGGTGGCTTCGTATTCTATCTTTAGCAGAGGCGGCGCTGATAAGGCTGGGGATCGGAGGTATCCAATACTTGCAGACAGGCGAATGAAGAGCGTTTGAAGCGTTGGCAGGCATGTGTGTTGACGTGAGACCCTGAGTAGCCGCGACTTGCCTCGCCGCATCTGGACATGGCGCAATGGTCGCTAGTGGTGGTGCGGGTCCTGCAGCGTGAGACGTTCAGCGCCTCTCAGTGGCTCGACAAGCCGCAAGTCCACGCAACACCGAGTCGCAACCTTGAATTCTTTGACTTTTCTTCCCCTTCATCATCTCCATCTTCCCCAGTCTCCTTCGCATCGTGTCGCACCACGATTGCCGACTTGTCTCTCGTTCAGTCGCTTCAAAATCTCGACCCTCAGATCACAGCTCCGTATCACAATCTCCGTCAATTCGCTCGCTAGCCTTTCTCTGTTTCGATACCCCTGCAACCCGCGAATCCTACGATACGAATTCTTATCGCCTAATAATTGCGCCCCTTCGAGAAGCCTCCATTCCTCGATAACAGCTTGACCTGCCACTCTTTTGCTGGCGCCAACCGAGAGCAACCGAGAGACGGACGGACGGACTCTTGCCAGCAATTCTTGGCTTGTCTCAACTTTCTTTGCGACCTTTAATCTTCGCCATTCCCTGCCGCACCGGCGACGGATCGACAACGACACGAGGCGATTCGATCCGTTGCGCTTTCTCGCCTTGGCTGGCGGCTATCAGTCCAACAAATCCTACAGTCAATCACAGACCCCGTTCGATTCGATAGGCGCTGCGCGCGACGAGACTTAATCACTTTTCCTTTGCAGTTTGCATGCTCTCATGGGTAAGACGCGACCCTCGCTAAATTGATTTATGGAGGGAGGAGGAAGAAGTAGGACACAGAGAAGGAAACACAAAGACGAAACGGAGACGTAGACAAAAGACGGCGCTTCTCGCTAACATGATGATGCTGCGCAGGTCAATACGGTGTGATTCTCGATGCCGGCTCCTCGGGCACCCGTGTGTACGTTTACAAATGGAAGGATCCTAGCAAGGCTGTCAAGGAAGCCTCTGCCTCCGATGCCCACATACTGCCGAAGCTGAAGCTCCGCAAGAGCAAGAAGATCCATCCCGGGGTGTCTACCTTTGCCGACAATGTCGCCTCCGTCGGGCCCGATCACCTGAAGGCGCTCGTTGACACCGCGCTCGACGAGATACCAGAGTCGCAAGTCGCCGAGACACCCATCTTCCTCTTGGCAACCGCTGGCGTTCGATTCCTGCCGAAACACCAACAGACTGCGCTGCTCCAGGGGATATGCACATACCTGCAAGCCAACACGCGATTTCTACTCCCCGATTGTGCGAGCCATGTCCAGGTTATATCTGGCGAGACGGAAGGCCTATACGGTTGGATCGCCGCCAATTATCTGCTTGGCGGTTTCGACAAACCCGACGAGCATGCGCATGGCAAAGGCCACCATACCTATGGCTTCCTGGATATGGGTGGTGCGTCAGCCCAGATTGCCTTTGCGCCAAACTCGACCGAGACGGCAAAACACGCGAATGACCTCAAGCTGGTTCGACTGCGCCGGCTGGATGGCTCTCCTCTGGAATACAAGGTGTTCACGGCCACATGGCTTGGCTTTGGAGCGAACAAGGCACGGGAACGCTTCGTCGAAAGCTTGCAGGAGCAATACAGTGATGCCAAGGGCGACATTCCGGATCCCTGCCTACCGAAAGGCTTGCGGACCTCGATCACGGGCGAGCCTCTTGGTGGCAAGAAAACATCAGATGTTGCGCTTGTGGGGACAGGCGCATTCGAGGAATGTCTACGCAAAACGTATCCCTTGCTGGGCAAGGACGTTCCATGCGAGGACGACCCGTGTTTACTCAACGGCCAGCATGTGCCCGCCATCGATTTTGATGTAAACCACTTCATCGGCGTCTCCGAATACTGGCATACGACACATGGCGTCTTTGGTCAGGAGAGCAAAGTCTACGACCTGATCGCCTACGAGCAGGAAGTCAATGCATTCTGCAGCCAGGATTGGTCAGTTATTGAAGATGGGCTTGACAAGAGAAAGAAGACAATGGAGGAGAAGGCGGAGAATGCCAGGGAAGCCTGCTTCAAGGCGTCGTGGCTAATCAACGTGTTATATGAGGGAATTGGCATTCCGCGGATCGACCTAGGGGACGTTGCCGGCACAAAAGGGAACGCGACCAAAGGAGCTGGGGAAAAGGCAAAAGACAAGGGATACCTGGACCCTTTTCAGCCCATTGATACGATTGGCGGCGTCGAGGTCAGCTGGACTCTGGGCAAGATGGTCCTCTATGCAGCCGGACAGATTCCCCCACAGGGCTCAGAACTGCCTGTCGGGTTTGGAAGCAATACAGGATCGGAAATCCCCGCTGATTTTGAATTTGCTGGTTCCAAGCCCTTGCTGCCTGGTACTTACGACGATGACGACGACGACGACGACGACGTCCTCCTGAGCCGGTCTTCACCTTTTAAGGGTCTTTTGGTCTTCATCTTGATCCTCCTCCTCATCGGCTATTTCCTGAAGCGAACCGAATGGGGGCCTAGGGTGTTGGGCAAGTTCCGCCGGTTTCGAAAAGGCAGGAGTTCGTCGTTTGTCAGGAGGCTTTTCGGTAGAAACTCGACTACTACCTACGAACGGATCATGGAGGAAGGCGATGCGGCTGAGTTCGAGCTCGGGGGCACGGAGTCTGATGAAACCGACGGCTCAGACGGCAGCGAGACACCACGGTCTGCTAGAGGCAGCCGCCGGCCTGCCCTGGCAGTGACACGAACGAGCCCCGAGCTGCGGCCGCCGTCGGTCATGGACCGGCACGGGCTTGTTGTGCGGACGGAGAGCTGCGAGCGTCTCGCCCCGACTCTTCAGATGCTGAACGCTGGCCGTCGCAGTAGGACGGGAAGCCCAACACGACTGAAGCATTCGATCGCGATACCCCAGGAAAGCTAGCGGCGACATTCCTGTCGAGGCGGTTCCTCCGAAAAAACGTTCATGATTGTATGATACACATGTCGAAGCCTCTATGGACTCTCACAACTGTCGGCTTCTTTGTACATCTCCATCTGTCTTACTTGTGCTTCCCTGACAGCTCGAACAGCGGCAGGGGTTCTTGGGATTTTGGGTAAATAGGGGGGTTCTGGCGGAGCAGCGATGCCTCCTAGCCGAGCTTGGGAAGTGACGCTCGCTCTTTCACCAAGCAGTTTAATTACGTTTTAACAATCAGCTCTACGCTTTACGCGAGCCTAATGTATAAATGCTCTTCTTGAGCCACAGACTCAATACCAATTTGCTCCAGCGCGTGTCTTCGAGATCAAGATGGTTTCAGTCCCGTACGGTAAGCTGTATGACGGATGGATGAGCGGAAGATGGAGAAGCAATTATCATTCGCTCTACGCTACAAAAGGCAAAAGGCGAGGCATTGGTGTGTGTAGATGTAGGAGTGTATAGATGTAGAAGATGATTTTTGCAAGATGCTTTCAGTCGGACTGCTTCTCGAGGAAGCTCGGATCGGAGCGGATTCGTGATTCGAATTTGCGCCACCACTCCTCAAAGGCCCGGAGAGGGACAACCTCGACGCCGCCAGGCCCTGCCGTTCCGCTGAAGCTGGCGAGGAAGTTGAATGCGTTTTGGATGATGCGCTGGGCGAGGACGACGGTGGAGACTGATGATGAAGAGGAGGAGGAGGTGGAGGAGGAGCCTTGTGTCGCTGCTTTGCTGGCGGCGAGCTCTTGCAGGCGCGGGGCGACGACTTCGGCGGGCTCGACGGAGATGCCAATCATGAGGCCGCCGTCGCTGCTACTACTGCTAGGATCTGATGTTGTTGAGTCGGCGCCGGCGACCTTGAACATGGCGCTCTCCTTGCCGGGGCCGATGGCGCCGAGGAAGCGGAAGTTGGGGGTCGCGCTGGCGGCGGCCTCGCGGGCGGTGGTGAGGTAGATTGCGGCGGCGGAGTCGGCGGGCAGGGCGATGCCGGGGAGGAGGAAGACGACGATGTGGGAGAAGGGCTTTGTCGTGGGGAGGGCGTAGAGGAAGGAGGTGGGGGAGGGGGAGGAGGCCGGGGCTGTGATGAGGGGGTGGCCGGCGGGGACGATGCCGAAGAGGGGGGTTGACATGGTTCGGTTCTCGGTGTTGTAATGTTTTTTTTTTTTTTGGTTGTTTGGTTGTGTGTTTTGCGTGTGGTTGAGGCTCGTGATGGTGGTTTGATGCTTGGTGACGTCGGTGGATTTGTTGGTTGGGGTGGGAAGCTCGAGTCGGGCGGATTCTGGGATCGGAAATGGTGGCTTGCTCCCCTTGTCTGTTCTGCTCGTTGAGACTAAGGTACTTTTTGTAATTGGCCGCGGCGGTAGAGGAGATTCGTAGGCGAATGATCTAGAGTTCAAAAGATATGGGAAGAAGATTATATGGATGATGGAACGAGCTCGAAGCAAATGTCAAGAATTGAGTTGCAACAAGATTGATCGGCAAGAATATGGCCAGCAATTGTTACCCAACACAGTTAGTCGAAGGGAGAAAAAAAAAGGAAAAGACAAAGAAAAAAAAAAAAAAAAGAGCAAGCTCCAGTGCTTTTCGGGCCAGGAAGGTAGGTAGGGGTACTCTTGTATGTGCTCCGCGACTGCCTCGTCAAAGAGCCCCGGTCAACCAACCAACACGTCCGAGGCATTAATTCTTCCTTTTCCCTGTTCTTCTACTTTTCACACAAGAGTGCACCAATGATATGAGAAGGCTGGATTTCTAGGTTTAATTTTGTGTTGGTTTTGAATTCCCGGGCTTCTCCACGTCGTGAGTACATCCGTTAAGTCTTCTTGAGTTTGTTGGTCGGTTGCCTGCCTGTGAGCCTTGAGGCTTCTCTTATTCCGTTACACCCACGGAGATGAGGATGAAGAGCCTGTCCTTCTGTTCTGCCTAAGGCCGGATGGTGTGATACTTTGATCGCGTGATGGCTTTGCTGGAGGCTTAGACTTCTTCTTGCGGATATGGGTACACAGGTAGAAATAAAATATCTACAAAGATCCCGTCATGCTCCAGTCACCACAAGTCCGTCCAGTGTTTATGGAACTGTCTAACAGCCACTTTACACAGATAGCAAACATTCTGGAGCATCATGTCGAAGAGTTATCTTGAGCTGATTGCAGAGACGGACCAGTGCGTACCCGATGATGCCATCTTTTTTGCCAAACGCCATGAAAGCAGCCCCCTATCTCATCCAGTGATGAGACTCTCACCACAACTGGGCTAGGTAGTCGCTGATAGAAGTACCCGTGCAGGTTTCCATACGATGACGATCAGACGGTCGAGGCCAAGGCCCTGCGTGACGGCTTGTTCAAGCTACTGTGGGAAGATGAAGACGGCCAATATGCCATCGGCTACGTCCGGGACTGGGTCATCGATGAGCTGTCCAGAACGCCGCAAGACATACGGGGCGACATGCGCCTAAACACATCCGACCGGACCGTCATGCTGTTCTATACACCAAAGACGGAAGAAGAGCGAACCCGTGCCGTCACCGCGCTGACTGGCTATTGGCGTGAGAAGGGCATCTTCAAGTCACTCAAGGGCTGGCGCAACGAGCTTTGGCCGGTGTATGATCGAAAGGGGGGGCTCATCTTCAGCGTGGAGAGGGCTGCCATGGGCCTCTTTGGCACTGCACGGTATGGCGTGCACATGGTTGCCTACGTCCAGCATCCAACCGCCCCCTACGGCATCAAAGTCTGGGTGCCAAAGCGAGCAGCCGACAAGTCAACCTTCCCCGGCATGCTGGACAACACCGTGGCTGGCGGTCTGATGACGGGCGAGGACCCCTTTGAGTGCATCATCCGAGAGGCAGACGAAGAGGCGAGCCTCCCCGATGCTCTGGTCCGCGGCAGTGCTGAATGGGTTGGTAATGTCACCTACATATACATCACCGAGGCGAAGCACGTTGGAGAGGATGGCTACATTTACCCCGAGTGCCAATGGGTCTATGATCTCGAGCTACCTGCCGACGTCGTGCCCCTTCCAAAAGATGGCGAGGTCGAAGAGTTTCGGCTGTGCGACGTGGACGAGATCAAGAGGGACTTGCGGGCCGGGAAATTCAAGCCCAATTGCGCACTGGTCATGATCAACTTCTTCATCCGCCAGGGCATCCTGACCGAGGCCAACGAGCCTGAATTGGCTGCCATCCAGGCAAGAATGCACCGAGAGCTTCCCTTTCCCGGCCCGCATCAGAAGGATTGGCCTGGCTCAGTGGCCAAGCAGGCGGCTAAAGCAACATAGGCTGACTGTTGATTGATATCCCTTGATTTTCTTCCCTTACTCCTGTCTTTTATATGGCATGAAGACGTATGGCGGCGATGATGATACATCTCTCCCTCTTCTTGACCTCTTATTAGATTCTCTCCCAATGAAACGCCGATTTTCAGGTTCCCTCTATTTGAGCTCGTAAATGAAATGTTTGATGTGATTAAATGTCCCCGTTCGCCCGATTTTTGTAGTTTGATGAAGAGGATACCGCTCTTTACCGCTTGACCAACAGATAGACATTGTCGACTCGTAGAGGGGTCAGCTTCTTAACCGGACCCTGCAGAGCCATGAGCAATCCGCCGAATGAGACGTAGGCGTTTCTACAGAAGAACAAAAAGAGTCAGCCAGCCTGTATTCTCAAATCTTACTCTTGGGAAGGGCTTGCACATACATTGTGTTGCCGTCAAACGTCTCCTCAAATTTGTAAATCTTGCCATAGCACACATAATCGTACAGGTCGGCGAGCGTGGCCGGCGCATCACCGGCCTTGCCGACGTCGCGCCAGCCCTTGTCGTCCTCCTTGGTGCCGTCGGGGGAGAGGGTGGTGGTGAGGACGACGTGGAGGGTGTCGGAGACGGAGCAGGGGAAGAGCTCGATGTTGATGTCGAGCGTCATGACGGTCTGGGAGTCGCTCGAGGTGCAGGATATGCGGGCGACGCGGTCGTACTTTGACTGGTCGTAGTCGGTCACGGTGAAGCTCTCCTCGAAGAGGGTGGCGTCGCCGCCTGCGCCGCCGGACATGTTGAGGGATTCGAGTTTGAGTATTTGGCTATTTAGGTGAATTGGTTATCTGGAGGTTTGGAGGGCGGGATTGGCGTCCGGTGATGGGTTGGAGGGATCCGGTTTGGTATGGCGTTTGGGAGGTTTGTCTGATGTTCGCCGTGGAAATTTATTCTAGCTGGAGGGGTGCTGATGGGCTGCGGCTGTGTCGGATATAGGGATAATATGCAAGATTTTGGGTGCTGGGCAATAGTGCTGAATCGGGGCAATTAAGGCTTGATAAGATAAGGATTTTGTGTGTATGGTTTTTGCAGGACGATGCCAAGATGCGTCATGGAGTGAAGGAAAAGCGCTGATCATGGGCTACCTTGTTTATGAAATTAAATATTCCTTGTTCATATACCTTTGATTCCATTTTTGAATGAGAATTCAGACTGGATACGAACCCTACTGGAGTGTATCCGACGTTGCGCCTTGAACAGCAACATAAAGACGACCCCTCAGGAGCCAGACTCCAACAAATATCCAGCAATGTCTTTTCGGAAGCGGAATACAGTGATTGGTGTCTCCGGTGCCGCACCAGAATTACAGCAGAAGAAAGTTTCAGTCCCGGGGACTCGGCCTTCGCCCCATGACGGACGACTCACCACCTCCACGGGAACGTCCTCCCTGGATCAGCTGCTCGCGGGCCATGCTGGACTGCCCGTGGGGACGAGCCTTCTCCTTGAGGAGTCTGGAACGACCGACTTTGGAGGGATCTTGCTGCGCTACTTTGCCGCTGAAGGGCTGATCCAGGGCCATTCTGTACATGTGCTGGGGTTTGGAGATCATTGGCGGCGTGAGCTTCCAGGGCTGGCTGCGGAGGGCCGGTCCAAGGAGAGCAGCAAGAGCTCCGGTTCGTCGGACAGCAAGATGAAGATTGCCTGGCGATATGAGACGCTGGGCAGTAGAGCGGCACCCTCACGAGGTAAGCATGCTCATGCATTCATCTACGGACCATGTACTGATAATGAGTGCAAAGGTCCCTCAATAACAGACTCATCCGAAGGGATGGCCCCTTTCTGTCACAGCTTTGATCTCTCAGCGAGGTTGGACGACAGCGTCGCCCAGGGGCAGTTTCACACCACACGGGGCACCGGCATGGAGTCAAGCCAGTCGATATTCCGGCGCTTTATCAGCGATGTCACCACCAAGATCAAGAGCTCGCCTCCCACCAGCATTCACAGGATCGTCATTCCCAGCTTACTCTCTCCAACGATTTATCCGCCTTCAGCTTCTCGCCCGCAAGAGGTGTTGCAATTCTTACACCAGATCCGAGCTTTGTTGCGGCAGGACCCCTCGAGGGTCGTTGCCATGATGACGCTGCCTACCTCTCTATATCCCCGGTCAACGGGGCTGATTCGACGGGCGGAGCTCATCTGTGATGGCGTGCTGGAGCTGATACCGCTTCAGCAGCAGCCTCAGCACCCCCCTGAGCGGAACTCGGCCAACGATACCAAGGCGCAGGGGCTCTTTAGGATACATTCGCTGCCCATCTTCCATGAAAAGGGAGGAGGATTGGAGGGAAGCTGGGTGAAGGAGGACATGTCGTTTAAGCTGAGCGCTTCGAGCGGGCTGGTCATCGCGCCGTATAGTCTGCCGCCTCTGCTGGATGAAGACGGGCCTTCGGGTGCGCCATCGAATGAGAATAAGCCAAAGCTGGACTTTTAGCTTGGTTACTTCTTTTCCCTCTTTTTTCCTCATTCAGTCAGTGTGTGTTGCATGAAAGCTCGGGGCTTCATGGCCTCTTACACCAGCCCTTTCAAGGTATGCATCTAGACGATATTCTCACGCCGTTCAACGACCGCAGTTTCAGCACCCGAACCGTGAGTGGGGCCTTATGTCTCTACCGAGGCTTCGAGCTTCCCCACCACAATAGCTCGATATTTTCATATAAGACTACCAAAAATCTTTCTTTCCTTTCCTACACCTCCCTCTCCATCTCTTCCTCTCCATGTCTTCTTACTCCCAATGCTGAAGAGGCTGAGGAAGAGACACACAAAGATGCAAGGTAAGCAATTCAATTGAGCGCTGCAAATTTCTGCTTTCCATATCAACAACAGTTCTTGGGGGTTTCTCTACATGATTATGCTATTGAAAATCTGTCAATCCACTGAACACTGATGACAAAATCAAATTTTACGAAGACGACTTATGACTTTCTACCCTCTTGAACACATGCAAATACTTCTGTTTCATTTCAACCTCTTGCAGACAATGGGACTAATGACCAAATCGCGTCTTGCAGGATCATAGCAGCCACACAATGGAACAACCCCCCCAGCTCATCCGCATCGCCAACATCTCGGGGCGGTACCTCGTCTTCGACCCGGATGCCGTGAGCGCGCTCCGCCGCAGGGCAAACACCAACGGCACGCTCGTGGGCACCACGCCGCAGCAGCCGACGCAGAACATCTTCCTGGGCCTGCCCATCGAGCTGCGGCCCGAGGAGGTGGACGCGCTGCTCGCCGCGGGCGTCGCGTACGTCGTAGATGACGTGGCCGCGCACCGGTCCGCGCTGCTGTCGCTGGGGCCCGACGAGCGGAGGGCGTACATTGGCTCGCTGCGGTCGCGGAAGCTGGCCGCGCACAAGGTCTTTGCCGAGATGACTGCCCAGAAGGCTTCCATAGCGGCTACCAAGGCCGAGAAGAAGAAGCTGCGTGATTCTTCCGGGAAGTCGGATGGCAGCAGCAGCAGCAGCAGCCTCTACTCTCGCAATAGCCAAGTGACTTCGTTGGGCGTCACGCCGACTTCCAGCGTCGACTATGTCTCCCCAGACGCTCACGCGTTGCCTGTGGTGCCCCGTGACTCGGAGAAAGGGTCGCTGTGCCAGTTCATGCTGGGCAACGGATACTACATGACCCCCGGCCTGCGGTTCGGGGCCCGCTACAGCGTCTACCCCGGTGATCCCCTGCGTTTCCATGCTCACTTCATGGCGAACGAGTATGGCTGGGAGGAAGAGATACCCATCCTTGACATCGTAGGCGGCGGCAGACTGGCGACAGCTGTAAAGAAGGCCTTTCTCATAGGCGGTCGTGAGCCGTCCTCCACCACCACCACCACAAGGCCAGATGCGGCCCTCCCTGCTGTGAGAAGTTTCAGCATAGAGTGGGCCGGCATGTAGGATCCAATTGAGAGTATATATGAACATGATGATAACCCTATCGTCATTCAAAGTACGAGAGTAGAAAGAGGCTACTATATATATATATATACCGACATCATCGTCAGTCTAAAGATGGGAGAAATTCAAGAGCAAAAGCAAGCTCCCAAGTCAGAGATGAAAATAATCAAAGCTGCCTTCCTGATCCCCAACTCCAAAATATGTGCGTCATGAAAAAAGTAAACTTGTGGAAAAAAGAAAGGTGAATCGCATGTAGAAGAAAAGTGAGAGAGAGAAGTGGGTTACAAAGACGACAGCGACTCTGCTTGCTATAAGCAGTCACGCAATCGAGCCCTTCGGTCATGTCGTGAAAAACACCGCTGATCTGGAGCATCTAAGGAACATAGATCCTGCTGAAGCTCATGACATCCCGACGGCAACAGACGCACTTGTCAAAGTTGTTCATAGCCAACGAGACGCGGCAGTCGTCGCACAAGCTCAGGCAGCGGCACGGCCACACGATGACGGTCCGAGGCGAGCACTGACAGACCACGCACGGAGGGCTCTCGCCCTCAGCAGGGGACGACGGGCTTTCGCTCCCGCCGGCAACTTGCTGGTCGTCATTGGTCGGAGTGGCCTGACGCTTCGTCCAGATCAGCTGCTCTAGAAGATGCTCTTCCTCCTCAGGGCTGAGCTTCGTCAGGCGGCCCTGAGGGCCAAGCTTGTTCAGCTGCTTTCCCTTGGGGCTCTGCACTGTCAGGATTCGGGTTCGCTGCAGCTGCTCCATCCGTCTGAAGCCGGATCGGGTCAGGATGCGATCGCTCTGGAGGTGGGCTGCCAGTCTTTCAGCGTCTTGCCGCTCTTCCAGACTGGTGGGGTGCAGGAGACGGGCAAGATCGCTCATGGCCAGTGGGCTATCAAGGAACGGAGTGCTCTCACGTCCCGGCTGCGGCGAGCGCTGGGTTGGTGTCCTCTGTCCGCTGCCCTCGTCTGATGAGTAGCCGTCGCCGGCTTCAGATTCCGTGTCGCCCCCGTTGGTGGTCGTGGTGATGACACTCGTGTTGTCCCAGTCGTCCTCGTCATGGCTTGGCTGATACGTGCCGCTCATGTCGTTGGAACCCCACCACCCCCCTTTGAGCCAGTACTTGTACAGGTCTCCGTCGAGGACTTCTTCGTCTTGGCTCGTATCGACTCGTCTGAATTCGGCCTCGATGTCGAGAGCGTCCATCTTAAGAGAGGCGTCTCCATCTGTAGGCTTTGCCGCTGCGTCCCTGCTGCCACCAGAGCGGCTCCTTTGCCCTGACGCCTCGCCATTTCCGGTCGCCTTGGTGCGGCTCGCCAGCCACAGCAGCCATGCAGGGCGAGCTTGAAGGCGAAGGACACCAAGGATCCACAAGACGGACAGGGCAAACACTCTTCCCAGCAGCTTGTTGATGGCAATGAGGAACTCCACAGCTAGAAGCCATCGCGAACTCCTTTCGGAAGCGCCAATGCCCACTCGGATGACTTTATCACCACGACCGCGAGGAACCTTTTGCGCAGCCCGCTCTCGGCTGTAGCCATTAGGGGGTAAGAGAGGTCCGTCCTTGACAGGTATGAGACCAACAGTGCCTATCTGATCATAGCGAGGGTCAGAAAGGCCCATGCTGATCCACTGCCTCCGCAGCTCCTCTGCCTCTCGGTAACGGGCTTCTTCAAGCCAGGTCTGGCGCTTCAGACTGACGCCGCGGTCTTCATTCAGATAGACGGCCTCGCTGGCCATGGTGATGGCCGCGAATCCCGTCCTCAGCAGGGCAGTGTAGAAATCCATTTCTCGCGTGATCCGAAGTTCTGATAAGGAAACATTGGCTTGCATGTTCTCATGCGCGTGGAGCAGGCGTTGGCGAAAGGTCATCCTCGAGTTCTCCTGGCTAGCAGGCGGCATCACAGCCGTGAGCAGCAAGGCGAGGCCGTACACGAACAGACACATGATGATGCCAATGAGGATCAAGACGTGGGGAATGAAGCCAATGATGCAAACCGTGGGGAATCTGAAGAATCCTTGAGTGGCAGGGTTCTCCGCCTCAAAGGTTACGAAACTCCATACAAGACTGCCCATGAAGCAAAGCCCCCAGAATGCCGTGTTGACAAGCCGATATTTGGCTTGGAGATCGAAGATACCCAAGACATGGCTCGTGATGTGTGTCATGGATGACAGAAAGGCGATCCACAGGACTTCGGGCGATGTGTTGACACGTCGGAGAATCGCCGCGCGCGTCATGACAACAGTGCCTCCTTGGCTGAGTGACGCCGGAATCGGGCTTTGGTACTTAGAAAAAGCGCCCCATCCAAGCTGGCTATTAACAGCAGCATCGGCCTCGGCAAAGGCAAGGGACTGTTCAAACAGAGTCATGCCTGTCTCGGCAGCCACGGGACGTCCCTGGACCGCGCAAGAGATGGTCTCAAGAAATTGGCTGAGGCAGTAAGTGCCAAACTGGGGCCACAGTCGAGAAAGGGAGCCACGAAGCTCTCGGGGAGCGTCGGGGTCTGGTGACGGCACCATCTGCGCAGCAACGCACGATTGCTCGTCCGTAGCGCCGAAGAGCAGCGTCGAGCTCATGGTGTTGAGAAAAGGGTTCGAGTGCGAAAACATGAGATCGGAGCTCTTGTTGGCGTCGCCCCAGCGCAGCAGCGCAAAATCGGGCGAGGTCTGGCATTGGATAGACTGCAGGAGGGTTCGGGCCTGCAAGACCAGCAGGACAACAGGGACGATGCGCAGCACGAGTCTAACCTGCCAACGCAGCCGCAGCCTCCGCCGCGTGGCCGCAAAGATGTGAGTGCGGTTGAGGATGACGGCCATGGCAAGGCACGAGAGCGCCCATTTGCTGGTGGCATAGCCGAAGACGCTGCCCAGACCCCGAACTCCGTCCAGAGACAGGAACGCCGTCTGGGGCGCTGAGCCGCCGCCCTGGGAGCCGGAGGGCGAGGCCACGTTCATGATGTTGCTGTAGAGGCTCGAGTCGGTGGCGAGAGGGCGGAGGATCTCGGCGTCGGGCTCGGTCGCAGAGGCAACGACGTCTTGGGCCGAGAGGGCGAGGGAGTTGGGTGCCGTCATGAGCGAGCCGAGCTTCATGACGATGCGCGGACCGGCCATGACGACGTCCTCGAACAGAGGCGCGTACCGCGTCACGTTGACAGCGCGGGCAAGGGCCGTCAGGTTATACCAGGCATTCGTCGTCGTCGGGTCGAAGCCGGCGGCTTGCTGTGTCGCTGCCAGAGGCGGCACTATTCCAAGGCCATCCTGCATGACCGAGGCCAGTCAGGCGATGGCCGCGCGCCTAGGGAAGCGATTCTGACGGGGCGATGCTCGGGAAGGAGGCTGTTGGTGGTTGGAGGATGAGTGAGCAGGATGACTGGAGCGGCGCAGCCGTTGAAGAGATGCGGCTGGTAAAGGTAGTTTGGGGAAGAATGCTTGCTGCTGGAAAGCCTCTGGCAGAGGCGTGTGAAGCTGCATAAATCAGGTTCAAGGGAAGGCTGAGTGAGTGCCCTGGCTTTGCATGGGTTGGGGTTATTTAGCACTGCACTGCAGTCGGGGTGTCTACAGGCTGGGGCACTCGTTGGTTGGTGGCTGCAGTACCTGAGCAGATAACTGTAGATTGGTGCCGATACCTCGGTGACGGGGAGATTCGGCCCCCGGACTAGCAGCGCTATAGGTATCGGGCCCTCTGTGGCGTCAGCACGGACGGTACTGGGAGGATTTATAGTGCAGTACTACCTATCCTAGTGGGAGACTCCATCCGTCTACAGGGTTCACCTTGGGTAAGGTATGATGGCATGACGGTTGACGCAGTGAATGTCGTTTGGTATGAATAAACCCAGTAAGAACCTACGCGTAAGCTCGTGTTGGATACTATAACAGCATTCAATAATTACCCAGCCCAGCACAAAGTAGCATGAAGAGTCGTTGTCATTAGCACCAGAACAATCACACACGATAGCTCTATCTACAGACGAAAAACAAGCTTCTCACGCTGCGGATAGAAACCCAAGGACTTGCAGCGACTAGCCCAGAGTTGGGATGGTGCAACGGACCTGCTAACATGTCAAGCCGTCAACCTCCAGTAGTAGTACCATGGACCACCACCAGCCTCCAAGTTCCCGCAACGACATCTCAACCCCACGGATTCTGATGCTCAACTCGTCTCCATTCCAATGCTTCCAGGTTCCTCCAAGTCACCCTCCAACAGTCACATGTCACTGCCACCAGCCCATCGTCAGGCCTGTGGCGACCACCGTTAGGCTCCTACTCGTACTGGTAGACACAGTAGCACGGCAACGTCAGACAACCCTCCTCACTGGACTGGAGCGTCGTATATGCATATGCTTGTACTCCGTATAACGATCTGATTGCCCTGAGCTGCCTGTGCGTCGTATCCAGCGCCCATGGACCAGCAGGACTCCGGGCCGGGCTCCAGCGGCAACCCGTCACAGGCACAGTCGCAGCCTCCGCCCTCAGACGCCAGCATCCCGGCCTCGGTGCTGCAGCAGAGCATCGAAGCGCCCAGCATCGCCTCGCCCACTGCCCGGGAGCCGGGGGAAGACAACGATGAGCCCGCCGTAGCGACGCCCTTCGCCCGCATGTCCAGCCCAGACTCGGCGGGAGCCGCCAACCCGGCGGCCGAGGACGACGACGGCGACGTGGAGAGCGGCCAGGACGACGGGCGGTCCTTCTACAAGATGCACAAGTTCACCCTCTACGAGACCGTCAGCCGCTACTACATGGTGGGCGTCGACGTCAGCGAGCGCCGGTACCGCATCCTCAAGATTGACCGGACCACGGAGGGCGCCGAGCTCAACATCACAGACGACAAGATCGTCTACAGCCTCAGGGAGGTGAACCAGCTGCTCGACACCATCGACGACGGCAACCGGGCGTCTGGCGGCATCAAGCTGCGCTGCACCACCTGGGGGCTGCTGGGCTTCATCAAGTTCACCGGCCCCTACTACATGCTGCTCATCACCAAGAAGAGCACCGTTGCCATGATCGGGGGTCACTACATCCATCAGCTCGAGGGCACGGAGCTGGTGCCGCTGACGCCGGGCCGCTCCAAGGTCGATGTTCGCAACAAGCCCGAGGAGCAGCGCTTTTTGACCATCCTCAACACGCTGGACCTGACCAAGTCGTTCTACTACAGCTACTCGTATGATATCACTCGGACACTCCAGCACAATATCACACGAGAGAGGACGTCCCTGGCGAATGGGACTATTCCCTGGCCGAACGAAGACCTCAACGAGATGTTTGTGTGGAATAGCTACCTGTTGCAGCCCGCCGTCAATGTCCTCCAAGACCCGTATGACTGGTGTCGGCCCATCATCCACGGATACATTGACCAAGCAGGTAACGTCTTTTCATGCTCACGAGTGCTCACTCTTCGTTGCCCATGAGCTGTTGCTGACTTGCATGATGAAGCACTCTCAATATATGGCCGCACAGCGCACATCACTGTCATCGCCAGGCGGTCACGGTATTTCGCAGGTGCTCGTTTCCTGAAACGAGGTGCAAATGACCTGGTAAGTCCATGTTGCAGCCACTTCTCCAATGCCTCCTTCATCTTCACCTTCTCATTCATTATCAGGGATACGTCGCCAACGATGTGGAAACGGAGCAAATCGTTGCCGAATCTCTCACGACGTCCTTCCATGCCCCCGGCCCCAGGCCGTACTGCAGTCCCCAGTACACCTCCTATGTACAGCACCGCGGAAGTATCCCCCTCTACTGGACCCAGGACAGCACCGGCGTGACTCCCAAGCCGCCTATCGAGCTTAATCTGGTTGATCCGTTCTACAGCGCCGCCGCTCTTCACTTCGACAACCTGTTTGAGCGCTACGGCGCTCCCATCTATGTCCTCAACCTCGTCAAATCGAAGGAAAGGCAGCCGAGGGAATCGAAGCTTCTAGCAGAGTACACTCACGCCATAGACTATCTGAACCAGTTCCTACCAGCCGACAAGAAAATCATCCACAAGGCTTGGGACATGAGCCGTGCATCCAAGATCCGCGGCGGCGATGTCATTGGCAATCTGGAAACGATTGCCGAGTCTGTCCTGAACACGACTGGCTTCTTCCGGAACGGCGATGGCATCACAAGCCCCATGTCAGCCCAGAACGGCGTTGCCCGTACGAACTGCATCGACTGCTTGGACCGCACCAATGCCGCGCAGTTCGTCATCGGCAAGCGCGCGTTGGGTCATCAGCTTCACGCCCTCGGCATTCTCGAGAGCACCTCTGTCGAGTATGATACCGACGCCGTCAACCTCTTCACGCACATGTGGCATGACCACGGAGATACCATTGCGGTCCAGTATGGCGGTTCGCAGCTCGTCAACACCATGGAGACGTATCGAAAGATCAACCAGTGGACCAGCCACTCCCGCGATATGATTGAGAGCTTCAAGCGATACTACAACAACTCCTTCCTGGACAGCCAGAGACAGGAGGCATACAACCTCTTCCTCGGCAACTACATCTTCACGCAGGGCCAGCCCATGCTCTGGGATCTGCCGACGGACTATTACCTTCACCACGCCAACCCCAAGGAGTGGACGGAAAAGGGAAGGCCGAATTACATCAACTGGTACACACCGGCGCACCTCGAGGAGAGGAAGATCCCTCCGTTTGTGGCGCCAAAGGCCCTCAAGCATTGTAAGAATACGGAATCCTTTGATGACTACTGGCTAGAGTACTATCGACCGGCGACTCTGTCGTCCTTCCCCAAGATGTTTGCGTACAAGATGAACTCCACTATCAAATACATACCTTTGAAGGCAACTCAGGATGGTAGATATGATCTCAGCCCTTTCCGAGTCCGAACCGACGGCGACGTCGATCCTGAAAAGAGAAAAGTGAAGAAGGAGCCGACATCGCCGACCGATTCGCTGGTCTCGACGCAGGCCTACCGGCAACAGGCAGCCTTTTCGGATACGGGAGATAACGCCTCGTCGATTTATTCCGATAAGACTGGGCGGGACGCGTCTCGGAACATCTGGCTGCGGCCGAGGCAGCGCGGATCGCACAACGGGGAGGCCTGGGGCATCTACAGCGGCCACGGGGCGATATCGCCTGCGAAAGCCTCTCTGTCGGCGGACACATTGAGGGAGAAGCCGTCGGATCTGGAAAAGTCCAAGGGAACGCAGTGGACGTTTACCAAGGCGGTGCATGACGCGCTGAATCCCTTCGTCAAAGACCACGAAGCGGACGACTATGAGCGGTACATTCGCCATCCGCAGAACCTCCCGCTCGTCGTGTCCAGCGATACCCCGGTGGACGTCGACTCATCCGAGTACAAGGACTATGTTGACGGCGCATGGCTGGATCAGGGCTTCATGGTGACGGGAGTCGACGAGGACGCAGACGTCTACTCGGAGCTGGTAAAGATAGGAGAGAACCCCTTGACTGTCACCGAAGAGGACGCGCCCAAGAAGAGGTACAAGGCCTATGGCAAGTGGCTGCGAGGCAAATCCTTCTTCAAGCAGCAGCCGCTGGACTGAACAAACTCTGCGGCCCTCGTCGCAGGTATAATGACGATGATGATCCGGGATAGATAGACTTGCTATTTGAGGGCGTTGGGAAGTAACTCTGCGAGTCGAGGCTCCTTCTGCAAGACAGCGGCTAGTTGGGCAGGGGGGCCAGAGCAGCCTTGTCGGCTCCAGAGAGATTGTAAGATTGCCGATGTACGAACAAGATGCGCCGAGATTTGGTCTCTGTCTTGCGTCGGTAGCTGCGAGGATTTGAGGTTGAGCCAGCATAGTGAAATTGTGTGAAGCACTTGATCGATGTAACCGGGAGAAGTAAATCTCGGCCAGCAGTTGATCAGGGTCGTATTCAGCGCTTCGGCAGTTGCACAGACGAGCGGCGGGTATTCCGTGACGAAGGGGTCTGATAGCGTAGTCGAGAACAAGCGGAGGAGGTTCTGCGCGAGGAATTCTTGGTTAGCACACTGAATGCAGTTGTGTGAGATGTATCAACGTGACGGTGCTTTTTTACCTGAAGGTGCTTTGCAGAGAAGAGGCCCAGGCAGGAGACTATATCCTTTATGACGTTCATGAGAACTTGAACAATGCGAACATGCTGTGAGGCGTGAAAGTGGCCCGTGAAGACGCCGTCTCGCAGGAGCTTGTCGAGGAACCGCCGCCTTCGTACGCTCTTTGGGTCTGGATCCAGCTGGGCTACACGAAGGAGGACCTGGTATGCAGGATACAAGAGCTGTAAGGATTCGCTCTCGGGTGTTGTGTCGGGCAGGAAAAGCAGTGTGGGGAAGACGGCGTCCTGAATGACATTGTCGACGCCGGCGGAGAGTATTGTTTTGGGAGGGCATTTGTCGAGGAAGAGGAGAAGAATACTGAGGCCTTTGAGCCTCACTGCTGTGTTGATGTCCTCAGCTAGGGAGAGGAGAATGGGGAGAAATAGAGGCCAGTGGCGGCCTGTTGCGGTTCGCTGGTATGAGTTAGCATGCTTGTTGTGTTGTTTTAAGATTCTGAATGTAGCTTACACTGCATGATGTGACGGCCCATTTGAAGCTTGATGCGGCATGGAGCTTTTCGTGCTCTTGGGAGAGGGAGTCGAGCTGTGTGCCGGGCTGTCTGCTGCTTCCAGGCTGGTGAGGGACTTGCAGAGGCCGGCCTGAGGGAGTTAACCTGGTGGAGGAGGATTTGGCGAACTGGGGACGGAGGGTGTCGTTGAGGAGGGACTGAATGATGAAGGTATCCCGTCTGTCGTCATCAGTGAGGCTTGCTTCCAGCAGGCGAATTGCGAGACGGGAGGATTGTGTGGTTGTCCAGGGGTCTTTATCGTCGGTGTATGTGACGACGTGGATCAGGGCTGCGTCGTCGATGGGGAGGGGGGGTGATGATGGGGTGGGGAGGAGAGAGATGAGGGTGAGGAGGGCGAGGCCGACCTCGGCTGCTAGGGAGCGAGTGGTGTAGTCGACGGCTAGATGGGGGTTTTGTTCTTAGCATTGAAGTTTCCGATCTGTTTATCATGTGGTGCTGTTTGTGTTTACCTGGTGCGTCGTTGTTCATGCCATCCTTGGAGAGGTTGAGTAGCTTTTCGGCCACGGGGACAATGAGGCTTCGGGCGTAGGAAAGCTGTTCAGCTGAAATTGAGGAAGAGGCCTGCGCAGGCTCGCTGGGCGGGTTCTCTTCATCTTTATTTGCACGGCTGGCCAACAGAGCGTCGAGATGGCGGAATAGCTCTATGCCGATATCACGAAGTGCCTGTGCAACGGGAAACAGCTCATTGTGAGAATGAGGAGGGTTGACCAGGTAGGGGAGGTTGGGAGACGGTTACCTCGGGAGCAACTGCATCACATAATCTGGACGAGGCATCTTGTAGATTGAAATCCTTGGCCTGTGCAGGTTCTGGAAAAGGGAATCTGTTAGCTGGGCAAAGCGGGAGGGTAAACGGATAGATGGACTGGAAGGGCATGAGCAGGCTAGACGTACGAGGTTGGATCGCATGCAGCCTTTCGCGATTCGCATCGCCGAGAAGAGTTTCGTGCATGCTGAATGAAGCTGATGGATGGTTGAGCCAAAGCAGAGTAATGAAAAGTCACCGATGAATCCGTACGTTGGATCTGAAATGGTGGCTTGGGTGACGATGCAGTTGAATGAAGTTGAGTGTTAGTGTGAGGTGCCTTAACGCAAGTGAATCTTGGAAAGGGTCCATTAGAGGCGCCCTGCTTAAAGCCTACGGGAACTCGCCCATAAGCCCACCTGCACCAAAGTGCGTCTTCTGCATCTCATTCAAGGTACGCAAAGCAAAGGAAGCGATCATCTTCTCACTAATGGATCTCAAGGTGAACAAGGAACGAATGTGTCAGGTCAATAATATATATTTCTTTTCTCTTCTATTTTCTTCTTGCTGAGATTGTCTCTTCAACCGCTGTTCGGATGCCCTGGAAACGCAATTCATGGCAACGAGACACAGGCTCCAACCTTCACGTCCCCTACAGATTTACGAGGAATATCTACGACTTACCCTTCAATCTTCGACGAGCGGACAAGCTGCGCGACACATCCCACCAAAAAGGCCTATGAAAACTTTGCCAGGTGTTAGCATTGCTTTCAAGCTTCCAGCAATGTACACCAAAAAGGCGTCGACGAGAGCACATCAGAAAGCCGGTTTACTCATTCGTCCAGCCGGCCTCACCTGCAAAGAACCCAAAACGAGCTCCCCACAGGCAAAACAACGAGAGCCGCATGACATCAGAAGAAAACTCCATCGCCAGGTAGTATGCGTGAACAAGTACCAGGAAACGAAGGGCGGCTTGGCTTAGACGAGATCGTTGAATGGATAGACTTGTTTTCATCACTTGACGCCTCGAGCCAGGTTTGGCAAGCAGAAATCTCTTCACATACCAGTCTAGGAACGATTTGTGCGCGGCGCAGCTTGTAAACTAGAGGAACTGAAAGTAACTACACAGTAGAGCAGAAGAGTCAGCAACTGGACACAACGTGCTATTGTGCAAACATTGACAGTGAAGATGGGTGACGATATCAGAGATCTTGGTTTGGTAATTTAGGAGTCATCAAGGATGATCAGAAGCAGAACTGAAAAAAAGGTTTTTCATCATCGACAGTGAAGGGGTGTAGAGAATTGAAATAGAAAGACAATCAAGCTTACCATATTAGATTAGTAGAGTACAGATCATCTCCATGTATGTTTCCAGCAGCAATGGCAGCAGCAGGTAGGGCACCCTAAAGCAATACAGCGTTAGTTGACCAGTTGCAACACGCGTATAGCATGAATGGTGGGAAAAGGGCTTGTTCAGATGGTGATGCATGTTGTAGTTCTTCGCTCAGGGTTCGCGGGAACAGAAGTGTGTAAAATCATCATAAAGATGGTTGGTGGATGGTGGAAGAGCGACGAACCATGAGGCATGCGCGGGATTGTCGTACCTTGCAAACTGCAGCTGCGGTCAAATCCAGCGTGCAAGTGGCATCTGACCGCAGCATCCTCCGGCATTGGGAGGCTTCAGCCACAGCCACTGCTTGTGTTGAAGCTGAAGCTGAGCTTGCCGGGTGAAGAAGAAAAGCAACGATGCGAAGAAAATTTTCGGCGCGCAAAAGGAATTTGTAGTGGAGGGGGACAGCTGCCGTATCGATATGCGAGTATGCGATTCTCGCGCCCGCTTATGCGAATAGCGTGAGCCCGGGACTCGGGACGCTGTGCTGCGAGAGCGGTACGTAGCCGAGCTATGCCTCTTCTGGCAATCCCAGCGCTTCAAGGATTCCCTCTCGAAGCCTCACTCGAAAAAGTTCTCCAAGCTGGCGAGCACATGCAGCCGCCATAACACATAAATCATGGCAGACCGGAGAAGAATAAACGGACCGGGAGGCTCTACTTTGCCGCCCGTGTACGATGATGCCGAATCAGACGCCGTTTCCCTCCGCCAACGAGCACCTGATGCCATCCGGCCACTCTGTGAGAATCTCATCTTATCGTGTTAGAATCGTCACAAGGACTGACTCTTTCTTCACTAGATCTCAAGACCGGAGTGACTCCGTCAGCGTCTGGTTCGGCGTATCTGGAGATTGAGCCGAGAGAAGGAAAGCATGGCTCTGGCATGAAGCTGGCCTGCACCGTCCACGGCCCCAGGTCTCTCCCACGCTCTGCACCCTTCTCTCCTTACATGGTCCTCTCGACGCACGTCAAGTTTGCCCCTTTCGCTACCAAGCAGCGCAGGGGCTATCTTCGCGACTCCAGCGAGAAGGACCTCAGCACACTGCTCGAGACGGCCCTCCGCGGCACCGTGATTGCGGACCGCTGGCCCAAGAGCGGCGTCGACGTGGTGGTGACCATCATCGAGGGCGAGTCGACCCGCCAGGACGCAGTGGAGCGGCGCGTCGAAGAATGGGACGCGATGAACGTGCTGGGAGGATGCATCACCGTCGCCTCCGCAGCCATTGCGGACGCGGGCATTGATTGCGTCGACACCGTCTCGGGAGGAGTCGCCGCCCTGGTGGCGGACAAGGATGGCGGCGAACTGTCCATGGTGCTCGATCCCGTGGCTTTGGAGCATGAGTCTGTGCTGGCTGCCTGCTGCGTGGCATATTTGCCCAACAGAGACGAAGTCACGAATCTCTGGTTCAGGGGCCAGCTGCCCTCGACGGGAACGCACAATTACCAGACACTTGTGGCGAGGGCGGTGCAGGCGAGTAAAGGAGTACATGGGCTGATTTCGGCGTCTCTCAGCGAGGTTATTGAGAATTCTCAGGGCTAAGAAAAAGTACACATATTGAATAATAATGACGATGAATAATGACAAATCTAAAGACCAATGTGTGTGCCCCAAGAGGCACCCTGGATCATGTTGCTGGGGAATTTTCACAGCAATATTTTGTTTATCCATTACCATCTACCTATCCAGAGCTCGCACAGCAGTTCCACGTGAACAAAAGGCATATTCGAACCACCTCCGACGCTCTGTTGTCAAATGCCGGCGGTCATGCGAGCCAGCCGGGCGGTTATGCAGCGATTCGCCCCTTACTGAGTCGTCTCTGCTCGCTTCCCAGTAAATCTCTCCGCAGGCCATCCCTGCATCGTCCAGTTCTCTTCCACCACATCGCCACCCATAATGAGCGTGTGCTCCAGGAGACAGCTGTCGTTCTTCATCGTAGCACCGCTCAGCAGTCTGCTCCCTGACCGCATCACACATCTATCCCCAATGCTCAGCCTGTTCAGATCAAACTTGCCTCGAGTGTTAATATGAGCCACGACACTGGCATCGTCAATGGTCACTCGGTCTCCAAGCGTAATCAAGTCGGGCTCCGTGAACATCAAACTAGGACTGCCATTGGCGAAAAGAGCGCAGTCTTTACCAATGTCCGCTCCAAGCGCTCGGAAGTAGAGCACAATCCAATGCGTCCCCGTGAGAAGCCCCAGGACTCCTTGGCTATGGAAGCAACGGCGTCGAAGCCGCTCGATGCTCAGGAACAGCTGCCACCGCTGGCAATAGGAGGACTTGTCCCAGTCGTAGTTACCAGGCATGCGGCGGCCCAGCAGAATCCACTTGCTCGCAACGACAATGAGAAGCGCCACGGCGGCCATGATCGTGAAGAGTGCTGCAATGCCGGCCCAAGACATTAGGAAAAGAACCATGACGTTGAACGCGAACCCTGAATCCCGGGGGATGAACCGATTCATGAGCAAGTCAACCAGCTGTACACAGGCAACTATAGGCACATTCCAGTAAAAGGAGGTGAAGACAGTGATGAACGAAGAGTAGCAGAAGATGGTGAAAGGGCCTAGGACGCGGTAAGGCGCAAGCTTCAGATAAAACGCACGTCCAAATGGGGACATGTGGTCCGCCTCAACCTTTTCTGATCCGTTGTCATCTGTATCGCTTTCAGAAGACGTGAACAGCTCTCTGGTACTGGCGCGCATATTGCCTGGCTTCTTCTCTGAAGATTGTAATTCTGCCAGCGTATCTTCGCTACCTGAGCGTTGAATCTGCGTTCGTACGGAGCCCTTCTTCAGATCCGCCTTAGAGCTCATGAGAGTATCATCGCTGCTCATGTGCCGCATGCGGTGTCGAGCAAGCTTCTTCTCATCTTGGGCTGTGCTATCGCCGCCGGACAGGTGGACACAATCACGACCCTTGGAGCCGACATAGGTGCCGCCAGGCACGTAAGAGCTTCCTCGGCGTGTCAAGGCGCCAGAACCCATAGTTGTTTGCTCGCCGACAGTGACTCCAGGAAGCAGGCATACACGATCTGCGATCATGGCACGGTCTTGAATAGTAATCTTCTCAGATCCAGTGCCATCCGAGGTGACGAGGTGGGCTCGGGAGCCAAAGACAACATCGTTGCCAATGTCCAAGAGATGATAGTCACCAATGCTTGGACCCGTGCCCGGCCAATAGACTCGCTTGCCAATCCGACCCCCGAGAAGCCGCACGGCTATAGAGGTTGCTTCATAATGCTGCCCAAACATCGAGGTCACATCGTGCAGGCGTGAAACCGGTAGCAGCGTCTTCATTAGATCCGCTCGCCAGGTGACGATGGCGCCTCGGTCTCTTGCAGAGGCAAAGGTCATCTTTCCCAGTATGGCATCCAGCAGCAACTTCACGAGCACGGCAAACGCAAAGAACATAAAGGGGCCGACAAGACAACGCAATATGAGAGCAAGAGAGTGGAATGCCACTCTTCTAGTCTCTGAGAACCAGTCCAGAATGTCCCTCAGTGATGAAGCTTCTGGTGAAGGCATATCCTGTACCATGCCGACGAGGCCAGCCATCCAGGGCAGCATCGATAGAATCCATGAGAGGAATACCAGTGGGACAGTGAACAAGCAGGTGAGCAGCAGATGCGGTTTCGGTGCTGCGCTAGGAGAAAGATCTCGGTTCTCCTCGTCGGCATCCTCAAGCTCCCAGCTGGATGAGTTTGGCCCTATGCAGGTATTGGGAGGAACCACGGATCCGGGTGCTATTACGGAAGATATACCGATGGAGGAGTTCTCTCCAATAACAATCCGGCCCAGATACATGGACGTGTTGCCTTCCGCAGCGAAGGGACGACAGAGACAGCGCGTCAGAGTTGCGCCGTCTCGGATGTCGAGGAGATCCCATTCTCCAAGCGATGTCCCAGCGATCTTGACGTCTCTACCAATCTTGGCTCCCATCAGGCGCAAGTACAGCCGCTTCGTGAAGTCATTTGTGTTGAATAATCCTTTCCCGCAAATGCTCACAATCTTCTGGACCATCCACCAGCGTGTGTGGTATGCTCCCCACATGGGATAGAGTCCCTCACGGTAACGGCCAATGATCAGCCACTTGGCCATGATGCCGAAAATCGGGCAAACGATTCTGATTATGAATTTAGAAAACATGACTGACACCGCCACGTTAAGAAGCCGACCTGCGGTGTGATGATTTGTTGGCCATCTCTGCACGTAACTCATGACGAGGATAAAGGCAGTCCATTGGACGGCACGGCGCAGTGGGTATATAATGGCGAGAGGGATGAGTTGAACCAGCATAAGCAAAGGATTCGTGGAGCTGTAGGTCTTTGAACAGCCGACCTTTTCCTCGTGAGCTGAATGTACAGGTGTAAAGTCTGCCGTTTTCTCGATGAAGATGGCAATGGCGGAAACAGTCCCTTGGTTGAATACGAGACTGATGGGGATTTGAGTATTGAAAGTTGATCGTAAGCCGGATACGAGGCGCCCTGCCTTCAGAGAGTCCCCCCCAAGGGCAAAGAAGTCGACGTCGAGCGCGATGTCCCCTGGAGGCTGGCAGAGAATCTCCCCAAAAACTTTCCTGACTCTTCCCTCGATGGATGCCTCAAGTTCTTGTAAAGAGGCGCCGCCCATGGCTGCAAGGAGTGCATCCAATGCATCATTATCGACAGCGCCACAACGATCTAGGGGGAGGGGATCGGGAAGCAGGTGTATATGTTCAGGAACCATGTATCCGTGGATCCGTTTGGACAGCTCTGTCTTCAATTGATCGAGCTGGTGTTTCGGTGCCCCTGTGCTGCCCTCGGCTGGGGCAATGAAAGCTTCCACGGTACCCCTGAGATGATGTTGTCTGCAATAGTGCCTGAAGCTGCTGAGTGGAAACACCTCATCCAAGCAGACTGATATTTTGCTGTAGTCAAGCGTGCAGGGCGATGACTTGATAGGGACTGAGAGATCGGTGTCTGGCAGGGGGCAAATAGCCTGCCAATGCCTGCTCAAGTACGGCGTGTTGTCCGTCAGTTCCGGAATGCCGCACCGTTGGCCCAATTTGATTCTCAACACTTTGTTGTTCTTCTTCGGCAGATCATCCATGTAGGTGATGAGAACTGGCCACTTGACCTGCTGGAGCGATGACCGCAACGAAGCTTGCAATGTCTTCAGATCGACCCGAGGAGCATTCGCTGGTGTGACTAGCACTACCGCGACCACCTCCTGAAGTACATCATGGGGTACGGAAAAGGCAAGAGCCTGGGTGACACGCCCATGCAGGGGCGACTCTGGCGACATGGAGGAGCGCATAATCGCATTCTCGACTTCAAACGGCGAGATGAGTTCGCCACCTCGGTTTATCACTTCCTTGCTCCGTCCAGTGATGTAAAGATAGCCATCTTCGTCCATGTAGCCAAGGTCGCCAGTGTCAAACCAGCCGTTTGAATTGAATGGTGATCTGTCCAGGGTTCCGTCTGGCTTGAGATATCCGGGGAACACGGGCTCACCGCGGACGCATATCCTACCCACGTCGCCAATTGCGACTGGTGAGTCTGACCAGTCTAGAATGGAGATTCCCGGCCCCGTACTGACACCCGAAGTGCCCTCTCTGTCAAGCTGATAATCCAAGGGGGGCGTCGATATCGGCATACATCTGGGTACACATGTCAGTATATCGTCCTGTACCAGCAGCAATCAGCTCCGTATCTCCTTACTCGGTCATTCCATAGCTTGGAAGAACAGTGCAATTGAAGGTGTCTCGAAGTCGGCACGCCAGCGACGGCAAGAGACCTCCAGCAGCATTGCATGCCAATCTGATGCGGCTCTGCTGCAGAGCGGCCTGGCGTTCGGAGGCCGCAGCCAAAATGACTGAATGCATGGACGGAGATGCGTAGTACCAGGTTACCGGCACCTCCTGAACAACATCCCAGAACAGACTGGGATCGAACGCTGGACAGCAGACAGTCGAGCCGCCCGAGAAGATGGGAGCAAAGATATTTCTGACCAAACCACCACTGTCACAATCATCAGCTAAGGATACTCCATACAGAGCCTTGTCTTTGTGAACTCACACATGGTATAAAGGCATCATGTTGAGGCATACGTCTGATGCGGACAGCCCCCACGAGTCCACTACAAAGCTGATACCGGCGATGATGGAATGTATCGTCAGGGGCACGACTTTCTTGGTGCCAGAAGTGCCGCTTGTGAAAAGTATCAGTCCGAAGTCATCTGGCCCGTTATACTTAGGTTTCTGTCTTTGGACTGGGAGAACAGAGCCCCCAAGGTCGCGGATATCGATCCCGTCACTGTTGTCCCATCTCATCACAAAGACCTCGATCCCTGCTGCGGCAACCCACGGGTCTCTCAGGCCGAGCCTCTCGCAGTCCTCACTCGTAGTCAGTATGAACTGAGCACCAGCTTGCTGAATGTCTGCGCGGAATTGCTCAGCACCGGCAGTGGGGTTGATTGGCGCAGACGTATAATAGGTGGTGACAGCGATGCAAGTGGCCGCCAGCAAGGGGCCATTAGGCAGAGCTATTGCGACAATCGGCTTGCGGGCCATACTGCTCGTTGGAAGGTGAAAAGTATCAACAAACCTCCGTAGCCCATTATGGGTGATGAAGTCCCCTGGTGTTGAAGATCGCAAAGCCGGTTGCGAATCGGAGACGAGGAAAGAGGCAAAAGATTGGTACGACTTCTTGACCAGTTCCAAGGTATCACGAACCAGATGTGCTAGGCTCTCGTCCCGACGAGACTTTGCGTCTTCTGGCATCAAATGATATAGCCTTGTGTAGCATCTGATAAGAGGAAATGTCGGCCATGAACCCGGTAGCTCGCTCAGCAATAGACGTAGTAAAGCGAGTGGGCGATGAGAGGGATTTGGCGTGTTGGGTATTGACTCCAGGATTCGTTCTTTATCAGCATCTGAATGTAAGAGACGTTGGAACTCTCCACGTGTGCTGATGTCGGATAGTGGCAGAGAATAGAAGCTTTCAAACAAGGCTGCAAGTTCCAGGGAAGGTTGTAGAGAATCCATCTCGAAACAAGGACACTGCCTGACGAGAATAATTGTATGTACACTCCACACACAATTGCCTGTTGAGCAATTGGCTAGATCTTCACCGTGACGTCTGATCAGAAACTCTGCTGCCCGTAGAGAGACATATCAGGGAGACTCTCGAAGCAGCGGGAGCTAGAGTATCATATACATGGAGAATATTGACCTTCGACTGATTAGAATCGAGATGCCGCCGAACAAGCCAGACGATCAATGGAAGATCCCAAGGAATACACATGCCAGTTGCAACAGGGTCTTCCCCCCGGTCCTCTTGTAGCCACACGTAACATCACTGAGATGGCATGTAAGACACCACGCCCAAGGCTGCACATCTGAGGGCCGATTCCTGGTGACGAGGATTCAGAATCGATGAGGACATCATCGGTTATGGTACACGCCTATCCCGGGGCTCATCCCATTCGACGGTGCTCGTCAAGGGAATAATCTTTTTGAATCCGAACGACGATGCATGATAAATCGACGAGGATCATTGGCTACCGTTGGGATATCACGACGAGAGCCGGCGACCGAGATAGATGGCAGCAATCCGCTATAACCGGGTGCCTGTTTAGGAAGGAGCCCTATTTTCGTTGCCATACGGAAGAACGGGATGCTCGATACCACGCTGAGGGCCTTAGATCTAGGAGCCGATCTCTCAACGTACTGGTGGTAGAAGTGCCGATCCCGAAGGCTGAGATCCGTGGTTTCGTGATGGTCTTTGTCAAATAAGCCATACACCACTCCAAACACAAAATACTGAGTCGTATTAAGGAGTGAGAATGTTTGAGATAAGACATGTCTGGGACCGGGGGGATGGCGCGCATGGCCATAACAATCTGCTGGAGATGAGAGCATCCGCAGCGCAGGGCCGCCATTGTCGTCGATCATGAGCCCATCAGATAAGCGCACTCATTCGCAACTTCCGTTGATCGTGAAATTCATTGGAGCTCATAGTTGATGAGTCGCCATACAGGAGACCCAAGCGATCCACTGTGCCTTGGAGGCAGCAGAGCATGCATCTGCAGTCTACCACCTAGAACTAGCCAGATGATAGAGCCGACGAGAATGCTCGCGACTCACTTACATGGCAGAGCCAAGCGAACAACGAAACCGGTCCAAGCAATCGGAACGGAGACCCGCACGCGCCGGAGTATCTGGCGAGATAGCTTGATGACGAGGAATGCGCGACAAGTGAAACGCTCCGGTACAGCAGCTTTTAAATTGGCTTCGAAGAATCTCATGAATCGCCAAGTGAAGAGCCAAGAGTTAATGTCTCTCTCTCTGACAGCTCTCTTCCTCAGTCTTCCGACGATCCATGCCAGTTGGAAAAGAGGGAAGAGAGAACAAGGGCGACTCAGGGCCTTGCCGCTTTGAGCTGAGATTGGGCCATGGTCAGATATTCAGCCAGTATATGACAACATCCACAACAGGGAGGGAGACATGCGCTCTCCCTTCATATCTTGGATGCCTTTATCAGTATTAGCATCTGGTCAAGTGTCAGGACGAGGAAGTTTGTGGATGCCATCATCCTCACAAAAAGATGATCTCTCATATTTCCTTTGGCCGCTGTCCTCTTCGGGCTGGCTAGGTTCCATATATCCCTGAAGTCAAACGGATTCGCATGCTTGCTCCAGGTTAGTGAAGGTGAGCTGGAGTTTGTAGATTGGCGGGTTGGGCTCTGGCGCCTTAGAATGTATGGAAGATGAGCTCCGAGCGCCTTGGTGAACTGGAATTCCCATAACGGAGTACTCTGTAATAACAGGTAGGACCCATCTGGTAGTGCTGTATCGAAGAGCTACACCCATAAACACTTAGATACCCATCTTCTTATACGAATATACTCGGTTGACATACATAATGGTCAAAGTGTCGTAGACACAAAAGAGCTGCTAATGATCAAATAGAAACCATAACTTGATTCCTCACATTCTAATCTCGACTTCCTCAATTGAAGTCGAAAGTTGTACAGTAGAGCTCTCAATAGGTCTTATAGCAGATATATGCATAATCCTCTATTTTTTTATGTAGATAGTTTGATCCCCGTCTAGTCTCAAAGCGGTAGCACTCAGCACTCAGCACTGCCTAGGCTGGTTTACGGAAGCGCAACGCTTAGCTTCACCTCTTGCGCGCGCTCCCCCCATGTAAGTTTTGCCTGCTCAACGCAAAATCAACGACTCCCCATATTGATGGACTCTTCGTCTACACTAGGCTAGGAGGATGGCGTCCGAAATGCCCATATCAACGTACGTGTCATTGCACCGCGACACGCGCGTCACACATTTGCGGCAGGCTGACATTCTCGTAGTGTCTACGTCCACAACCTCGAGGAGCGAGTGAAGCCTGAAGTTCTCACGGAGGCGCTCAAGACCATCTTTTCCGAGTTTGGAAATGTGGTCGATATCGTGGCCAAGCGAAACCTCAAGGCCAAGGGGCAGGCATTCGTCGTCTTTGACCAGCCCAGCGCCGCCCACAATGCCGTCGAGGAGGTGGAAGGCTTCGAGCTCTTCGGCAAGCCCATGAGGGTTGCCATGGCCCGCATGCAGAGCGATAAAACCGTCGAGATGCACGGCAGCAGCGAAGACCTAGAAGCTCACAAACGGCACAGGCAAGCGGAGAAGGGTAAGCCAAGATTCAATGGGCTCGAGTGGCGCTCTCATGCTTACATTTCTGCAGATAAACGCAAGGCGCTCGAGGCAGCAGACGAACAGAGGCAGCTCAAGAGGGCCGCTGCTGGCGCACCCGAAGCCCGACCATCGAAATCCGTCAAGCCTTCAGGCTTGAAATCCACGAGTGCTCCCGCTTCGGCCGTTGTGCCAGACGAATACTTGCCGCCGAACAAGATCCTCTTCGTCCAGAACGTACCCGACGAGTACGATGTCGAGGGTCTGACCGCCATCTTTGGCCGGTTCGATGGGTTCCGGGAAATCAGACTGGTCCCAGGTCGCCGCGGTATTGCGTTTGTTGAATATGAAAATGAGCAGGGTGCTATCACAGCCAAGGAAAACACTGCTGGCATGACGCTGGGAGACAAACCGATCAAGGTTACTTACCAGCGCCAATAACTACTATACCTACATTAATTCACGGGCGTTTGTATTATAGTTGTAAATGATTTCTGTCGGCATGTCCTCTAGAAGTACAGAAAAAAAAACGGAAAGGACCATCATTAATAAGAAAAGCAGAAGCAAAGCAAAGCAAAAAGCTGTCGTGATCTTGAACTGGGTAGCCCGTCAATACCCTAGAAAATCACGTCGTCATCCTCCTCCCCGGCCAAGATATCTGCGGAGCCTGAATCCTGCGCCTCAGCACCTGTGTCGTTCTTTTCCGCTGCTTCTCTCTTCGCTTTCATCTCGGCATCGGCGATAGCATTGTCTCGTTGCTTCTTGTTGGCGACCTGCGATGGACACGGAGAGTATCAGTACTGGTTTCTTGAGCAAGAGATTCTGACGCCGATTCACTGACCTTCTTCAAGCGGTAGAATTCTTCACGGTCCAACTCGTCCAGCTCGGAGTTGATGTATTTGATTGTGTTTTCCGTTCGAGGGATAATGACGTGCTCGATTGCGTTCACTAGATACATTTAGTCGATCTGGAGTAGGAGAAACCGGATTGAAAAGCGAACCTCTGCGATTGACCACCTTGATGACCTCGTCTAATATCACGAATGCAGTTTGTAAACTTGCCAGCTCCACGAGAGCTTCCACGGCTCGTGCATATGTTTCTCTGCATCGCTGAACTTGCTGTCCACCTTTTCCCAGGCCGGTAAGTCCAAAGTCATTGTTGCCCTCTGTCAGGTAGCTCTCGAATGATGGCAGGAGAACACCCGAAACGTTGTCCTGCTTGGTGCGTATCCGAAATCGAGCTGCCTTGGCCGATTCTTGGACCTGATATCCAATGTCACCGCCAACTGCATAGGTCACTTCGGCCAGCGAGAATGCGGCGATTTGCATCACACGTCCCATCTTCCGCTTCGCCTCGTCGATTCGTCGAGTGATCTCTGCGCTGACGTTAGTTCGTCCAGTAGAGACGGCGGCCGGAATGGTGATGGCTGACCTCGGAATCGTCTGTGGTAGCTCTAGTCAGCTGCTGCCGTACTCAAATCGGCCAAACTGCCTCCATTGTCTTACTTCGTAAGCGCCTCGCTCTTCCTCTTTAACAGACTGTGGCCAGTCTCAGCTCCCTTGAGCTTGGCCTTCATGATACCGAGCGATTGCCGAGTCGGGAAGACGGCCTCGCGATCCTAACGAGCAGTTGAATATCGAGTTGATTGCTGCAGGGCTGGGAAGCGATATAAGGCAGGACTTACTGCGGCGCCAGACATGATTGCGAGGTTGACTTGATGCTCTGTATGCTGTCGGTGCGAAGATTGTCTGGATGGATGTCACTCGTCAAGTTGCATGGAGTTGCGTACCTCGTCCTAAGCTTCGGACCTCAATACAGCTGCCGATGACTAAGGCAAGGTAATGATGGCTCGGGTAGAGCATGCTCCCCCACCAGGCCGATATCACTATAAGCGGGTGCCTTCCGCCTGCCACTTCGGTAACGCTAAGCACCTGGTCCTTTCATATCGTGACAAAGTGCCTAGAATTATTTCCCAGTCGCGAGCCTCATTTGCCAGCGTCGCCTACTGCAAGCTGGGAGGAAACTGGTACCGACTCTAGCACGACTTCCAGAACACACCGTCATGGGGCTCACTGTATAATCGCGACAAACACCACTACCGCAACATCCTCTCCAGCCTCTCGCCAGAGAGGAGGAAGCTACCATGGCGGCTACAGAAGTGGACAAGCAGCAAGCGCAGCCGGATCTATATCTCGTGGTGAGTTTGGAGAGCTAATTGCGCCGCTTGGGGTAGTTTCTAATTCTTTTTGCAGTCGAACGAAGATTCCGTTTACGAGCAAGACATCCTCCGCGACGCTACACGTGTTAAGCCATGGCTCGAATATATCGAATTCAAGACTCGCCATGGAAGCGTCATAGAACGGGCTTTTGTGATGGAGCGCGCTTGTATGACGCTGCCGCGATCATACAAGCTCTGGAAACTTGTTTGTCAATCCACGAATATGCCGTGGCCTTCTTGCTAACTGATTGGCAGTACCTTACGTTTCGCGTAAAACATATCTCGAAACTGAACCCAGCCACGCATGCCGCCGAATTTAGAAAAGTCAACGCTCTGTTCGAGAAGTCACTGATTCTTCTACACAAGATGCCGGTCATATGGGAAATGTACCTCAAATTTCTCATGAAGCAGCCCCTGGTCACACTTACTCGGCGAACGTTTGACCGAGCCCTCCGAGCTCTACCGATCACCCAGCACAACCGCATATGGTCATTATATCTTCCCTTTGCCAACGCAGCTTCCGGAGAAACTGCTGTCAAGATATGGCGACGCTACATGCAAGTTCATCCGGAAGATGCCGAGGATCTCATCGAGCTTCTGATCCTCAGGGGCGCCTACACTGAAGCAGCAAAACGATACATAGACATCCTGAACGATACGCGGTTCACCAGCAAACACGGAAAAGGTCACTATGAGCTCTGGAGCGAGATGGTCGAAATGTTGGTGGAGCATGCGCCTGATATCGATACAAGCTACGAGAACGGAGTCGACGTTGAGGCCATCATCAGATCTGGCATAATTCGGTTTAGTGACCAGAGGGGAAAGCTCTGGGTCGGCCTCGCCACATACTGGATTAGGAGGGGAAGCTTCGAGCGAGCGCGCGATGTCTTTGAAGAGGGTATCACGACCGTCATGACGGTCCGGGACTTTACTCTCATCTTCGATGCTTATGTCGAATTCGAGGAGTCCATCATTGGGGCCTTGATGGATGCTTCCACGTCTCGTGCAGAAAAGGGTGTTGATAACGAGGAGGCAGACCTGGAGCTCGACATACGGATGATGCGGTTCGAGAATCTTATGGACCGGCGTCCATTTTTGCTCAACGATGTCCTGCTTCGACAGAACCCTAACAATGTGCCAGAGTGGGAGAAGCGCGTTGCTCTCTGGGGCGATAAGAAAGCCGAAGTTGTCCAGACGTACACCGACGCGATTGCGACGATCAACCCGAAGAGGGCTGTTGGTCCATTTCACCAGTTGTGGGCTAACTATGCCAAGTTCTACGAACGGGGCGGTGATCTCAGAAACGCTCGCATCATCATGGAAAAGGCCGTCAAAGTCCCGTTCAAATCGGTGGCAGAGCTCGCCGATATGTGGATCGAATGGGCTGAGATGGAACTTCGAAACGAGAATTTCGACGATGCGGTTCGAGTCATGGCCAAGGCTATTCAAGCGCCCAAGAGATCCAACGTCGACTACTTTGACGAAACCCTCTCTCCCCAACAGCGAGTGCACAAGAGCTGGAAGCTGTGGAGTTTTTACGTGGACCTTGTGGAAAGCGTTTCAACGCTGGATGAGGTGAAGAAGGTGTATGAGCGCATCTTCGAGCTCAGAATTGCGACTCCCCAAACAGTTGTGAATTACGCCAACCTCCTGGAAGAGCACAAGTACTACGAAGAATCCTTCAAGGTCTTTGAGCGCGGCCTAGACCTGTTCAGCTATCCCGTGGCCTTCGAGCTGTGGAATTTGTACCTTACCAAGGCTGTCGATAGGAAGATTGGCATCGAACGATTGCGGGATCTCTTCGAACAGGCGGTGGAGGACTGTCCGCCCAAATTCGCCAAGACGATTTATCTCATGTACGGCAATCTGGAGGAGGAGCGTGGCCTGGCCCGACATGCAATGCGGATCTACGAAAGAGCAACGCGTGCTGTTGCCGATGAAGATCGGGCCGACATGTTCAATTTCTACATCACCAAGTCGGCTTCTAACTTCGGTCTGCCATCTACACGACCCATCTACGAACGAGCAATCACGGCTCTCCCCGACAACGAAGCGAAGGAAATGTGCCTCAAGTTCGCCGATATGGAGAAGCGACTGGGCGAGATCGACCGAGCAAGAGCCATCTATGGGCATGCCTCGCAGTTCTGCGATCCGCGAACAAATGCGGATTTCTGGACCAAGTGGGAGCAGTTCGAAGTGCAGCATGGCAACGAAGACACGTTCAAGGAAATGCTGCGAATCAAGCGAAGCGTCCAGGCGAAGTACAACACCGATGTCAACTTTATCGCGTCACAAGCTTTGGCACGGAGTCTCCAGAAGCCAGAGGGCTCCCCGGGCGCAGACACCACGGATGCCATGGCGGCCTTGGAGAAGCAGTCTTCGACGCTACACGGCTTCGTGTCCGCCAGCACAGGGCCCAAAGACACAAAGCCGAGAGAGGAGGTGGTGGCATCAAACCCAGATGCTATTGATATTGACAATCTCGATGACTAAAATCACAAGGAGAGAAATAATAGAGGAGTTTGCTGGGATGTTAACAAAGATATTTCAAGTTTGCTTCCAAAATTCGACGGCTTCATTTCGTTATTTGACATTAATCGAGGTCCCTTTCAATATCGGCAGGGCAAGTTATTTGCTGCTGCCCTTTGTCATCTCGGCAATCTTGGCAAAATATTTCTCGGCCTTGTTCTTATCGACGTGGCCATCGCGCGAGCTCGGCGTGGCATATATTGAGCCCTTGCGCTTCTGAAACCGACTCGGGGGCACTTTGGCAGCATCTGAGTTCTTGTCAGCGGCTTGATCACACGACGTCTTCCCACACGATTGCCCTGCGACGGCAACCCTATGCATCTGGAGGACTCTGAGAACGAACCCCATTCATCACTAAGCCTACGATCTCTGGTGCCGCCCGACATCAGTGGCTCGCCGGCCTCAGCTGCGGTGGTTGTGCTCGGCGGCGGCTGGTGGTGCTGCTCCAGCTGTCCTGGGCTTTCCGTGTTCTGCATGATGTCGCCTTTGTCTTGCTTGATGCCTTATTATGACTTGGTCGGATATAAAGAGGAATCAGGAACGAGTATGATCTCTCCAGTTATTCGAACAAAGACACATGGTTCAAGTGGATAATCGAGAGTTTATATACTCATGGCGGGGGATCTACGACACTGCCATTACACGGCAGGTGTGCCAGCATCAGCTGTCGTCAATGAAGGCCTCTTCCTTCCCGTAGATTGGGCGGGAGGCCTCGGGGCGGTTCCAGGTTCTACAGTTACCCCGCAGAATAGTCTCTTTGGACGGCAAGCGATGGGTTGGCGAGATCGAGTGTGCTTGCCGCCACACGATCTCCTTGCTGCTTGACGTCACTGTCTGAGTAGAGCCGGATTTGCTCTTCTGGTGTAGATGGTTTAATATAGCAATTTATACACTCGTGATGACGACTCTGACGTATAAAACCCTTTAGTTGGTGTCTGCTTGTGAACGAAGAATTGACGTTGACATAATAGAAGAAAAAATACATTGTGAACAGGAGATTGTCATGACGAAACATAGTCAGAACGAACAAAATCATTGCTTTCAGCGTGATTTCACTTGAAGAGGAAGAGTAACACTGATGAGTTACATCAGGAATGCTGTATGACGGGTCTGCAGTCTATCTTACGTCTTTCATCTCTGATTGGCTGGCGCACATGCCGCCATCTCCCCCAAGTACCAGGTACGGAATCCCCTGTACTGCACGCTGTACCTTATTGCCCCGTACGTACCTTCGTACCTCATCGCCAATGACACTCGCGGCCCTCGCCTTCAGCATCCTCCAGTTCCAAGTCGTCGATTCGCCGCTGCACGCGTCATGGCTGTTGGGGCGCTGTCCAATAGCTCGTACCACGCCGTCGACGAGGAGGCCAGGGCGGAGGTCGACGTGCTCAACTCCCGGCTCGACAGGACCACCCAATTGACCAAGAAGATCCAGGCCTCGCTCGGCCGCCTCGAGGCTACCGGCCAAAGCGTTCGAGATGTCGCCGCCCCCTTGAACGGAGAGACGAGGCGGCTGCAGACGCTCTCCAAAAGTCAGCTCCAACTTCTCGCCGCCGAGCGTCATTCGCGTCAAGTGCTAAGTAGGGAAAGCTAGATGTCGAAGCTGTGCTTGCTGCCATCGACCGTCTGCGGCAGCCGTCCGACAGCAAAGACGATGAGGAACAGATCATTCGATCCGGCCCCGAGAAGGCTGGCTTGTCGAACTACCTGGCCTCCATCCAGCGGCTCAGCAACTCGTACAAGGAAATGCAGACGTCGAACCTGCGCGCGAACCAGGGCACCATGTCGGACCTCACCCGCCTCATCAAGCTGGGAAACACGCAGTTGGAGAACCACTTCGACAAGATCCTCCGTGGCGAGACCCCCCGATCCCTCGAGCCGCTCCACTACATCACCAAAGACAAGCCCTTCCCGGTGCTTTCTCAAGACAAGATTGCCCGGCTGGGCCTCGTATACTCGCATGTTGCCGGCAACTTCACCAACGGCTTCGAGTCCCCTGTTGCCAAGATCTACGCCGACATACGGGGCCCCTACCTATCTGCCTCCCTCGCCAATCTGGCCGCAGCCACCATCAACTCCTCCAAGAAGAAGAACCCGGGGGATATATATCAGGCCGGCGCAAATGGTATGGGGACGTACACGCAGGCTATGGAGGGCCTCTTCCTCGCCGAATACGACAACATCTGCAGCATCTTCAAGCGAGAGGACTGGGGCCCCATCCTGCAAGCAACCTGCCAGGGCGCTGTCACCGAGCTGGCTCGAACACTGCGAGAACTCAACACGCACATCAAAACCTACCTTACCACCGACTGCTACATGGCATACGAGGTTACCGAAATCATCTCTGGTCTATCAAATAACCTGGACAAGCGCACAGGCGAGCTCAAGAGCTCATTATCTGCCGCTCTGAAACCTGTCCGTGAAACTGCCAAGTCCTCTCTCGCCGAGTTACTAGAAGAGACCAGGCGGAAGATTGGCAACCTGCAGACACTGCCAACAGATGGAGCTGCAAGTCCCATTGTGGCAGAGACTATGCAACGGTTGATCTCGATGGTGCAGTTCTTGGGGCCAATATCAAGCATCATGATCTCTCTTGGCGACGGTGGCTGGAAGGCCGGAGCTGCTGCGGGCGGCCGCACAACCGAGGGAATCCCGAGCTTGGCCTCCTTCGACGTTGGCGCAGATGGCAAAGAGCTTTTCGCCCACTATTGCCTTGACACGATTGACACTTTGCTCACGTCTCTGGACCAGAAGGCCCGCGTGCTGCTCAGGAACAAGTCTCTGCTGGGCGTCTTCATGGCCAACAGCGTTGTGGTTGTAGATCATTCGATTCGCAACTCGGAGCTGGCTCCCCTGCTTGAGTCTCGTCTGGAACTGCTGGATCAGTGGAGGAAGAAGGCCACTGTTCTGTACACTGATATCTGCAGGGACTTGTCTGTCTATCTCTTTGATACCATTCACACAAACCGAACAAAGCGGCCAACGTCTGGCCATGCGGACTCCGCCGACTCGGCGTCGGTAGTGAAGGGCCTGAACAGCAAAGACAAGGACAAGATCAAGGAGAAGTTTACTCAGTTTAACAACGCCTTCGACGATATGGTATCCAAGCACAAGTCTTACACCATGGACCGTGAGGTGCGAGCAATGTTTGGGCAAGACATTCGGCAAAAGCTGCAGCCCCTCTATGAGCGATTCTGGGATCGGTACCACGAGATTGACAAGGGCAAGGGCAAATACGTCAAGTACGACAAGCAGTCGATTGCGGCTGTGTTCATGAGTCTCGCATCTTGATGTGTTGAGGAGCTAGGACGAAGAACTTTTACAATGAGGAACACCAGAGACGCGACTGATCTCGCGGTGGATCCAATGAACGCCGAGCATTCCTCAGTAGATGACATTTTTGAAGCTTGTACATTTTCAGCACCTACTGGGATCGAACAACCACGCGTTGGCATGGTTGAAAGAGTCGAGCTGAGTTCAAGATCAAACCCTGGGGCAAAGATGCCAACAACGGGAATTGCTCACTGGGTCATGGACGCGCAGCAATATGGACGGCTTTTGGGCGGCCTATTAAGAGCCTGGCTGAATTGCCATCCACAGGCAACGCATGCTCGGCGAACGGGGATTCGACTGTACGCTTCGTGCGACAAAGAGCACAAATGGCGACATCCAATCTCACCTGTATATAACAAGCTACAATGTTTCACTCTAATATACCAAGATATCTAGCGCAATCAATACTCAATCAATCACTTCAACCTCAGACTACCTACTCCTATTCATCCACTCCCAAAAATAGCGTCTACTCGTGACCTCCTATCCCAGACAATGACCCCATCACTCTTACGCTTAAAGTACAAAATCCGATGCTGCGGAATAAACTCCTCGTCCGTCTGCTCGGTGCGCCAGTTGTCCAGCGCCTTCTCCTGGGCTCCGAGGAAACGATCTTCATAGCCAACTACATAGTCGCCGGAGTCCATGCCTGGATCCCAGCGGATGCGGTTCAGGGCGTCGACTGCGGTGCGGAGTTTGCCTGCTCCGGGCGGTTTGACATGGGAAATGCCCGTCTTCGAAACGCGAGGGTCTTTGTTAGAGGCGAGAGCATCGCCATCTGTCTCGTTTTCGATTTCATCCGAGTCGTCCTCGTCCTCGTCAAGATCGGTATCGGCGCCATCGTAATCATAGAGCTGCTCAGGGGCGACCCGCACAGGACCAAGGCTAGATCGACGGGTGATGGAAGCGCTCACCCAGCAGTGCTCCGCATCGAAGTACTTGTCGCTCTTCTGGATGCGAGATTCGAACTCTTGGATGATGACTTGGATGGCCCCCTCTGCGGTGGTTAAACTCGCCGCGGATTCTTCTGCAACAGTGTCGTCCCGTTTGAGGCCTATCAAGTAACAGGCGGCAAGCTCCCGGTTCTCGGCCTCGGTGCTGTTGCTGGATGGCTCCTCGTCTGTGAATCGAATTGGCCAGATGCGAGGCACGATGCCCGGAGTCTTTCGGCTGATGTCTGGGTGGCAAGAGTTAGCATTTGCTACACTTGGTTCTTAATGGCTCGTGTTTGAATCAATGTGCTTACCGACGAGGATGGAGATCAGCCTCGATTCCAGCCAGCCCAAATATTTTCTGCCCTTTTGCTGGGACGACCCCCAGTAGCGGGCACTGATCTTGATGTAGGTTCGATATGAGTCGAGGATATCAGCAGCCCCTTTCTCCATCAAACTGGACGGCGGTTCAGAATGCCCCACGCCGAGGAACTTGCTCCAGGTCATGCCATCTTGGGAAAGAAGGGCCGCTGCTCTGGCAAACTCGGAAGCCAGGGCGTTGACGGTGGAGATGGAGGCGCCGGACGCCGTATTCAGAGACGGTCCATGCCAACCAAGGAGACAAAGGGGCTCCCTGGATGTGCGATGGTATCTCAATTCAGTATGGTAGAAGGGATCAAAGACCGCTCCTGTGGCCCAGTCGAACGTCGAGTAGTGGTGGAAAAAGGAGGTTAGAATATCGGCTGTGGAAGCTGCCTCAGGCTCGTCGGCCAGTGCCTTGCAGACGGGCACCAGCAGAGAGGTGATGTGGATGCCTCCCAGCAAGCCAAACTTTGCCGCATACAGGCCTCTCGATTTCGCCCAGGCTTTGACGAAGAGGTGTGCCACACGGTATTTGGTCACGTCGGGAATGGACCTCCGGAGATAGAAGAGATCCCGGGCAGGCTTGAGTTTGGCCAACGACTGGAGCGGCAAAGCAAAGATGGGATCTGACGAGGGTCGTTTGAATACTTCAGGATATCTGGTTGGGATATGTTAGCAGATGCCGAAAGAGCGGACACGAGCTGAGGGGAAGAAGAGTGACAGGAGGATAGGGGGGAGAATGCGAATTCTTACCCCTGGGCTATGGCTGCGGCAGAGCAATACTGGAGATCAAACTTGATGCCACGAACCTCCAGCTCGAGCATCGTCCCAGTATTCGCCATGACACGACGTAAGATCTTGATACCGCTTGCAGAGGCTTTCCTCAGCTTTTGTACGGCCAAGGCGAAGAAGGTCCGGGAACTAATGTTTCCCACACAGAGGCAGTCTACATCCGAAGAGCTAGTCCAGACGCCGAGGCCAAAGGATCCCACGGGGATGAGAACAAGCTGCACCTGTGAGCGCATACTGCTACCAGCGCTTTCAGCATCCGTCTCCAGTAGAGTCGTTTTCAGGAGAGCTATTGCCTCGTTTCTTGATTCTGCGTCAGCAGCAGCGGGAAATTGGCCACTAGATATCAAGCTGTCTTTCAGCTCTTCGAAATTGCCCAATGTGAGTGCGGCTTTGTGTAGACCAATGGCTTGCATGTTGGCATTTGACGGTGGTGCAGCAGCGTCTGCATTGTGAGGAGACGCCGCAAGGAGACAGCGGATGCCCCAGTGGTCACTGGCAGGTCCCTGAGAGGCAGACTCTTTGGCGTCCATGACTTGACCGAACATGTTGAATCCGCGGGGTTTGAACGGAGCAGACTTCGTGACCAGTATTCTGTCATATCTTTGTGGGCGAGCGCCGTCAACGCCACTCGAAGCCGCGGCAAGGGGGTTGGCCATTGGGTCAAAGGTTGCCCCTTGCTCTCCCTCGTAAAGCTCCAAGGTTGATTCATGATTGCCTTTTGTGCTCGAGGATTCTCCAGGACCAACTCGGGAGGCCAACCATGCGTCTTGCAGCCCGGCTCCTGACAGTGCCGCCTCGATCTCTCGAAGAGACTCAAGGCCTTTTTCCGTAATGTCGCTCTTTTCCAGCGCTCCATTAATCGTACGCGAAGATGAGGCCAGGTTAAAATCGCCAGCAATCACCCAGGGATGCTGAGGGAACGACGAGACCAAGTACCGGACAAGTCTCTTCACCTCATCTCGCTTCGTGGCGACGGCAGCGTCCGTCAGCCCTTTGCTAAGATGACAAGCTGCCAGTACCAGGGGCAACGGGGGAGGGTCTGAGAGTTTGTCGACTTTGACCATGGGAAACTGGAGAATCCCAAAGCCCTTGTGGTTTATAACACCCGGAAGATACTCCCACAGAAATGGAAGCTTGCTGAGAACCACGACATTCGAATGGCTTGGTAGAGGGCCAACGCTATGCTGATTAGGTGGTCCATGAGTAGTGTAAGGATATTGTGAGCGAACATTGGTGTTTTCCAGCAGGAAACTGAGGAAGTGGTCTGTGACTTCCTGAAGAACAAGGATATCAGCTGAGGCGCGTTCGGACACGATATTGCCGACAAGGGCAGGATAACGAGAGGAACTCGGAGGCCAGTCAAATTCAGCCATGACGTTATATGAGGCGACGACAAGCCGGGTGAGAGAGGTCGGTTCAGCAGCTGTGTCAGTGATTGGACCTCGTAGAGGCTCCCACAACTCATGTTCTTCGTTGAAGCAGAAGGTAGCTTGGGCTCGTGGCAGAGAAGCATCCACTGGCAGACTGGGAATTGCAGCCAAGGCTGCCGAGTCGCGCACGACAGACCGAGATGTCAGATCGATGTATCCCCAGAGCCGCATCGGCCGAGAACCTCCCGAACTGCCGGGTGACGCCGGATCACGTATCATGACTGCGAGCTGGTTATTGCGCCATGTCAGCGGCGTCAAAAGCCGTGCCTTTTCCAGGAGAAACTGGTGCCACGATGTGGAGTCGTCCTCGCTCTGGGCGAGCGTCATATGAGGCTGATAGTCTCTGCCTTTGGGCCATCCAAGGAAGCGGTGTATCCGGTCTCTCATGTCTGATAGACGATCGGCCTCTGGTCCAGGACTCGGCCGAATAAAGACTGTTTTGCTCCGTCGACGGTGCGAGAAGACTCCAGGCTCTTCCAGGCTGATGGAGATGTCATCGTCCTGTGGCCTGAGATGAGAACGGCAAAGCGCCTCGGTCACTTCAGGGAGAGCTTCCGGCCTGACGAATGGGTAGATGAGAGTGACATGAGGCGGCCACTTTGTGAATTTCTCGTCATTGAGTGACCGGAGCGTATTGACGGGACCCCAAAGCTGGGGCGGAGGTATCAGACAGAGTGCGGTATCGTGAGATGCCTCAAAGGACTGCCCAGCAGTGGCCTCCTTGGGCAGGTAATCCATTGGAGATGTGGTTTTCTGCACAGACTGGTTCGAGAAAGGGAGCGTATTATTCATGAATTGGCTGATGAACTGAGCTGTGAACAACAGTGTTGAGGCTATGGGAGAGAGAACTGCATCGTCTTCCCTCCTTCATGCGGCGCAATAAATACATGTTTCTGGAGATTGCTCCAAGACGTCCATCCTGCAATCACAAGCCTCAAAATACGAAGCGCAAGTCACGACACGGCAACGACAATGCATAAAGGGAAAGGAATCATGCGGCGTGAGTCACGGTTTGATTAGCGAGGCGTTTTTGTGTCTGTAGGAGCGTGGCTGAGGGACGAGCTGAGGATGGATCGTGGTGTTTCATTGGCAGATGAGTTGCGTCTTGTGTGGGGGAGAAGATGAATCTAATTCCAACAGTCATCTGGCAGACGGGACGGAATTTGGGGAAGTTCAGATTTAGTGAAGCTTGGTTCAGGCGAAATTCATGTAGAGAGATCAGATGGTCGTAGAGTTGAAGAAAGAGAACTATTATCAGCATCCTGGGATAAGAGCTGGATCTCAAATCAAACACTATTTGGCCGCTATAAAGCATTGATAACATGCCTCGGAAGAAAAGGCCGGTAACGGCAAAAGAGTCACACACGAGTCAAGTCTCTTGGCACTGTATTTTCGCAGTATCGGTACTTGACGCCGAGCACACTGCATCTCCACCTTCAGGGAATTTCTTATCAAGATCAATTTGATTTCAATATCAACTACCTACAATGCCTTGAATCTATCCTCTGGTTGAGCCTTGTTACTTTGATCAATTATTGAATCTAACGAGTCGTTGCTTTGTCTATTTCTTACCTTCAGTGTTGCTTGCTCGTTCTGCCCTGTACAACGGCTGCTAGAAAATTGTTTGTTCTGCTCTCATACACGTCCCACAAACTCACTCACTGACTCAACCAGCTCTCAACCTCTTCAACTCATTCCCCCGCAAGATACCTCTCATAATGTCTTCCTGGGAGTGACTGCGGTTACTGGATAGTGGACAATTGCAACTCAAGGCTCTTTCACTGGATTCGCAGCCTCGTCCAAGCTTCCCGCCGGTGGTTAGGGATGCGGCATGGCCTCTACCGTACACTGGAGCCGTGCCAACATCAACTCTTGCAGCCCCCATCATGGGATTCTCGCATGTAGACAACGACTGGCCTCGCGCTGTTCATCGGCTTCATCTCGCTCCGTAGCCAGAAATAGGGCGGCAATCTGCACGCTAGGGACTACGACTACGACTACACCACCAAATGGTCCTTCGCCAAAGCCAGCTGCAACTCGCAGCTTCTCTTCGCCCACGCCGCCTAGGGCCAAGCGACAGATGTTCGATCGGGTGTGTATCCAGTTGCTTACCTTGAGAGCTGTCACCGGTTCATGATAGCTTCATCTATCTACTCGATTGCCATCGATTAGCCTTGGAGAGGCAACTAACACCGCCGCAGGATGTCATTGTATCTGTCTTAGAGTCAACTGCCACCAGGCGAGATGCCAAGGGCTATCTTCAGAAGTATGCTCTACCAAAGCCCGCTCCTCCGGTGACAGAATCGAAGCCAGTTGAGCACCAGCACAAGGCTCTTGCCAGGCAAGTTCACGCCCAGCGGCCGTTTGACGTGGCCATTGTGGTTCTGCGGAACCCCCAACAGCTACGGCCAGACACAATACACGGGATAGCCAAGACACTGACTCAGCTTCGGGTCCTTGGCCTCTTGAGTGTCGTCGTGGTGGATTGTGATGTGGGAGAGAGCCGCCTCACCTTTCAATCCGAGGCGTTGAGGCTTTGTGAGGCAGTTGATTCCTTTGGCAAACCAGGTGCTCGGCTGGTGGAAAACGTACTGGTCGGCACTTCTCATTATCAAGGGCCTACGCCGTCTCCCTTTTGGGATGACATATATGTCCAGGACTATGGTATCCTCAATCGGGCACTTCAGCATGACATGATTGCCGTCATTCCGTCTCTTGCGCTGAATGACGAGACTGCTACTCCGGCGCCTGCTGACGCTCAAAGAACTTCTCTCGCATTGACGAGGTACTTTACGGGAATACAGTTTGAACGAGACGCAAGCCGCAGCCAGGGCGGAAGCCCGGGACAAGGCTCCGAGCCGCTCGCTTCCGTCGAGAGAGTCATCATCCTCGACACATACGGCGGCACTCCTGTTCCTGGTCGTCCTGGAGTTTGCCAGCGATTTGTGAACCTCGAGCAAGAATACGACACGCTCCTGGACCATCTAGGGGGCTACGAGGGCTCACAAGCCCCGGCACACAGCCCACATGAGGAGGCCGGTAGAGCACATGCCAAGAATCTCAAGTTGGCAAAGGATACCCTCTCTCTCTTGCCGGAGACAGCTTCTGTTCTCATCACTACCCCATTCGCAGCAGCCAACACATCGTCCGTCTCGTCCTCGGGGCTCTCTCCGGTGCGCAATGGCGACTTTCAGTTTGGATTCGACGGCATGGTCACGACCCGCAGAAAACAGAATCCCCTTCTTCACAATCTCCTCACCGACAAGCCGGTCTACTCTCCGTCATTGCCGCTGCAGCGCATCCAGTCTCCGGAACTGGCGTCTTTGGGGACGGGAGAGTCCATTGACGCGACCCTCGTCAAGCGAGGCATGCCTCTGGCCATCTACCCCGATCCGAGAACAGAGCCTTGGAGGCCACCGGCGCCTGGCGAGCGTCGTCTGCAGCTGACAGACAAGTCGATTGATTTGCCGCGGCTTGTCGCTCTGATTGAGGATTCTTTCGGCCGCAAGCTGGACGTCGATGACTACTTGGAGCGGACGAACAAGAACCTGGCCGGCATCATCATTGCGGGAGAGTACGAAGGATGTGCCATTTTGACATGGGAGAAACCCAGCCATGTCGACCCTCGTACAGCCTATGAGCAGGGTCGCTTCGTGCCGTATCTCGACAAGTTTGCCGTTCTACGGAGCCGTCAGGGCAGCGGAGGGGTGGCCGACATCATCTTCAACGCCATGGTCCGGGATTGCTTCCCCGACGGCGTGCTTTGGAGGAGCCGCAAGGACAATCCTGTCAACAAGTGGTATTTTGAGCGTTCGGTGGGAACCAGCAAGCTGGCCGGCTGCAACTGGGCCATGTTTTGGACGACGTTGGGGCTGAGCGGCAAGGGGCAGAAGCTGGAGGACTACGAGGCGGTTTGCAGGGAAATCATGCCCTCTTGGGCAGACAGCGTTCGGAAGCCTGCTTGAATAATGAGAGAGCATTTGAGAGGATACGATATTATCACGAGTTGAAGTTGTCAGATAGAATTGATTCAACTAGAGCGATGGACTCCAATGCGGCATGACGTCACATTCTGTGTACTAGCTGCTCAGCTGTGACTCTTACACATGATTCATACAGTGATGCCTGGTACCTAGTCTACTTGATGAGACTACACACTTTTTAAATGCAATACGATTACTATGTCAATTCATTTCTTTCCATGATTACCCAGTTCTCCACCAAGTGATGTATCAGCTACATCGTAGCTCCACGCTCCTTCTCTCCAGTGGCCCACCAGCTACCCCGAATTTTCTAGGGTAGGTCCATCCCGCATACTTAGCTTTATCGGACCTCGAAAAAGAAGCTTCTGATAATGAATTGCTCTGTATCATTACCAACTTCATACACTCACCTCCTGTGACTCAAACTACTCACCCCTCCAATTCCATTGCGCAGGGCTTTCAAGTCGATGCTCCGCATCATGGCCAATGACTAACGGCAGATCCAGCAGAAAGGTATGCCGCTGAGCTGTTCATGTTGTCGCGACTCTCCAGCCCTCGTCTCATGATGAAGAGGAAACTCAGCGCATTCCTACGAGAAACAACAAGCTCAACCACCACCACCAAGATCACCAAGATGTCGACAGCTCGATCCGTCCAGCTCACCCCGCGCGAGCAGCAGCTTCGCCTCCTGCTCGTCAACGTTGCCAAGTTCATCGATTCGACGGCCAAGCTCGGCCAGCCCGTCATCCTGCGCTGGGCGGGAGGCTGGGTGCGCGACAGGCTGCTGGGCATCGAGAGCCACGACATCGACGTCGCCATCAATGCCATGACCGGACAGCAGTTTGCGCAGCATCTCTCGGAGTATTGCAAGCGGCCCGAAGCCGTCGAGACGCATGGCTTTCTGCCCGGCGACATTGGGCGGCTTCACCACATTGCAAGCAACCCGGACAAGTCCAAGCATCTCGAGACCGCCATGGTCAAGCTGTTTGGCATGGACCTGGACTTTGTCAACCTCCGCAAGGAGACGTATGCCGAGGACAGTCGCAACCCGCAGATGGAGTTTGGCACGGCGGAGGAAGATGCGCTTCGTCGCGATGCCACCATCAACGCCCTGTTTTATAACCTGCACACGGAGGAGGTTGAGGATTTCACTGGCGGCATTCGAGACATGGAGGCCAAGGTCATACGGACACCCATGGAGCCTTTCCAGACGTTTATGGACGATCCCCTGAGAGTACTGCGTCTGATTCGGTTTGCTTCTCGTCTGGGCTTTACCATAGATGAGACATCAGAAAAGTTTATGAGCGATGAGAGAGTTCTGGAAGCGCTACGGAAGAAGATCAGCCGCGAGAGAGTTGGCGTGGAGTTGGAAAAGATGCTGAAGGGTACGTACGAGCCGTCGTCCACGTCTAGTCGTCTCTCCAGTCTCACGAAGGCCATACTGACAGTAGTTGCAAACAAGGCAAAACTCCCCGGGTGGCGTTGGAGTTATTGGATCGCCTCAATCTCTACCAGGCCATTTTCAGCGACCCTCTGCAGGAAGATGTGGAGATGCCTGACATATCCCGATGGCACGTTGCGTACACCTGTCTCGATGAGGTGTTACGAGATCAAGAACCTGGGTCGATAGGCCGGATTCTGGTCGAGGACGCCGACAGCACGTATTTGGCGTGGAATCTTGCTGCCGTCAGCCCCTGGATCCCTGTAGAAGATCGCTCCGGGCGCAAGCAAAAGGCAAACGCCCCCCCTCCCGTTGTTGTCATTGCTCGCGAAGGCTTCAAAGCTTCGAACAAGCTTACGACCGTCATGGCGGCCTGCCACAAGCATCGCGCGGAGATACTTGCGCTGAAAAAGGCAGTGTGCGAATCCGCGCCGACGATACACGAGCGGGACACGGTCGGCATGGCCATCAGGAAGTGGGACGCAGGGGGCGGGCACTGGAAGCTTCAAGTATTGGGGGTGATGCTGGTTGATGCCATGGAGCAGCTTGACAAGTTCCCCGCGGAAGACAGCAAAGGTAAGCTTTTCTCACAACGTCGAATGGAATGGCACTTGGTGAGAAGCACTACTGACCGACACAAATCCTAGTTCGCGACGAGTTTCTTCACGGATGGGACAGGTTTCTCAAGCACCTCGCCGAGCTGGACGTGTTCGATGCTCCGAACCTGAAGCGCATCATTGACGGGCGCGCTCTGGCAAAGGCCCTGGGCATCCCGCCCGGCACTTGGATGGGCAAAGCTTTGGAGATATGCATGGCTTGGCAACTACGTAACCCAGATGAGAAAGATCCAGAGGGGGCCATACAGGCAGTAAGAGACAAGGCCGACGAACTCGGCATAAGTCCAACAACGTAGACTCTAGAGAAAGTTGAACGATGTGAAATGATAGTCAGCCCCCTCCGAAAATTATGTATCTCTACTACACTCTAAGTCTAATACAATATATATCTAAATCGTAGAATCATGATGGAGCCATCCATAGTTTCCCGACTAAAAGGGAATTGGTATAGCTCATATGTATCAATACACGATTGTTCTTCTATGGCTTGAAATCTGCAGAAATAGATCTTGGTCGCCGCTTGGTATCCCTCGTTTTGGGGCACCGCCACCCGTTGCTCTATTTCTGCACCTCTTTGCGATCCTTTGTGCCGTTCACTTTGCTGTTCAGACCTGGATGGGAAGCCACGCCAACATCGATGCCACTGATGAACAAGGCGCTGACGCCCTCAAGCAGGGCAACAAACACGCACATGAGACTGGCAATCACGAAATGGCTGATGGTGGATCCAATCTCCAACCAAGACCCCTCGTCCTTGACGACCCAGAAGAAGTAGAGAGTCAGGATGTCGCTGACTGCCATAACCACCATGAAGAATGCTGACGGCGCCACCTGGAGCCGCGTGTTTAGGATGCCGAGGTTTGCCGAAATGAGGACAAACGGGATCATAATCTTGAGAACGAGCAGTGCTCCCTGAGAAAAGGGATCGAATACTGGAATCAGCCGGTTTACGCTCTCCAGACTGAAGGACGAGACGGACGCGACGTTTCCGGTGCTGAAAAATGCTGACTGGAGGAGCACCATGAAGAAGAGGGCAACGCGCGCGTCAGATAGTCGCAACGGCCGATATGAGATGGTCTTGTCGGTCTTCGCGGATCCGTTTGCACTGCTATTCTGGCTTGCGCCAAACGTCTCGAGACGATGCTCTAGACGCACCCAAATGAGAAGCAAAAGCGAGAAAGCGACGTAAAAGAGACCCTCATACGAAATTGTGAGGATGATGAACGTCGGAGCGCATGTAAAGAACATCATGGCAAGGCGGTGCATAAAGTTGCTGTTGGGTGATAGTCGGTGGAGCAATGGAGTCAGGAAGGAGGCAACTATTACTCTTATGTTAGACAGTCCTCAGCTCCATCACCATTCATTGGATACATACTCAGAACGGCCCATCCCGTGACCTGGTTCCCCAAGGGCAAACCTCGCTTGGCTTGGATTGACAGGGCGCTGGACCGAGTCACTACTGTAGCGAGGATAATGAGGCCAACCTGTGAGAATAGTGTCAGCGCCTTTCATGTGTACCCGAGATGTGAAGCTGAGAGTCGTTTACCTGAATACCAGTTGCCACCCTGCTGAGCAGGGAGTTTGTATGCTTGTTGAACTCGGCGCCCACAGAGGAAAAGTCGGACAGTACGAAGGGCTCAAAAATCATATACAACAGTCCAACCAGGCTCATGATGACGCCGCTGCCCACACTAATCGAGTGTGTTAGAATCAGTAATACACGCCAAGAGGGGTTCGCAACATACATCAAATCCACGTTCTCAAGCTTCATTGCTGGGAGGAGTGTGAAGGTGCTCATGATTAAGCACGAGATGGCCCAGGCGGCGCTGAGCAGAGCGTTTGAGCGGACAAAGGACATGCCACACGTGGCAGGCCATATCGCCCCCAGAATGAAAAGGCCAGTTAGGATCTCGCGATGAATGTACCCAAGGGCCTAGTTCAAGTCAGAAACGGGTCGAGGTGCCATGCACAAAGTGAAGTCTCACCAGAGATATAATAATAGCACAGTAAATGATTGCATTCGCAATGAAAGCTGCAATCTGGCCAGCCGAACCAATATGCGCAAAGAGCAACCGCCCCCCCTCTCGCAGGTTGCCCCTTTGCGCAAAGACCTCTTCCCAGAAGACAACGGGGAAGAAGGCATACGCGTAGTACGTAGGGGGTGACTTGGAAGCGATAAAGGACGCGTAGAGTACGGCCAAGGCTGAGGAGAATCCAAGAACGGTCGAGATGTTGCGTTTGGGTGCGGTGGGAACGGGAACCACATACAGGTTGATAACCGTCGTGATGGCGTACGCGATCCAGCCAAGGTATCCAACAGTGATCAAGGCCCGCAGGAACAACCAGTCATACGTCTGAAGATAGCGCAAGCCTTCCAGCGTGAGATTGATGAGGGCATCCGATTCTTCGATGGCCTCTTCGTATTTTCCACGTGCGATCAGTTCCTCAATGTGAGCCACACGCTCTGCCGGAGTAAGCCCCGCTACGGCAAAGGCACCGTACGGCTTGTACCTCATCTCGTTTGCTTGCTTCTTCTCCTCCTTGACCCTGTACATTTCCAGAATCTCGCGGGCATTGGCCAGCAAACCTCTCGCCCTTTCCCGTATATTTGCAGCCATGTACGGGAGAGGCAACTTGCCCACTGAGTTTACTGGAAATTCGGCGCCAATGAGCCAGGCCATGAGCGCAGCAATATCGGCCTGGGCGACGTCGTGCCTTTGAACGTGGTCCAGGCCCCAGTCAGCCGACAATTCATCATGGCCCGGGGCGATTTTCCCCGGGTGCAGTAGAGGGGGCGCCACGCCCGAGCCCCAGCAGACAAGAGGCGTTCTGGTATTGTCCGGATGGCCGTCGCCGTGGCTACCCCAGTCACTCATGCCATGGTCCGCGGTGAAGACGAATGCGGTTCGGTCATCCCCATAGAATTTCTGGATGAGGTCCGTCACCTCCTGAACTCCCTTGTCGACGATTTGGATATTGCGCAAATACTCCTTCGAAAACGGCCTGAACCCATGGCCAGTTGTGTCGATGCCGAGCAGGTGAAGGAAAAAGACAACCTTGTCCTCTCGAAGGGCTCGGTTAAGAGTCCTGTTGGTCGCCGCCTGAGTGAACAGGTCCTTGACGTGATCAAAGACCCAAATGTCGAGGTGCGTCGCGTCCTTGGAGAAGTCCTCAAAGTCCGCAGCATACGTAAAAGCATCGACGCGGCCGGGAACGGCTCCGCGCTCAAACATTGGCAAGATGTCGGGACTGCCCCAGCTCCAAGTATGGCGGCTCCTGTTGAATACACTGTCAAAGTTGACAGGGTTGAGCTTCCATCCTGTCGCCACTGCAGAAACGTCCTCGTAGAGGCCGGCAATCATGGCCACATGGCCGGGTCGGGACTCGGTAGGGACACGGGTGTGCGAGACTCCAAAGGTTCCATGGTGGAGGACGCGGGAGCGGATAAAGGGAGCCAAGTGTCTGGGGACAAGGTCTGCGTCCGACTCGGGATATGGCTCGGGAAAGGCTTGGAAAGCTTTGTCGGCACGCAGTCCGTCGCCTATTGGACAGAAGTCAGCTCAATTCGAGAGATATGGCAGATGCAAGCCAATGAGGAGAGAACAGCAGCCGTGGCATCATCGTACCGACGAAGAGAACCAGTCGATCCGCAGGACTCTTTTGGTTTGCGGGACGGTCCACGGAGACCGGCTGCATGCCAGAAACAATAGGGCTGACGAAGTAGATGTCGAAGATGGAGTAGATGTAGACCAGGTGGAAGACCACTGCAGCGGCCAGGAAGGCCAGCCGGCCCAGGGCGGCCATGGTGGTGAAGCTGGATATGCGAGGCCGGGGATGCAGCAAGAGAGAGAGAGAGAGGGATAGAGAGAAAGACGTCAAATGGCACAACAATCAAAGAGCTTCCATAGCGCACCTCTTTACCAAACGCCTTGCAGGAGAAACAAGCGTGGTGATGATGACAATGGCAGAAGGTTGCTGATCTATGTAAGGCGACGGTTCACAGGCTCTAGGCAGGGTAAAGATGGTTGGCGCATTCGCAGAGCCTCGACACGACGTCGCGAAGGGGACATGTTTCTTCCATGCTGGCATTTGATAGGCCAATGGACGCTGGCAGTGACGGCTTCACAGCCACGCTCACCCCAGAGGCAATTTTAATCTTGAAAAAAATAAGGAAATAATATGGAGCAATTCATTGCGCTATGGATTGATCAAGGGCAGTCAATCGATGGAAATGGACGTGCTATTCAAATTTCCTTGGTGGACATTGACTTGACCGTGTAGGTACTTATCTCATTATCTTGTGACGATCCCGTCCATCAAGGTACCTTTAAGTTGGTACTAGGTACCTCTAGCACGCGGATACTAGAGGCATCACAGTCAAAGGCACCAAAACCCGGGTTATTGACAGCATTGAAGCTTTTACCTGCAATTCATGGCCTCTACGTTATTATTGACTACCTACTACCCTAGGTAATTAACCTTTCAACTGTCGCAACGATTGGTGTCAGGTAGGCATGCAGCAATATGAAAACTCCCGGCTCTTCATAGTGCCTCTAGGTATCTTTCTATAAAGCCGCTGCTGGTCGGCCTCTTCCACGTGACTCATCTTTTGCAGCCCAGCGATGGCTTGCCGAATCTACAACCGAGGGCCGCGTCCAGCCGCTCGCCGTGATCGAAGACTACTAGTACTCGTATATCCAACTGCTCAGGGCCAGAGGCGATGCTCGTAGACCTCTGCATCTTCTCAACCAATCCACCATGTTGCCCCTAACTAGACAGCTGCTCTCCAGGCGGGGGGACGCAGCCCTTGGCCGCTCTCTGCGGTGGGTGTCGTCCAGGTACAGCCGAAGCAGCGCCCTGTCGACGCTGGCGATCCTGGAGCAGCGGGACGGCCAGCTGGTCCATGGCTCGCTCAGTGCCATCACCGCGGGCCTCAAGCTCGGCGGCCCAGTCCACGGGTTTCTGGCCGGCAGCAAGGTGTCGTCGGCCGCGGAGCAGGCCGCCAAAGTGAACGGGGTGGAAAAGATCATCACCGTCGAGAATGACGCATATGACAAGGTCCGTCTGGATGCCGCAGCCCGGTTCATAACTCCCGGTTTCAACTCCAATTGATGCTGACGCGAACAAACAATTTACTAGGGCCTTCCAGAGAACTATGCGCCATTGCTGGTCGAAAACATTAAGAAGGGCAACTACACGCACGTCGTTGCCGGCCACACGGCCTTTGGCAAAAGCGTCCTGCCCAGAGTCGCGGCCCTGCTTGACTCGCAGCAGATCTCAGACGTCACGGCGATTGAGGACGACAAGACGTTTGTGCGCCCCATCTACGCCGGAAACGCCATAGCCACCGTCGAATCCACCGATGCCATCAAGATTCTCACCATCCGCGGGACTGCCTTCCCTGCGGCGACGCCAGAGGGCGCATCTGCCACCATCGAGAGCGGAGTGGACGCCAAGGCGGAGGCTACTTCGGAGTGGGTGTCGGAGGACCTGGCCAAGTCGGATCGCCCCGACCTCTCGACGGCGAGCAAGGTGGTGTCGGGCGGCCGTGGCCTCAAGTCCAAGGAGGATTTCGACAGGATCATGCTGCCCCTGGCCGATGCTCTGGGCGCCGCGGTTGGCGCGTCGCGAGCCGCCGTCGACAGTGGATATGCAGACAACAGCCTCCAGGTTGGCCAGACCGGAAAGGTGGTTGCGCCGCAGCTGTACATGGCTGTCGGCATCTCGGGCGCCATCCAGCACTTGGCGGGCATGAAGGACAGCAAGGTCATTGCGGCCATCAACAAGGACCCGGATGCGCCCATCTTCCAGGTCGCCGATGTCGGACTTGTTGGCGACCTCTTTGAGAAGGTGCCGGAATTGACTGAGAAGATCAAGAGCTCATAAACCATTAGGATATAGTACAATACATTACAATATACACTACAATACAATAAAGGACAAAATGATCCAGCTTGCCCTTCAATTGATGGTGCCGAGCATGTCTCTAACGCTGGTGAACTTCTCTCTAGGTTTTCCTCTAGTCGCCCCCCGAGCTGTTTCGGCCTGGTCTATCTGGCGCCACTGGTCCCAAGTGACCACTTGATCTGCTTGAGCACCAACATCTTGTTTGACTGCCTCCCATCCCCCCGCCGTGCCGTCTGCTGAGCGGTTTATGAAAGGGGCCCCTGACAGCCAGTCCTCGACCACAGCGTCTCCTGTCAGGAAAGCGTCTCTCATGGTGGACGCGATGACGCCCGTGGGGCCTCTCTTGACCCAGCCAGCGCAGTAAACGCCGGGCAATGTGATGGGAGGAGTGCCGCTAGGTTCACTCTGTCCAGGGAGCACCTGTGTCGCTCGACCCAGCCCGTCGTTGCGGATGACTCCTCGCTTCTCGTCGAACTGGATTCCGACCTCGGCAAATCCCGGCAGAGGCACCGATTTGTAACCGACGGAGCGGAACGCAATGTCCGATGGCAGCGTTCTCGTCTCTTCTGTGAGAGATACGGATGACTGAGGGTTGAATGGGTCTTCCAGTTTGGTCACGTAGAACTCGGTGCTGCCCACGAGGGAAGGATTCTGCTTGTCGCCCACAAAGGCCTTTGGCGACAGGCAGCTGTCGAGTGACCAGGATCTCGGCGAGTCAGAAGCGCGAGCTGCCGTCCCCTTTCGAAGGACCTCCATGAGCCTCTTGGCCGCTCTTGGAAGTTTGTCAAGAGCTGGCGGTATCAACGAGTCGTCTATGCCGTGAAAAGCCACCCCTGAGAGGTTCATCAACTCTCTTACTTCTTTTATCGTAAATGCGGCCTAGAATAGCAGGTTTAGTGTCATGCAAGATGACTTTTCTTCCTACAGCTTGTTCCGCTTACTTGCATGGGTCCTCTCCGTCCTACGACGTGAACCCTCTTGATTCGGCTTTCAGCCAACTGCGCAAGGGCTCGATCTGAGATGTCAGTCTTTCTCAGCACATCAATGTCCTCCAGCAGTATCCTAGCCACATCCAGGGCGACGTTGCCTTGGCCGATGATGACTGCTTCCTCTGCCCGAGACAGATCCGGCTCAAGCTGGCCGCAGTCGGGATGGCCGTTATACCAGCCGACGAACTGGCGGGCCGAGTAGATTCCCTTGAGAGACGCCTCGCCTGGAATGTGCAGCTTCTTGTCCTCTGCCGCCCCGTAGGAAAAGAGGACGGAGTCGTAATGGCTCATGAGCACCTTGAGAGGAATGGTGCAGTGCTCCTCCAAGTGTCCGGGAAGACCAATGGAAGCATTTCCTATGAAAGTGAAGTTGGGAGACGAAGCAACTTCATCGAACTTCTCTTGGCAGTTCTGTAAAAAGTTGTTTGGTCAGCTCATTTTGCTCTCAAGATGAGAGATGGACTCATAGAAGGGGTGCCAAGCGGCTTCTTTACCTTGACCTCTGGATGATCTGGCGCAACGCCATGACGCACAAGGCCATACGGGACTGGCAAGGCCTCGTACATGTCGACACGCGCCTGCGGGAGCTTGGACATGACCCGATACGCAGTGTAAAACCCAGCGGGACCGGACCCGACGACGGCCATGCGAAAGGGAGCATCGGCCTGCCGCGAGAGACATTGCGAGACAGAGAAATGGCGCCCAAGAGAGAGGCTTCGGCGCGCCCACGCAGCAGGCCTGCCACAGGTGAGAAGCATCATGAAGAAGGGCGTCGGCACAGGCCCATTCCGGGTTGGACAGTCAAGATCCCTTCATCGTGTCTAACCGGATGGCGGAGGCTTTGCAGATCGATCGGCTCGAGATTTAGACTTGTTCATTCTCACAACGCAGATCGGCCGGGCGGCATCGGCGGCCGGAGCTCCGAGCTCTCGTTGCTGTGGCAACCGGGGCGCTGATAATCAGAGGATTGGCGCCAGAGAGACGTGATGCTGCAGGGAGCAGCTGTGCGCCTCGTGCATTGCGCTAACGGCAGTTTGTCGTACAGAGCGGCGGCTCGTATTTGGAAACAATGCTGGGCATGTGCTGTCTGTCTATCTCTTTGCGCGACTGGTATTCTCGACCCTCTTCCTCACCCTCATCCCCCATTGCTCGGGTAAGCAGCAGCATTCCATCCAGCCCGCACGCAGCGCTTGCAGAAGGGCGGAAGCGCCGCCACGACTCTTGAGAGAATGCCGCAGCAGCCCTTCCTGTACGATGCGCAGCCGCGCGAGAACTCGAGATTCCCGCCGGTTGTCTTTGACCCCAAGGCCGTGACCCGCGCCAGCTGGGAGCCGAAACCGAAGAAGCCCGTTCGAAAGGGACCCATGGTCTCGTTCGACCTCCATCCCGAGTATGTGTGATTGCTCCAGTGCGAGACCCAAGAGCCGCCGATTGATGTCCCGTTCAGCTACCATGTCATTCTACCGCATCGATTCGGCGATGATACTCCCTTGGATGGCAGAACCAAGGTCTACATCACTTGGCTACGGCGGTTCCAGCTTGTGCTGCGCGTGCTGCAGGTAGTCGCTGCCATTGGCGTGCTGGTTCTGTTCTCTCTATTTACGAATGTGGACGACACGACGGCTTGGGCAATGCGGATCCTGGTATGCATCCCGTCTCACAGGCGCCATTGCTCGTGTCAATGTCGCATCACGCAAGTACGATGTGAAATCTAACCTCATACCCTTCACAGCAAGCCATCACCATTGCGCATTCGAGCTACGCCATCTATAACCTCTCCCGAGACGCAAACGCCAGAGCGCCTGCATCCTCGGCGGCTTACCATTTCTGCGGAGTCTTGTTGGACTCGGGGGCCGTGGCTGGATATGTTCTCGGAGGCCTGACCGTCCATAAGAATGCGGCAGCCTGGGGTATCGCCCTCAGCAATAAGGCCCTGATGCCGACTTTCGTGTCGGCCGTGTTCTATACCGCGATTGGCGCGGGCAGCACTCATCTGATCTCGCTCTCAGCCAGCGCCTGGTTGGGTTGGCTGTTCCGCAAGATCAGCCTCATGCCTCCCGATATGAACCCCCTCGAAGACAACTTGACGGCCCGACCCCTGCACAAGCGAAACAAGTCGTCCGTATCGACCGTTACGAGCACCGGAGCCGAACCTGAAAAGCCGTGGTTGGAGAGCCGGCGCAATTCGGCGAGTGTCATCGACGGTGTCCCAGAACGCGTCTCGGTTTCCTTCATGCACACAAGGACCGAGTCGCGCGACTCTGCCATTAGCATGGGGTCCAGGATCAGTGCTTCCCCGGAACGGAAGAACGCTCCGCTGAGATACCTGCCGCGCGCTTCGAATCCGATCTCCTACGCTCAAGTCCCCTCCCGTGAGCCTGAGCCTCAACCTGAACCAAAGAGAGTGCCGCAGACGCTTAGCGAGGCCTTTGGAATCATCGGTGCGGGAATCCAGAAGCCGTCTATAGCACCGCGGCCAATGAAGCCTGGCCAACGGCCAGCCGCTGCGGTGCGCTCACATCGCTCTTCGGGCTCCAAGTCTTATGCGTCTCTGGCACAGCCCTACAGCATGGGGGGAATCTCGTCCGACTCGGAGGACGAGGAGGAGAGCACGCTGGGCGACATTCTCCGAAAGAAGGGCCGACTGGACGCGGCGCACCCTAAGCCCCTGACGTCGAACCCTATCCTGCCGAGGCCCCTGAACACTCGTCGTGGCCAGATCGATTTCGACGCCCAGTACGACACCGTCTCGGACGCGGAGCCGTCCAGCTGGTTGAGCCGCGACATTGACGACGGCGAGGACCAGCCGAACATGCGGTCCCAACGGTATCGCGACAGCTCGATCCAGCTTGACAGCCACTTTGACACGAAGCATTCCAGCGGCGAGGAAGATACGGCGGCGGCCCAGGGCGCACTCGGCGGTGGCCGCAAGGTGTCGTCTGGAAACGACTACTGGCCGAATTCGTCAGCTGCGTATGAGCGCCGGAAGGTCAGCGGCAAGATTGCGGAGGAGGGCCGAGCAGAAGGAGGCCGATCGTTTGGCGGGTATAGGTAAGAAGTATCTAGGCTATATGATATATGTGTGTATGTACGAGTGTATGTAAGGTACTATGTGAGAGAGGGCAGGGCAGGGCAGGGCAGGGGGGATAGTAGCAAGGCCGCGATATTGATACATAATGACTGATAATGCAAGCAAGCAAGCAATTGTGTTTCTTTTAAACATGCTCTTGTGACACAATGTTTCCATCGTCGTTTCACTGATACCTTGTCCATCTCATCCACCATCCACTTCCCTTACACCTCAAGTTACATACTCTTGTAAACAAGGTTCGAGCCTCTGATACTAGAAAATCGGATCACCGGCGCGCTCCGCAAATTTTAGCGGGAGGGGCTCCGGGAGCTCCGTTGAAGAAACTCCCCAGCCGCATGTACTCTGGACTAGCTCCTGGCCATTGTCCTGCTGCGTACCTACCTAGTATTCCCTCTTCTCCGGAGTACTCGGTACCGCCGGGGCTGGCAAAGCCACCTTGCCCATCCGGATCGCCCTGCTTGCAGCCACTCGGCGTCGAGGCTCTTGTGGGAGGCGTTTTGTCTTACCTGGCACCACTTGTTTTCTTCTTCTGTCTGGGTCTGTCTTTTTCTCTTCCCTTTGCTTCTCTTCTTTCTCTCGCGGTTCTTGCGGTTCTCGTTCGTCTTTCTTTCTTTCTTTCTTTCATCTTCTTCTTCCTCGCCCAATTGGCGTTCCGGTGCTGGTGATTTTGCAGCCATGGCGAGCTCACTGCCTCTTCCCACCATCGACAGGCCCTTCGGCATCCACCTGTGGCCGCTCTTCAGCAAGGCGTTTGAATATGTGGCCGGCTATCCGGCCGAGGAGTTCGACTTTGTCGTCGGCAAGACACCCATGTCCACGCTGAGGGACACGTCCATCTTTGTCGCCATCTACTACCTCGTCATCTTTGGTGGCCGCGAGCTGATGCGGAACCGGGAGCCGTTCAAGCTCAAGACGCTCTTTCTGATACACAATTTCGTCCTCACGGCTGTCAGCGCGGCGCTTCTGGCGCTGTTCATTGAGCAGTTGCTGCCTACGATTGCTCGGCGTGGGATTCTCTTTGCCGTTTGCGATGCTAACGGTGGATGGACGCAGCCGCTTATCGTGCTGTATTATGTATGTTTTTTTTTTTTTCTTTCTTTCTGCTGGTTGTATCGAAGGAAGGGCTGTGACTTGGTGGTGCTAACCATCATCATAGATGACCTATCTCACCAAGTATCTCGAGCTCTTGGACACGGTTTTCCTCTTCCTCAAGAAGAAGCCCCTGACATTCCTTCACTGCTATCACCACGGCGCAACCGCACTGCTTTGCTATACGCAGCTGATCGGCAGCACATCCGTCCAATGGGTTCCCATCACCCTCAACCTCCTCGTCCACGTCGTCATGTACTGGTACTACTTCCAGAGCGCTCGCGGCGTGCGCATCTGGTGGAAGGAGTGGGTGACTCGCCTGCAAATCATCCAGTTCGTCATCGACCTCGGCTTCGTCTACTTTGCGTCTTACACGTACTTTGCGTCCACCTACTGGCCGTGGATGCCCAACTGGGGGAGCTGCGCCGGCAAGGAGTTTGCCGCCTATTCCGGCATCGTCATTCTCAGCTCGTACCTCGTCCTCTTCATCTCCTTTTATTTTGCGACGTATGCAAACAAGGGAAGCAAGACTGGCGGCAAGAAGTCGCTGCGCGAGGCTTCAAAGGCGGCGGCTTCGGCCTCTGGCGCCTTCGTGGATGCTGCCAACGGTCACCGCGATGCTGCTCCTAATGGCTCTTCAGTTCGTTCTCGGAGGGCCAAAAACTAATGAGCGCTATTACAACGAACTGATCATATCTCTGAATGAACTGAGAAGCGCAAACACTGCGTTGGTGTGGAAAGGCATGGTTCTTTGGACAAGTGCTGCAATCTTTGAAAAGGATAATACGGGTTAAAAAATAAAGGGGAAAAGATGTACTGGGAGCATTAGATGAATCTCATGGAAGGAGGTTGAAAGGAAACTCGAGCGCAGACGGAGTCGTAGAGACCCCCATCTCATTCTTCCGTCTCGTTACCTGTCTGTTCAATCTTCTCGCCATCTGCGTCAATTTAGTATACATAATATATATAGATTAGAACGAATGAGTTACGACACAAAATAGTATGTCAAGGCTACATGGACCTTGTCACCAATATCATTACAAGTTATACAGAGTGTCAGCATAGATATACCAGTATTCTAGCCAAGAAATGTCCGTCTATTGCTTCTCTTCGCCGCCGTCTTTGGCCTCAATAGGCTCGGGGGCCTCTTCACCCAGAATCTCATTCCGCAAGTCTGGCAAGAACCTATTGACTCTCTCCCACGTCTCATCCCAGAGCTTTTTTCTGGATGGGTCTTTGTCAGGAGATACCAGATAGCCACTCGTGGCCATGAACAGAACAACATTTTTCAGATTTTCTCGTACCGCTTCCGCCTGCAAAATAGAGAGGTTAGCTCGTCCAACGGGTTCTCGACACGCCACAAGCGTTCATCGGCAAAGGCAAAGGCGGAAAGGGGGAGGAACTTACCAAACTGTCACCTTGTCCACTGTTCATCAGGCGATCCATGATCTCAATAATCTTGATCCACAGGTCCAGCATGCCATCCCACTCAGTCAGAAGCACCATGTACTGCAAGAAGACTTTGCAGAGGAGGGATGCCACTTGAACGCGCATTTCGCTCATTCCATCCCGATCGGATGAGTAGACTTCCGGCTTCAGAAGTCTGAAGATCAACGGAAACAAGACTTTGCTGAATATTGCTGTCCATTCCTTTGGATCGCTGCAGGTGAGCTCGGGTGATAGCAGAGTCCGTTGCAGGGCAGAGAATGCCAGCTGCCGAACATCGCGACAGGAATTGGTGCACTGCGTCGTCAGTGCTTGCAGGATGGGCAACCAATAGGCCGACCACGCTGATGAAACATGTTAGCATATCAAGCCATACAGTGAGAAACTGGCCATGGAAGACGCACCCTCGCTACTCTCTAGATGAGACTGCTGCATAAGCTGTGGGATCCGAGCCGTCATGCCGTACAAGGTATTGACCGCCTGGCAGCCTCTTGCTGTTACCTGGGCATCACTGTCCGATGTGTTAGTTGAAAATCTGCTCCAAGGATATGGGTCGCAGACTTACACCTTCTTCCTCGTTGCTTCGGGCGACTTGGAATCGCGGGTAGCAAGAGGATCGGCCGCTGATGCGAAATGATTCAGGAGTGAAATCGCTGCCTCGTAGTTGTCGGCCATAATCGCCGGGGGCGTCCCAGTAGTGCTTCTCTCTAGAATGTCGAAGATTTGAGCCGCGGCATTGGCGTCTCCCGCCACCACTCGTAAGATGACCCAGAAATCAGGAGAGGTCATCATCTCGCTCCTTAGAGGCCCGGGGTCCCGCGTGCAGATCGACAGACCAGACAGTATGATATCCGCTGTCTTTAGCAGCAGGTCCTGCGGTAAGCTGGAGATGGTATGGAGGAAGATGGGAACGTTGACGAAATCATGGTCCTTTCGTTCCAAGTTAGGCAGAGGCAACACTTCGGTATACGTAGGATGACATACATAGCCTGATTTCAAAATCATAAGACCATAAAACGCCGCCCGCGAGACGGTAATACCGTGCCACTGGCTGTGGTCACGCAAAACGCCATGAATAGCATCGAGGACTTGCTTTGCCGTAGTTGGAGAGGATGCACCATCTCGAATGGTCAAGACAGTACAAAGCTCAAGGATAAAGGGAGTGCTAGGGTCGTAACTCGGTAGGCCCGTTGACGGGCTCGGCCCATTAGGGGGTACAACCGTCACATTATCTTGTTTTACCCCGATGACAGCCGAGTGGTCACTCTCCGGCAGTTGTTCCAGCAATGCCTGGATCAATATGTCGATGCGTGCTAGGGGCAATTTGCTACATTGAGTTAGCAAAAGTTGGACAAACGGTTTTACAGGATGGCCAGTTATAACACAGAAGAGAAGAAAAGCCTTCAATGAAACTCACGAGATATTGTTCAAGACTTTGTCAATATGACAGGAATTGATGCAGTCAACAGTACATAATGTACTTTCGAGTTCCTCGTCCGACGGCTCTGGAGGATCGTCCGCGGCATAGCTGGAGATGTATGATGTGAATGCGGAGAAAAACCCAACATCGTTAGACCTAGCTGCCCTATCGATGACTTGTGAGGGAGTCTGTAGGGGAATGGCTGGGATTGGTAGAGTTGGGAGATCAGTTGAGGATAACGGAGGTGCTAGGGAATTCAAAAAGAGATGAACCCATATCTGAATAATCTTTGCAGAGTTAGCTTGACGTGACAATGCAGATATTCCGATCGAATACTGACATGTTTCCACCCATTTTGAATAAGAGCTTCGCTGCCATTGACAACCCGGAATAGCACAAGAACTGCGAGCTGCGCACGGAAGTCTCTGCCTAGTTTCACAGCCAGCTCACTGACCATGACACTGCCGTCGCCAACTTGTACCTCGGTATTCAGAGATGTGTTGAACGGCACGCGAGTAGCCAATGTGGTGATGCGACTGAGGCAGTAAACAATCTGATCAAGTGCTTCGACATTGCCATATTTGGTTGCAATGCGAGCGCACTCATCGAACCCGGTAACAATCCTGGCGAAAACGGCATCGTCGGTAGCAGACATGAAGACATACGACAGAGCTGCGACGACCGGCTTCCAGGTTGCAGCAAACATGTCGCCATCATAGAGATTGGTGTCGCAGGCAAAGAGGTTGCCAGCCGTCTCGGATTTGAGGAGAAGCTCTCGCCAGGCGTAATCGAAAGCGTGCTGGTTATCATGCTCATCTGGCAAGATGATTTCGTTCGATTTGATAGTCTCGTAGATGTCTCTTAAATACTCGGGCGAGAAATCTTTACCATTGTTCTGCCCTCGCAAGTTTCTAGAGAAGTCGTTGAGCGTCATCCTCTTGATGTCCTTCACATTCGGGTTGTGTTGGTCAGTGTTCAGGATGATGATGGCATATGTCAAGATGAAAACAGCGTCCTTGTTTGCCACCTCTTCGGACAGCGTGTTGCAGTCACAGTACTTCTCCGAGAATGACTCGACTACCGACGCAATTAGGGGCGCTTCACCAGGCAGCCGGAATGACTCCAGCAGCAGCCTCAAGGCTTGGTCAATTCGTTTGCCGGAAAAATCAAACAGATCCATGAAGGCCGCCAAGATGGCTTCATTCCCCTTTTTGGATAAGAAATCTCCCAGCACGGCCTTTGATATCCGGGATGTGCCTTTCAGAAACTTGGCCACCGAAACGGGATCGTTGATGTCGGTAATAATGTTGTTTGCTTCCAGATAGCTCAACCCCAACTTTGGCTTCTCGTTGAACTTGCTCGTCCCGATGATGATCTTTCGTTTTCTTCGTCTCTTCTCTCTCAGCTCTTCAGGGTCCGGACAGTTTTCGTATACAGGCTCATCATTCAACCTCTCAGCCATGAACTGGATGAATCGAAGGAGTGCATCCAGGCAGAGGGGCGGCACGCTTGTAGTACTCCATGTAGCTGAGTCCGGCAAGGCGTTGCGCGCAAGTAGCCCAATGACGTCTTCACACAGGTCCGACCTGTCTTCGTCACAGTCATAGTTGACAAACAACTCAGTAGCAAATGTTGGCATCCTCGAAAGAACGCCGAGGGCCTCCACCATGGCCTGCCTAGCGTCGGGCTTGCGCGCTCCTCCCTCCAAGCCAAGTTTTTGTCGGTCCTTGACAGGAACAGGAGTTGCCCGTCCGCTGTTGGTCTGTGACGGTGGCGGCTTGACCAGCTTCGGTGTCTCTGGTATGCCAGCGTACAACGATGGATCGATTCCAGGTTCGCGAGGGATAGGAATCGTTGGGTGAAGGCACGCTACTAGATAGGATAAGTAAAGTTCCTGCTGGAGTTTGAGGACGCCCCTGCAGGTCGCAAGCAGAGTGCCGGTAACCGTTAGCGATTCTTGCAGAATGGCCATGTTATCAGACCGCACAAGCTGGAAAAGATAGCAGCAGAGCTGATCCTTGGCAATGGTTGCCAAAGCAGGGTGACGGGCGATGAATGAGCCGGACACTTCTAATGCCACATGTATGATCCTCAAAGCCACCACTCTCATTGTGTCTGTATGATGGCGATCATTGGGATCCAGGAAGTTGACCAGAACTCGGAACAGCTCTCTGACGGATGGCAGCGAGTAGGGCCGGAGATCCAGGGACTCTGTGTCGCTTTCCGCATTGTCTTCGTTGTCGGGGTTGGAGAGAGGTCCCTCGTCAGCCTTCTCAGCGTCACCGCGTTCCTCCTCCGCCTTCTCAACGTCGCCGCTGTGAGGACCTCCCAGAGGAGAACCGTCTCGAGTAGTTGCGGGCACTATGGGCTCTGCAACAGCACTGCCGGCGGTCGTGTCCATCTTGACATTTTCCATGTGTTGGTCAGCCAGCTGGTCCATGACCGAAGAATCATCGCCAGCCTCGACCTCGATATGTTTGATATCCTCGAATATGATCTGGCACATCCGGACCAGAACAGCTTCGGCAGTCCTCCGCAGGACAGGCGAGAATCTAGGTTGAGAGCATATAGCCAATCCACGTCCCATCATGTCGCAAACGCTCTCGTCGCTTAATATGTAGCCACCCGGTCCAGACATCATATCCTCCATCAAGTTGAGGATCATGAGCAGCACGACTTCGCCCTGCGCTGAATCACTGATATCGAATTGACAGTGCGTAACAGCAGCCGAGAGTGATTGCATAGCCAGTGCAAATCGCGGGGATTCGGGAGATATGAATCCATAGGCCAAGAATTTCCTCAATGCGCCCAGAGCCAAGATCGTAATCGGTGCTGCAGTTCCCTTCTCCTGGATCACAAAGAGAAAGGGTGCCAGTAGCGTCAGGGCATCGAATGAATGAATATCTACGTATCATTAGCTTACAGCAAGTGACAAGCTGAACTAGGTACACACTCTGAACTCCGGTGATCTCGTGGCGAAGGTTGCTGAAGCCTGTGATCATGGGGCTATCCTGCAAGCCCTTTGCCCTCTGCCCCTGAAAGCTCCAGCGGCTGCTGGCCACTTCATCGTGGTCACTGTCCCTAAAGGGCCCTCCTCCAACACCTCGTTCCCGTGGTTTAGGGGATCCGAACTGTATCGTATTGGGGTTTCCGCCAAGTATGGCAGACACGGAGAAGTGCGAAGAGCGCGCATGCTTTTGAATCGCCGACGTGATGGCTATGCATTCGGAGATGACCAGTGAAACAGGATCCACGGCCACGGACACAGGACGGCTTCGGTATTGCATCCTCGGGATTTCATGGTGGAGTGACGGCGAGGCAGGAGGCACGCCGCTGCGCACAGGTGAAGGGGGCGCCATCTTCGCAATGCATTGGCTATTTGCCAATTGAGGTCTCGCTGTGATCAGAACATTCGCAGGAAAAGGACTGTTAGAAGGCTGTGTCCACGGAGTCGGCCTCGTCTATGGCAAGAAACAAGACGCAAGCCAAGGACAGCAAGACAGCTTCCTCCCAAAGTTGCACCAGGGACAGGTATGCTGTCATTACAGCTTGCATCCACTTGGAGGTGGTGCATCTTGGAGCACGAACCAGGGACGCGCTTAGTCACACTATCATGCACAGTACCACCTGCCTTACCCATGCAACACGCAGAAAGAGGGTCGTACTTATCACATGAAGGTGTATCATGATTAGATAGGTCGTCGCTCAACAATCGCATCACCGCTTGAGGTACTTAGAGAATTATAGTCAGTAAAAGAAGAAAATTATCAAACACTGAAGCTCTTGACAAAGAAAGATATTGATTCGATACTACTTGTTTCACAGTATATCGATTTTTATCGTATAAGAACTGAATAGTAAATGTAAGAGAAGAATCAAGGAGCTAATTTCATGACTAATCTGGGATGGGCATTAGGTTATTACCCAATCAGGACTTCTTACCGTGTCCTCTGCCTTTTCTTATACTCCGTACTGTGCCAACTCGCTACTGGCGTTGCCTGTCGCGTTAAAAATACAGACACCAAGCCAACTCCTCCAACCTTTGCTGCGCGTCATCCCGTCAGGCCGGATCTCCGTCTCCAATCCTCTTTTCGAACTTATTCAATCGAGACGCGTAGCAATGGATGACTCTACAGCATTTGACTCTCCGGGAGCCGCGGCATCGCCGGCGGCCAACCCTGCCCTCTCGCAGCCACCGTCGCAATCCAATGTCAAAAGCCAAGATTCTCAAGGTCAGCCATCACCAATTGGCTTCCAATGGATTATACTTGTCTAACGATGCCGACAGACGTGCATATGTCTGAAGAATCCTCAAGCGCAGAGCCGATCACTCAGGGCGGCGAAAGCCCTGCAGCTGGCGCGGCGGTGGACGCAAGCGATGTGCCGAGCGACTCGGCTGCGCCCAACACTGCCGGCCGTCTCGATGAAGAGATGGGCGATGTGTCTGAGGAGAAGCCAGGACTTCCTGCTGGCTCAAACGATGCCGCCACAGCCTCAAACGGCGGGGTAGAAACCAAATCGAAGGAGGCCTTTGAATCGGCCGCCAGGGATCATCTCATCTCTCAGACGCATGCGATCGTGCTGCCGAGCTACAGTACCTGGTTCGACATGAACAGCATCCACGACATCGAGCGCAAAGCGATGGCGGAATTCTTCAACAACCGCAATCGAAGCAAGACTCCGGCTGTCTACAAAGACTATCGCGATTTCATGATCAACACGTATCGACTGAACCCGGTTGAATATCTGACGATGACAGCCTGCCGTCGCAATCTTGCCGGCGACGTTTGCGCCATCATGCGCGTTCATGCGTTCCTCGAACAATGGGGCCTAATCAACTACCAGGTATATTCTCAGCATATGACGGAGCCTTCTGTCACACGCACGCCGCTGACACTCTTCAATAGGTTGATGCCGATCAGCGACCGTCGCATGTTGGTCCGCCGTTCACAGGGCACTTCAAGATTATATGTGACACACCGCGGGGACTTCAGCCCTGGCAGCCTGCTGCAGACCCTGTGGTTTTGGAAGGCAAGAAGAATCGCGACACCGATGAAAAGGCTAATGCTTCAGTCCCCAGCAAGGGTGATCTGAACTTGGGGATCGGTCGCAACATCTATGAGGCCAGTGCTAAAGGGACGCCCATCACAAAGTCAGAAAGCCAACGGAATGGCGATGACGCTTCCATCGAAGAAGCCGCCAAGGTCCCAGTGGCCAAGGTCAACTGTCACCAGTGCGGTAACGATTGCACTAGGATATACTACCACAGCTCCCAGTCGGATGCCAGGGGTAAAGCGAAGTTCGATCTCTGCCCCAACTGCTTCACCGAGGGCCGGTTGCCTGCGAACCACAGTTCCAGCATGTACTCCAAAGTGGAAAACCCGACGTACACATCCGTCCTCGACCGAGATGCACCGTGGACCGACGCCGAAATCCTACGCCTTCTCGAAGGCCTCGAGCGGTTCGATGACGACTGGGGAGAGATTGCGGATCACGTCGGTACTCGAACGAGGGAAGAATGTGTGCTGCAGTTCCTCCAGTTGGACATTGAAGAGAAGTACCTTGATTCGGAGGCGCCTGTGAACAATCCTACGGGCTTATCCATGCTGGGCAGTCAGCACGGCCACCTGCCTTTCAGCCAGGTAGACAACCCTGTCATGTCCGTCGTGGGCTTCCTGGCAAGCCTGGCAGACCCAGCCAGCACTGCTGCCGCGGCAAACAAGTCAGCAGATGAGCTCAAGCGCAACCTGCGAAAGCAGCTTGACGGTGCGGACAAGGCAAGCAACACCGCGGCGGGGGAGAAGAAGGACAACGAGGTCGACAAGGCAGAATCCATGGATGTGGATTTCCGACAGACAGTCACGACCACGACTACTACGACAACATCGACCACCAAGACATCGCTTGCGTCCATTCCCTTGGCATCTATCGGTGCTCGCGGAGCCGTGTTCGCATCACATGAAGAGCGAGAGATGACGAGACTGGTTGCAGCGGCCTCCAACGTAATGCTCCAAAAGCTCCAAATGAAGCTCAAGTACTTTGATGAGATGGAAGAACTGCTGCGAGAGGAGCGAAGAGAACTGGAACGTGGCAGGCAGCAGCTATTCTTGGACAGACTGGCCTTCAAGAGACAGGTTCAGGCCATTCAAGACACGTTGAATGCGGCGGCTGAAGTAGGCGGAGTTCAGGGTGCGCGAATGGCCCAGGACATCAATATGGACGGCGAGAAGCTGGGGTTCCAACCCGTTCTGGAGGGTCAGTCGATGTTGCCACCGAGCAGCAGCAGTCAGGTCAAGACATTTGAAGCATAGAGGTCTCTTTGAGTCTTGCAGGGCCGGGTTGATTGGCCCTGGGAGCCACCACGGGTGCTGATATTCTGGGAGGCCTTGGAGTTGGAGAGCTTGGAAAGGAAGCAAAATAGGCACTTGCTGACTTGATAATGTATGGTCTGGGGAGTTTGGGATATTATGCTGCGAAAGAGGATCATTAACCTCGTTAACTTTTTCCCTGGACGGGTGTATCAGTACGGCTACTAGTAAGGTATGTAATTCAATGATTTATTGAGTTTACCATCGTATCTTGTGCTCTATCGTGTGCATCGCTGCCATTGCCGATCTAACCCGCTCATTGTAATGCTCATAAATCAGAATAAACGTCTTCACGCGCTGTCTGTGTCAAGTGCTGCCTTTGTACGAAGTACCGCCTCTCACATCTCGGCACTGCGTGTACCTCGCGCCAACGCTACGCAACCGCGGCCCATAAGCTCCACGTCGACAGCTTCTCGCCCCACTGTCCATCACCTCTGACGACGGCAGCTTCTCGTGACAATACTTTCTACTACTACCTACCTACTAAAGTTACCCTCTTTGGAAGACAAGACCCCTCAATCACCGAGCTCTGGAAGCATCTCGCGACAGTAGCGCATCATTCGAAGCCCTCTCCCCAGTCGCCTACAATCCCAATGTCAAGTGCTAGGGGCCAATACCGCCGCGCCTCGCTGGAGGACGACGATCTGATTGATCCAGATGATGGTAGGAACCATTTCCGAGCTCCTGTGAACGTGAGCGCGAAGCTGATGCACCAGATGCAGCGGACCTCAACGACTTCGACGACCCTCTCGCTCCGCAGGCGTCTCGGCAGCCGCTCACCAACACCATTGCCTCTGGGGCGTCGGCGTCGGGACCGCTGGACCAGGGCTTTCTCACCGCGCGCATACCTGGAGACGACCGAAGGGCACCTCAGAACACCATTGATGAAACCGTATGGGAGACGCTACGCCGCGACCTATTGGCTGTGTGGGACAAGCTCAAGGAAGTGCTGTACCCGCGATACCTTTTGGGTGGTACCATGTTCGATTCTGAAGGCGGTCTCCGCGGTGCATACTCCAACATTCGCGGCGCCGGCCTCACGGGCACAAGAGAGGAGCTCACCGGTCTTGCCAGCCGGGTCATAGATGCCGAGGCTCTGCTGCAGAGCAACATGAGCCCTGGACTCAGAGACTGGGATCTATGGGGGCCTCTGATCTTCTGCTTGCTGCTCAGCCTGCTGCTCAGCTTCACGGCCCGAGCTGATCAGAAAGATGCCGTCTTTAGCGGCGTCTTTGCGACCATATGGCTGGGTGAGGCGATTGTCACTCTTCAAATCAAGCTCTTGGGCGGCAACATGTAAGTCAACAGAACGCGAGAGCCATACGCCATTCTACGTCCAGCAGCAGTCGCCTTGCTAACAAACAGCCACAGCTCTTTTGCCCAAAGCATTTGCATTATTGGCTACACGTTGTTTCCGTTAGTAATTGCCGCTCTCCTGTCAGCCCTCAGGCTTCACTGGATCGCACGGATACCGGTCTATCTTTGCCTCATTGCGTGGTCCCTTGCTGCTGGCGTCAGCATCCTCGGCGGTAGCGGAGTGGTCAAGAACCGTGTGGCCATTGCCGTTTATCCTCTTCTTGTGTTTTACCTGGGGCTAGGATGTCTTTGCTTCATCAGCTAAGAGCCGCCGTATGCGACGTCTTTGGGCGGTGCCGTGCCAAGTTCTGCCTTTGTAACGCGAGGGGATACGTGTAATGAATGAAAAGCATCATCTAAGAATAGAGCGGCCTCTTGAGAGACATGAGTGCTTTTGGTAGATTCGGGCGATTGATATGCGCAATCAATTGCATGCATGCGACCAGCCTACTCCATAAACCTTATACCAAGCAACGACATACAGAAACCTCCCGTATTCATTTATTCAGTGTACCTACGCAGTGCAGCTAGCTTATGTCCAAGCATGCAAGTATACGAACTCAGTAGTATCCTGCTAGCTAGACTGGTGCCAGGTTTGACTCTTCGCAGGCTGGTCAATGGCTTACTGTTACCATGTGGCCCAGGCACTGGAGATTCCTACTCTGGCTATACTATCACAAGCTATTACCACAAACTACTACTACCAGGTAGACAAGGTTTCATGTTGGTGCTTGTGCTTGTAAAGACCCATTTTCGGAAACAGTCCGTACTGAATAGGGGAGATATCGCCATATAATGGCTGATATATAGGTAAGGTAGGAAACACGTAGTGATATAGGAGCAGATATAGTACCTATACCGTATGCAAGGCACCTCGATGCGAACCTGAGTGTCTGCCCGGCCGTTTAATTGCTACCCCTCTTCTCCCTTCGGCGGGACGGTGGGGAAGTAGATGTTAGTAGCAATCGTGCCCTTTCCGTGCTTCGTGCCGGCTTGTAATGTGCTACGGTACTGTCCGAGTACCTCGAGCTCCCTTCAGTTGTCCTGCGTTCCCAAGCCTGTGCTCTGGGATCCAGAAGATAATACTCGTGCTACTGCCAGGACCCATGTCTGTGATTGGGCGCTTGGCCAGCTGAAGTTGACCACCTCCAACTATCGGCACAAAATTGCTGCAGCGCGACAAGCACCACGCAGACGAGCAAAGGCAAACAGTGGTCATCGTGCGAGCCTGTGCCCTTGTTTCGACTGGTCCTGTGCTCTTCTGCTCCTCCTCAGCCATATTTCGCCGTCCTTGACTTGGTCCGCTGCTCAGGGTCGCGCGGTTATGCGCGAGCAGCCGTCGCTGTGTTAATCCAGGCCGCAGATCTACATACAGTACTGGACAGTCCGACATCCTCCAGCCTCATCTTGCGCGATCGACACAATCCACCTTCTACCAAGCCAGCCTTGCACGCAACATGGCCGACAGCTCGCAAGCACCGGCGAGCCCCAAGGACGAGCGAGGCTACCCAGAAGCAGGCGAGGATGCCGAGACGCGCGCCGCTCGCCGGGAACTGAAACAGTCGTCCATATCGGACCCTCCTGCTGCCGCTGGCCATCTCGCCTCCCGGCCTGTCGACGACGATGCGGCACGTCCCGAGACCCCCGCCGAGCATGCATCCGACAGCGCCGACGAGAGACTCAAGGAACAGATGCCCTCTCCGAAGAAGAAGCGCGCACACGACCAGCTGGACGGAAGCATAGACGTGGAGCAAAACGACGCCAACAGCGTTACATCCACTGAATCAACCAGAGATCGCGCTTCCCGGTTAGAGCCAGAGAAGAAAAGGCATCGTGAGGAGGACTCATCAAGAGTGGTCTCGGTTTGTGATGCCCCCCCATTCCATGCTACCCGTTCACTGTGTGTCGGCCCTATCTAATGAGCAGACAAAGAACTCCTCAGCGGCGGACACGCAACCCGTCACCGAAGATGCGGCAGACACCAAGACCTCTCCAGCAAAGCCTATGCCCCAAACGTCGTCCGCTGCGTTTTCGGCTTCAGGATTTGGCAAGCTCGCTGCCGGATCATCCCCCTTCGCGAGCCTGAGCACGGCCCAGAGCAGCATTTTTTCTCCTTCAATTGGCTCCTCCGCCCTTTCATCAACCCCCAGTTTGGGTGCGCCAGCATCACAGCCCGCGTCGTCTGCCTCCATGCCAAAGTTGACCTTCGGAAGTGCCAACAGTGCTTCACCATTCGCCAGCCTTTCTTCAGGATTCGGCGGCGCCACCCTCGGGTCTCCCTTTTCGGCCGGTAAAAGCCTTAGTAGCTTTGCGTCGCCCTCGGCCAGACCTCTTCAAAGTGAAAAGCCTGCAAAGCCTTTTGGGGCTCCGGAGAGCGATGTGGATGATGAGGATGATGAAGACGCCGACCGCGATGGCGAATCCGAATCAGACGAACAGGAGCGAGCCGCTTCGCCTGAAAGGGAACCAGAGGAGAAGAAGCGGTTCAAACTACACAAGGGTGAGACGGTATTCCATGCGACAGCTATGATTATATACGGGTGGCCTTATTCGGCTCTTCTTTTGATGCAGGATTGCTAACTCGGCATCGTGTCACAGTCGAAGTTGACGATGGTGAGGCAGGCGAAGCCACTCTGCTATCCGTCAGGGCGAAAATGTTTTACCACGACAAAGACGCCGGCTGGAAGGAACGAGGTGGCGGCATGCTGAAAATCAATGTTCCGGAAGCCTGTATCGAGTTTGATGAAACTGGAGCACCTATTCCTGGCTCCTTTGATGCATCCGGCCTTGAAGCTGGCGAGGGGGATGATACCAAGGCGCAAGGACATAAGGTGGTTCGTCTTCTCATGCGCCAAGACCAGACACATCGTGTGATTCTCAACACAGCCATCCTCCCTGCGATGACGTTCCAGGAAAAGGCATCGCTGAAGACTGTCGCGATCGTGTTTACGGCATTTGAGGGCGAACCGGCGAAGCCTGTGAGCATCACTATGAGAGTAAGTCTTGGCTGGGTAGTCATCATACTGGCGGATTCTCTCATCCCTTAGCCCCCTGCTAACAGGTCTCTGCCCGATAGATGTCAGCAGCAAGCGCCAAGAGCTTCCTAAGTGAAGTCAACAGCATTCAGAAAGAACTCCGAGGCAACTAGAGCCCGTCAAGAGACGCTGAGGCTCAAAGGGTCCAACGACGGACTGTTGATACAACGACGAGTGTGGGTGTGGGTGATTCAAGCCGCGCTTGGCCATGCCCATAGCTATGCTGCCTAGGAATAGGCACAGCAACGCGCAGGTCCAGACTTCCCATCCACGCTATGGCCTGGCAAACCCGCATCATCGTCACGATGCAAGCTTAGGTACGTTTCATGTGACTCAGCGTTGCATAGAACAGGAATTGATGGGGAGACGACGGTCAGGCACCTGTGTAAAGTACTTCTGGAATACTCTAGACATGTCACTTGGGACGAAGCGCCCAATATAGTATGTAGTAATGCCACTGCCATCTAGGCAAGGAATATGTTCTTCAAATAGAGACCATCATAGTCAAAATACCGAGTATCCGCATGTTCAACAAGATGCAGCATCTGAGTAAACGAGCTGCGAGTTGCGTTGCTGGTGGTGGAACACGTGATCATGCGTTAGTTTCGCGATTCCTAGATCTACCTCCAGCGTCCAGACTTGCTAGATCGCGAACCGCATACATACACTGCTTACGCCGCAGATCAGATCTCAGTCTGCTGGAATTCCTCGTTCTCGTGCATAGGGTATTGACCCGGTGCCCTTGAAACAAGACTGGTGTCGATCAAGTTGAATGGTCCGTGTCTGTCTCAACTTCTGTCACAGCCCTGCATGCACGCAGATCTTGCCTGGACCCTTCAATCCAATGGCATGAATAATAGGATTCGTCGGCTGAGGACCCTGGAGTCGCGAAGCATTCCCTTGTCCTAGCTATGGACAACAATACAGAAACTGCCCCGGCGGGGAGCGAGTTGGGACGCCAGGATTTACGGAAGCGCGTCCATGAGGAGGATCCCCCGGGAGGCGAAGATGGTCGGCAAGCTATCCCAACCACCGTTCCGGAGAAAAGACCCAGGAAAAAACGGCGAGAGAGCAGTCAAAAGCAGCATGATCAGATAGATGGCTCAGATAGTTCTGTTCCGTCATCTATTCCTTGGACCGACAGTCTGCAAGCCCTCGAGAGAGCGCATCGAGCATTGAACCTGGTCTACACCTTCTGCTCCACGCGCAAGCATGTCTTGACGACGTTTGAGACCCTCCGACCCGCTGTCGAGTCGCACATCAAGAAAGAGCTGACTGTCCAGGATGTCGCTCAAATGGTTGCTCTCCGTCCTGAAGCTTTGAAGTTCGAGTACGTCAATGAGCTTATGCTACAGCTCAACGTGAGAGGGGCACAGAGGGATGATGTCTTCAAGTCGTCACAGTCTTCCATGTCCCAGACGCCGGCTCACGATGCTTCCGTTGGCGGGTTGACTGGGAACGAGCGCCTGGGCGATGATGCGAACGACAAGGCTGCCATGAACGGGCGCCAGGTTTTGTACCTGGAGTTCATTGACGGAGATCTGAAGCGACAAGTGGCGGATAAAGCGACGGGAGAAGCGACGCGGCCAACCCAAAAGCTCAGGAAAGAGAAGCTAAAAATGCCAGTATACGGCCAAAAACAGATGACGCAGCTGATTGAGCGGCGCAACCAGAAGTTTGCCAATGCCATCAACGACTTTCTCAGCAAGTGCTTGGTCGACAGCGAGGATCCAGACAGAGTCCTTCTTGAGAAAGCCCAATTTTTCATCCCAAAATTGACGGTGAACGATGACGTTGCACTCAGGCGCACGGCGAGTACTATTCCGGATGTCATTCCTCAGGAGCGACAGAGTATATCAGAGATTGTGAATCTCATCAAAGAAAGCTCATGGTACTCCGGCCAAATTGTGCCTGATGGTCACAGAGTATTCGAGCCACAGAGTCCGGCCTATGGGAGTCTCAACTTTCTACTTTCCCAGGATCTGGTGAATGCTCTATATAACGCTAAACGAATCACTCAGTTTTACACGCATCAAGCAGAGGCTCTGAATAGGCTACACGAAGGGCAAAATATCGTGATATCCACCTCAACCAGCTCTGGGAAATCACTCGTCTATCAATTACCCGTGTTACATGCCTTGGAGCAGGATTTGGAATCAAGGGCCTTGTATATCTTCCCAACCAAGGCACTGGCTCAGGACCAAAAACGCAGTCTCCGCGATATCTTGACCTACATGCCAAGCCTTGAGCATGTCTTGGTAGAAACTTTTGACGGAGATACCCCCTTGAACCTTCGAGATGCCATTCGAGAAGAAGCAAGAATCATTTTTACAAACCCCGATATGCTTCACCTCACTATTCTCCCTCAGGAGCAGAGGTGGAGGACGTTTCTCAAGAACCTCAAGTTTGTCGTTGGTGAGTTCGTTCACTGACCGGGCGAATTACCTCATTGACTAACATTCCCAGTTGATGAGCTTCATTACTACAATGGCCAGCTCGGATCCCACGTTGCCTTCATCATGCGAAGACTGCGACGGATATGCGCTGCAGTAGGAAATCGGCACGTTCAGTTTATTTCCTGCTCTGCCACGGTGGCCAATCCTGAGGAGCACTTCAAGTTGATATTTGGTGTGTCGGATGTATGTTTGATCGATTACGACGGCTCGCCATCCGGCAGAAAAGAGTTTCTTTGCTGGAACACACCATTCAAGGAACCTGGGGATCCCGCGAGCGGACGTGGCAGCGCCAAGTTTGAATGTGCTCGTCTATTTTGCGCTCTCCTGCTCAGGGGCGTCAGGATCATTGCTTTCTGCAGAGTTCGCGCACAATGCGAGGCGTTGACCAACGCCATAAAGCAGGAGTTACATGAACTTGGTCGTCCAGAATGCACCAATCTCGTCATGGGCTATAGGGGCGGATATACGGCCCGAGACCGCCGAAAAATCGAGACCGAAATGTTCCAAGGCAAGTTGCTCGGTATCGTGGCGACTACGGCGCTTGAGCTCGGGATTGATATCGGCAGTCTCGATTGTGTCCTCACATGGGGTTTCCCTTACACAATCGCGAATCTACGGCAGCAAAGTGGGAGAGCAGGACGGCGAACCAAGGATTCACTGTCGATTCTCGTAGGCGATAGCTTTCCCACTGACCAGCATTACATGAACAACCCCGACGAGCTTTTCTCAAAACCCAACTGTGAGTTGCGTGTGGACTTGGACGATATGCTCATTCGCGAGGGTCATATTCAATGCGCAGCATACGAAATGCCTATTCGGCAAGAGGAAGATATGCAATTTTTTGGCCAAGATCTGCCTCAGATTTGTCGGGAGCGGTTGGTCAAAGACGACGCGGGATTCTTTCACTGCCACGACCGCTTTCGCCCAAACCCAGCCCAATATATCGCCATCCGAGACGCAGAAGATGACCACTTTGCAATCATTGATATCACGAATGGAAGAAACGAGGTTCTGGAGGAGCTCGAGGCGTCGAGGGCGACTTTTACCATCTACGACGGTGCCATATTCCTCCATCAGGGCAACACGTATCTTATCCGCGATTTTCTCCCAGACCAAAGCATGGCCAAAGTCGAGAGGGTCAACGTTGAATGGACCACGATGTCGCGAGACTTTACCGATATTGATCCTGTGGAAATCGAGGCCATTCGTACGATTTCTGGGTCGTCCTGTCACGCTTACTATGGGGGCATCAAGATCCAACAGAACGTGTTTGGATTCTTCAAGGTAGACAAAAAGGGGCGAATCATCGACGCGGTACAAGTAGACAACCCACCCGTTATCCGGTACAGCAAAGGCATGTGGCTAGACATACCAGCACAGGTGCTTGAGCTGCTACGAGATCTACAGCTGAATGCGGCGGCGGCGATACACGCAGCGGAACATGTCATCATGAGCTTACTACCCGCGTTCGTCATCAGTCTCCCAGGAGATGTACGAACGGAATGCAAGGTTGCTCTTAAAGAGTTTGCCAAAAAGGAGACAAAGAGGAAGCGGCCGGCTCGACTCACATTCTATGACGCCAAGGGAGGTGCCAATGGTTCCGGCGTCAGCACTAAGGCTTTTGATCACATCGACCATCTGCTGGAGCGTGCTTTGAAAAGAGTGGAGGAATGCTGTTGCCAACAAGGCTGCGTTGAGTGCGTGGCTTCTGAAATTTGTAAGGAATCCAATGAGGTTATAAGCAAGACAGGATGCCTTGTTATTCTCAGGAGCCTTCTAGGGGTGGATATTAGAAGAGAGGATTTACAGCAAGGACCTGAAGAGATATATCTAGGTGTAGAGACAATAGCTTCTGCAACTCCAATCCCACTAAAGAGGTAATATAGAGTACTTTATAATAAAGTATTAATAAAAATGCTTTAAGCTACCTATCCTAGTTATATAAGTATATAAGCCTAGTAGTAGTAGTAGCTAAAGGCATTAGCAGTAGCTTTTTTAAATAGCTTTAAGTAGCAGCAGCTTAGTTAAGGGCTTTAAGGGCTTTAAGTAGCAGCAGCTTAGTTAAGGGCTTTAAGGGCTTTAAGTAGTAGCAGTAGCTTTATTAATAGCCTTAAGTAGTAGTAGCTTTATTAAGGGCTTTAAGGGCTATAAGTAGTAGTAATAGCTTAGTTAAGGGTATTAGCAGTAGCTTTACTTAGGCTCTTATAAATGCCTTTAGTAAGCATTAGGCTTATAATATATATTTCTCTTTATATTATAATAATTATTAATTAAATTATATTTATTAATAAAAGAAAACTTAAGGTTTTATTATATAAGAGAGAATAATTATATATAAAAAGTAGCTAGCTAATATTAACTTAGCTATTTAATATCTTAAAATACTTAATAAATATATAATAAAAATATATAATAATATAAAGTATTTTACTTTTTACTTAATATATATACCTTAAATATAAGTACTTTCTTTTAAAATAAATTTTTTTAAAAAAACTACTTTTTTATTTAAAAAATAAAAAAGAAAAAAAGCTTAATATACTTTATTTATATATAGTTATTAATATATATATATATTATATTTTCTAAATTAAGATTATATAAAAAGTTATAATTAAGCTAATATATATTTTAATATCTTTTATTAAAAGTTTAATATATTAAATAACTAAATTAAAATATTAATTAGTTATTTTCTTTTATTATAAACCTTAATATAAAAGAATTATAAATATTAAATAAAATTAATATAATTTAATTATTAAAAACTTATAACTTTAATTAAAAAAATATTATAGCTTTATAATATATTAATAAATATAAAAAAGTAAATAATCTATATTTTTATAAAAAGTTTAAAAATAAATATAATTAATTTTAAGTCTTTTTATTTAAATTATAGTAAATTCTTATTTAAATTATAATAGTTTATACTACTAGCTAAGCTTATACCTTAAGTAAAATTCTTTATATACTTAAATTAAAATATAATATAAAGCTTTAGTAATTATTATTATTAGAATAATATTATAATAAAAAGTAAAAGTTATTATAACTAAAGTAATATTAAAGTAGCTTTATTTTTTTATAAACTAGCTATTATAGCTATTACTAGCTTTTTCTTTTATTATTATTACTATAATTATACTTTTTAAACTTAAGGTAAAGATAATAATAAAAATAATAAAAATAATAATAATAAAAGAGCCTTACTTATTAGCCTTACTTAGTTAAATAAGGGTATATAACCTATCTGTCTTTTATAATAATAAATAAAAATATTATCTCTTTTTTACTATTTATATACTTATTATTTAATAGTAATTATATATATAATCCTATATCTTATTATTATTATAAACTTTCTTTTTTAATTAACCTGCTATATAAATATATTATATTAATAAATATATTAATATATTAAAAAGCCTAAAATTATTATTCTTTTTATTTCCTTTATTAACTTAATTTAATAAATTTATAAATAATTTTTAAATAACTAATTTAAATATTATAATAAATATTATTATTTTTAAAAACTAAATACTTAAATATTAATATTTTAACTAAATATAATATTATTTTACTTACTTATATTATAAAAGCTACTACTTTTATTTTAAATTTACTTAAATCTTAGTTACTTAATTAAGTAAATAGCTATTATTTTAAAGCTAAATTCCTTTACTTTATTTATTATTAATAATAATAAGTAACTTTTAAAAGCTTTATTTTAAATATAATAAATCTTTTTTAAAATTTTTAATATTTAGCCTTTTATACTTTAAGCTTTTTTTTTTAATATTAAGCTAATAACCTATATATAGTAAATAAGCTTCTTTTTATAAAAGTATAACTTTTAAATAATATATAAATAAATAAACTTTTTTTTTATTATAAAAATAAATAAACTTTTTTTTATATAATAAAATAACCTTTTTTTTAATAATATATAATTAAATAGCCTGCTTTTTTTTAACTTACTTATAATTAAAGTTTTTATTAAATAAGTAATTAATACTTTTACTTTTTATAATTAATAACTATTATTATTATTTTAATTATAAAAGCTATTAATTTTATTTATATTATTAATATTTTTTTTCCTTTTTTTACTTTTTTTTTTATTTCTTTTTTTTTTTATCTTTTTATTTTTTTTTAATATATTAATTTATAAATATATAAATTAACCTTTTTATATATAGCTAATTATATTATATACTAAACCTTTACTTAAATCTTTTAAAAAGGTAAATTAAGACTTTATTCTTTTTACTAAATATAGCTAAAAATGCCTTTATTAAAAATATTATTAAAAATACCTTTATTAAAAATAGTAAAAATAGTAATATTCTTTACTTTTTAACCTTTCTTTTATTAATTATACTTTTTAATATATAATTTAATAAATTATTTAAATACTTTATAATTACTTAATAAGTTAGTAAAATAACTAATAATATAAAAGATTATTAAAAGATTATATATATTAGCTATTTTAACTTTAATATTATAAATAATACTATTAATAAAAATACTATTATATAAAATTTTATTAATTAATTTTATAAAAGTATTTAAAATAATACTATAATAAATAAGCACTAACTATATATTTAAATAAATCTAGCTTAACTTTTATATAGCCTTGCTTTTTATTAATAAAGTACTATATTAATACTTTATAAAAAAAAGCTATTAAAATATTTATTTAAAATTAAATTACTATTTTATAAAAAATAATTCTAGCTTAACTATATAAATACTATTACTTAAATAAATAAATAGTAATATATAAATAAAAATTATTAAGCTAATATAAATATTTAATTATAAGTAATAAAGTTTTTTTACCTTATTATAATAGTAAGTTTTATAATACTTACTTAATAGCTTATATAGCTATATCTTTATATTATACTAGTATTATAAAAATTAGTTTTTAAACTATACTTTTTTATAATAAAAAATAAATATTTAAAATATTTTTATAAAAAGCAGTAGGCTTAATATACTTTATTAATAGCTAAAGAAATAGTCTTTTAGTTTATTATTATACTTAAAGACTATTACTTATTTATACTTTTAATAGTCTTTTTTATTAATAACTTAATTAATAATAAAGCTTATTATAATAATTTAGCTAATAAATAAAAATAAAATAATAAATAAATAAATAAATAATAATAAAAAAGATAATAATAAAGTAAATAATAAAGCTTTAAATATAATTAACTTTTTAATATAAAAGCCTTAGCTAATTAATAAAAATAAAAAGGATTTTAATATAGCTAAAAATATATTAATATTAAGTAAAAAAAGTTTTAAAAGAATAATAAGTTTTAAATTAAATTATAAATATTTTATAATAAATAATAATATTATTATTAATTAAAGCTAAATAGTAAAAGTATATATATAATAAATATTAAAAAGTTTATTAATATTTATATAAATATTAAAGATATAAATACTAAGGCTATTAAATTAAACCTTTAAGTATAAGAATATTATATTATTAAGGAATTTAAATAATTTAATTAAAAGAATTAAGTAATTAAAAATAAAATTAAGTTTTATTATATATATAGTTTATTTATAATATTTAACTTACTATTAGGTTAATAAAAGATTATTTTATTATTTTAATTAAGTAAATATTAATAACTTAATAAATATAAATTTATAAATTAATAAAAATACTAAAAATATAATTAAATTTTCTTTTTTTAATTTAAATTAATAATATATATATACTTAAATAAGTATAATTATTAAAATAAAACTAATTTAATATTTACTTTAAGATAAGTTATTAAGGTATAGCTATTTAATAACCTTTTACTTATATAATACTTTTATATTATAATAAAAATATAATTTAACTTAAAAGTAAAAACTATAATAATTATTATTAACTCTAGCTACTTAAATATTATTATTAATAAAAATTAATTAAAAAAGTTTTTAATAAATATAATATACTTTATAATTAATTAATTAAAGGTTATAACTTATATAAATAGTATATTAATAATAATTTAAAAGGCTTAGTTTAATTTTTATATATAAAGTATAAAAGGTAATATACTAATAGTTATTTATTTTTATATAAAAGCCTAGATAAAAAAGAATCTTAAATTTAATATACTTTTAAATATAAATTTTCTTTATTAATATAAAATTAACTTACTAATTATAAATAATTATATAATTATTAAGTTTACTTATAATATATTACTTATTAAAAATAAATAAAAAAAGAAGTTAATTACTTATTATATAATAGCTAAATAATACTTTTTAATACCTTTTTATATATTTATAAAGATATTTATTTAATATAAACTTTTAGTATATAATAATTAATATAATACTATATAAATTTACTTTTTTATAATATTTAAACTAAGTATAATAAATTATATATACTTATTAAATATTATTAAAATAAAAGTAAAAAAAAGCTAGGTTTTAATAATAAACTTTATAAATAAGCTAATTACTTTTATTAAGAAATAGTATATAAGTATTATTATTAACTATAATATAAATACTTATTTTATTATAATATAAATATAAGCTAAAGCTATATAAAATTACTAAGCTATTATATATATAATAAATATATATAAAGACCTTTTTTATTATAATATTATAGCTATAATTAATACTTAGTTAAATAAACTAGTAAATAAAAGAATAAATAAGTATTAACTACTTATTAAAAAGTAAAAGGTAATAAAAAAACCTATTAATATTTAAGAATATATACTATTAAATAAAGTTTATATTTATAAAAAAAACCTAAAAAAGGTAAATTATTTATAAGCTATTATTTAAAAATATAATATATAATATAATTATAATATTATTTCTTT